TTTTTTTTTTAAACCAAACTGAGTATCATTTCAAGTAAAGCAATAACATTGCGATATCGGACCATTTCATTGAAGGTAGGACACAGTTGAGGCGCCTTAGTATGAAAATCTAAAGAAATATTATACTATTACTATATACTATAATATTATTTATGTAATGAGGGAGGTGTACATTACTTTTACTCAATTCTTTTTTTACTCAAAGAGCATAATTTTACATGAGAAATTACAAAAGCCCTTTTTTCAATGTCCTGGTCCTGGACTGGTTCTTATTCTGGTCCTGCACCAGTATTGGTTCCGGACTGGTCCTTGTCCTGGTCCTGGTCCTTCACTGGTCTTGGTCCTGAACTGGTGCTGGACTGGTTCTGGTCCTGGACTGGCCCTGATCCTGAACTGGTCCTAGTCCTGGACTGTATCTAGCTCAGGTTCAGGTTCAGCTTGGTTTTCCAGTAGAGAAGAGAAAGTGCTGGTTACCATAGTGACACACTGTGTACTGTCAGCACTTGGCAAAAAAACAAAAAAAATGTGCTTGAATGTTTCAGAATTCCATTGGTTTGGAGGGAAAGTAGTGAACATGATGGCTCTGGGATAGCTCATATTTCTGGGAGTTCTTGTGTTAACTTGAGACCTAATATCCGCAAAAGTCCTGCACATTGGAACTTGTGGAGATGGTCCTCTTTGTCAGTCCTCTTGCATGGCCCTTCCTCGGCACAGACTTCGTGGCTGCCTCGTCACTGCGACTGGTGGCGTTTGGGAGGCGTGTGGCGCTGAAGTCCATTCATAATTGAAGCAGAGACTTAATCTGAGCAGCGCCTCCGACACAACTGGAGCTGCTCCTCTGTTGCTAAGCGACCAGCCACAGCGGGAAGAAAGTGCGTCCTCCAGATCGTTGGCATCACAGCACTCATTACGGCGGCGTGGGAATGGACAACTTTTACTTTTCATGATTACCGTTCATGGCATTTTTACATTTCTCACAAAGTATATTAAGCCCATTTTAAAAGGTGTGCTATAAAAGTTTTCACGTGGGGTCTGCCACTGCTTGTCTCCATGGTGATTGTGTTGCGTTGACTGGGATGTTAACATTATGCATCACTTTACCAGTGCTGAATAGAATCCTCAGCGACCACATCACAGTGAGTGGGATTGGATCCGTAGATCTGACCTGTAACTTGCTCTGGCAACACATGTTTGTCAATGTTGTGGTAAGGTCCAGAACAGGTCTGCACCGATCCAACCTTTTCATGGTCGATACTTTGGGTTCCAGTATCTGCTGAAACAGATACCTATGAATATGTGAGAAGTTTCCTAAAGTCACAGGTAACTTGTCACAAATTGTTCAGTTGTGTAATTTAACGGTATTTCATCCTGAACTATACAAGACAATTTTGCATGTGTTCAGATATGATGTTAAAAATATTACAATAAATCAGTCAGTAAGTAAATGTATATTTATAGAGCGCATTTCCTAAAAGCGCTTCACAGTTCACCCCACACAAAGCACAAGCACAAATCATCATATAAAACAAACACCAAAATCACCATTAAAATCACACAGGTCATATCCAAGATCACACAAAGTAATTACATCAACTGAAAGGCCCACACAGATATCAGGACTGACGTTCTTAAGCAGATGACCATAAATCAACAAAATTTCCATGGTTGGCACCGATATTGTAATAGTCCAAAACTTTCCTCTAAAAATTCTTCTATAATAGGGATTATTTTGCTCAAATTGTTTTATAAAAGCGTTTAAACATAATTTCCGTGGAAACTATTAACCTTTTCGTCTTTTAAAACTATGAAAGTGCCTGAAATTCTATAGCCTGATGATCATTTTTTGAGGAAATAATGTGGCTAAGCAGGGCAGGGCATGGTTAGTACTGTGATGGGGGCCTGTTGGTGTTGTGTTCTAAGGCAAGACGCTTCCCCTACATTCCCCACAATCTTGTAGGAAAATGGAAGAAAAATATTCTTGCTTTTGTCAGTGTGCCCCAGGGCATCTGTGGCTACAGAAATAGTTAACCACCCTGTACGGAGTAAATGAAGCATCTTTGAGGCCTCAAAGATGCTGCGTAAAAACCATTATTATTTCAATAATGCACCTATAATTATTGACATCAGGGTGGTCACAAACTAAAACTAAATGTGACTGTTTGTAATCAACTACTATCAAATACAAAATGCATAATCTCCACAAATGCATTCATTTTAGCTTATTGAATATGTTTTTTCTCTTGAATTAAAAGTATATAGGATGATGTTCCCGAATTTTAGGAAAGAACCACCCTCTCCAGAAGGAACACCGACTAAAACGTATCACCAGAATTATTGATAATTAGGAGGACCAATGGTCTCTATAGTCTATCCTAGAATATAATCCTTATACCTTTAAAATTGCATTTATTCAATTAGACCATAACTAATTGCGATGAGCCTTTGGAATTTAACAACTTAAGAGTCTGCAAATGTACTTGCATATTGTTATAACATGAAAGATTATAAATAACACGCCTTAAAATAAATAGTTTCAAATGACCTGAAGAAAACAGTTTGGTAGCCTGGATGGTAATCACAATTCAGTCATCTGCTCCCATCTATCAAAATCACATGTTTTTTATTCTCTGCGATCTGAATTGACAAAGGAATCAGTGACAAGTAATTGCCAAAGTACCGCCTCCTCATTAGTTTTGAGAAGCTCCTAATTTTCTTGCAGAGAGACAAATTATATGGTTTCAGCTGTTGTGACATTCACACACCACTGGCAGCACCGCGCTAAGTAGATTGATGCACACACAACAATGCATTTGCCCGTCTATATCATCCATACAGCACCAATGACCAGAGAGGGAGGTTTCCATGGAGACCGGAGTCAAGGTACCTTCCCCTGTCAGCTCTAGTTTATTGCAAAGCTTTATTGTTTTTGGGGAATGGTCCACCGGCTGTCGGCAAGGTGAATTTTTGATTTGGCACATAAAACTAATAAACACAGAGTAAGGCATTTTCAGACTTGAAGCAGCTGAGATGAACTGCTGGCATAGCTGCATGTAAAGTGAAAGGATGAATGGATGGTGGCGTCTGGGTGTAATGGCATCACAAAGCAATGACTTGTTCCAGGGAGTTTGGTCATGCAGTTTGAGCGCACTCTAGTGGACACATTATGTTACTGCAAGAGAAAGTGTGCATTGATATTTATGGATAATATAGATACAAAATTCAAACATTAATTCACTCAATATAGATCAAATGGAGCCTAACTAAAGCCACAAAAGCCAAGGAATCCACTTGTTATATATTATTTGTTTTATGCGTATCTTTCAAAGTAGTTATTTTGGAATGTATAGGCTCACTGTTATGTTTGTGTTGTAAACATTTAATCCATTAATCACTTAAATTAGGTCTGTTGGGGAAATAAACATATTGACTTTTTAAACACACAAATCATTTGACACAAAAACATCAGTTTAAGTGAAGTCTTGTGGCTTTAATTACACACAGGGGTCATGACGGGTTGATTTCATGCATATTTCAAAACAGTGTTCTTCATTCTTTTTGAGCTTGCTGAAAACATTCACATGACACAACACCATCTGAAACTGATACAACCATGAAACTGTAGCCCTTATTAACAGTGCATAATCTTCTTGCATTATTTTCTTTTTGCACTATTTTGACCAATTAGGTATTTTGGCACACCAAACAACATCTCAAGGGACACCAACATACCACAGCACACATGGTGGAAGAAGTTTATTTGCCTAAGGGAGAAAGGAAAGACATGCAAGTATAGATAACATAAAAAGTAAAATATAAGTGGTATCACAAATGGAAATGTTAAATTGTTTATGATAAATATAAATAAAGTAATAAATAAAAATAAAGACATGTAATTATATGTGTGGCTTCCTCTCTTCTGTAGGTTGTATGGAGATAATAACAACATATGAAAAATACTGTATGTTGGATTCCGTCGTGTATTTTGCAATGACCCAGGACCTCTGAATCCAGTTGTCCAAACCATTGACATATTATTGACAGAACGTATCACAGTCGTCCCCATTTTTGACAACGTTTATAAGTTTATATCAACTGATTGGAGGCTGTACATTTTCTGAACAAATCAATCCACATCGTGTTGCTTCCATCTTGTTACTTAAATGGTACAGACATTATGAAACAGCCCTGAGCACTGTTTCACACGGCTGAAAGCTAATTGAGTAGATAGCAAACTACTAAAATCAATCACATTAAGCAATAAAAGAAAACGAGAAATTTAGGGAACCATTTGTGGGAAGCCAGGCCACTGTATAAAGGTTTTTCTTTGTCTATATTTTAATGTCTTGCGGATTTGTCAATGCTGGAACAAGCATAACAAAATATGTGTAATCAATCATTTGTAAATCAACTTTTTTATTATTATTGTTTTGATTTTATTTATTTATGCATTTTTTCAGTTTAAATATGTATAATACTTGCAGTTATGGGGATTTGCTATAATATTAAATTTATTATGATTATGATTTTCATACTGGAGCTGTTTGTATGGGCCAAAAAAATGGTGCTGGAAAAAATATTGCAGTAAAAGCTATGAATCTGAACTGCACACAATTTATCTTATCTAAATATAATTGTACATTTTACACCCTCTGTCTACGTGTAAAAAAAAAAAAAAAAACTCAATTTCCCATCATGCTCTCGCACAGGTGCTTGGTTATTGTTGCTGAGCTCTCGCGAGAGCCCGCGTGCAGCCTGCCCTATGTCTCGCGCACTCGCAGCTGCTCGCTCATATATAAAGCAGCACCACGGCGGACGGAGCGCGGCTGGCGAGGCGCAGCCCGGGACTCTACATAACACCGTCAAAACTCTGTCTTATTGACTGAAAGCGATGCCGGCTGTTCTAGAGACTCGAGCCCAGCTGTTTTAACTCGTTTTTGGCTCATTTTTGGCTTTTATTTCTCGCCCATTTCCGTGTGTGTGGTTTTGACACTACGCAAATAATGGCGAGCTCGGCTAACTCGAACCCAGTGGTAAGGATCAATCTCTAAGGACTGTGCTAGGGACGGGGTAAAGTTTGAGAAAACATGTTGGAGAGTAAATATGCCTTTGCAAACATTAATAAACAAGTCTTGTTGGCCATTCCAGAGATTCAGATGGCTCTTGTTCCCTATAGGCTGGTCTTTGGACTAACACTGGAGGCTTTCATTCAGGGAAAAAAAACATTAACTCCTGCCTAAAAACGCCATTACTTTGCTGCTTATTTCTATAAAAGGCAGTTATTCAGGGCGTTTTAAGCAATGGGATTACAGTTCATGCCGTTCCCAGACACTTTATTCAGACTAGTCTTTTGTCATTGGACTCATCTGACGTTCGCAAAGCACTTACATTACCCATGTAGGTACAACAAAACAAAAATACGTTTAATACTAATCATAACAAAAAACATAGTAGTTTCTTTCCCAATCTGCTTGATCATTGTCCACCATTTCCACAGCAGAGCGCAGGGCAACCCTCCCCAAAAAGAAAGCAAAACATCTGCCGATCGCATACAACATTGGCCATTTTCCCCACGCAATAACTTCACACTAGGTCCTGGCTTCGTGCGCAACCGTGTATAAACGTGAGATAGTCCTCCCAAATCGTGATAAAAAGGCGTCTTTGTGCGCGGCTGAGAGGCGCGCTGTTCCCCCGCTCGGTAAAATGGCTTCCTTGCTGTCCTCTGCGCGCGTCTGCACCTCCTCTTTTGGTCTGCCTGGTTTTATACGGCCATATTGCCTCTCTAATATAGCTTTGCCCGAGATGGGAAGGTGCTAGTCCGCGCTACGTCATCGGCTCTACTTATAAACTGCACACGGCTTTAAATGGCGGAGTCCGACAGAGGAGGAGGACCGAGGTGTTCTGAGCTGATCCGTGCGTCATGGGAGCAGACGCAAGGCTCTTTTCTATCGAGATGATGTCGCTTTGCTCTGTTGTGATATATGCATAATTATTGGCAGATTATGCGTATAGGCATACGTGTAGTCTGTGGGCCTACTTAAAAAGCAGCGGCGGATTACACGGTTGTAGCTGGTCAGTCTGTGCGTATTGGGCATGGCTAAATAAAGGCTCAGGCGCTTGTTTGTTTTTGTTTGTAAAGGCGTAATGCATTGTCTCTTCAGTCTATTCACATTCTGGTGCTTAGTGCCTCGGTTTATTTTACTAACGCACAGATTGCACAAGTTTCCCCCCCACGCTCTGTAGTTTGCCATCGCTATTTACAGCCATTATAAACGAAACAAAGAAGATAAAAAGAGCTGTAATTGATTTGATAATTGTTTTGTTAGACAATCATTCTTTCCATTAATTAGTTTGAATATCAGAGCTATAAATCTATAGTCCTATGAAACTTATCAGCTTGTTACACAATGCATGTTATTCTGTAGGAAATATTGCTACAACTGTGGTCTGAAAACAATTTGTTCAATACTACATTTCTTGACATTTATTTCAATAATCGATTGTTTATTATTAAAATATTCACCCTTTTCAGCTCTAAATAATTACATGCATCTGTTCGAAAGATTACAAAAAGTGGATGATGAATTATGAAATAATAGTTTGATTAGTATCAAAACAAGATGCCAAAGCATTTATCAATACTAAAAACATACCAAATACAGGGACAAATACATCTCATGACAGTTTGAGAAAGACTGTAAAACTCTAAAAACAATGTATTTTCTATCATTTATGTAAAATTTTAATGAAACAAAATGGAATTTAAAGTGTTCAGTTGTATCACTTGCTTTTCAAGTGTGGTGACATCACTAAGTGGGATTTATAGAGCTGTTAATAACAGGAAAGCGTCAGTACATTTAGGATAAAGCCTTTTCTATGTGAAGTATGCTTGTTTCTTTATTAAACTTATGTTCCGATTTAGCCTAGTTCAATTTCCACTTCTCCTGACAAGTTCTTTTTTTCCCCCTTGTGCAGCCTAGGTTGTACAAGTCGGTGATTGAAGATGTCATCAATGAGGTACGAGAGCTGTTTCTGGATGAGGGAGTGGACGAACAAGTGCTTTTGGAGCTCAAAACGGTAATTGCCTTTTTTTCTTTTACATTTCTCTGTAGCCTGTCTCTGTGGGGAAAAGATGAAATGATTTTGACCAAGTGGGTTATGGAGTCATTTCAAATGTTATTTTCACAATGTGCATTCCAGTTTATTTACGTACAAACTATTATGGAGAAAAATAAAGATTATTTTAAAAAGTATTCAATAGAAATTATACCAACACTGTTATGTTTTCTATTTGTTGAGAATGTTCTATTGTCTGTTATATTCCCCTGGGAATAACTATCTTCCTTTATGTTTCAAATTCATACTTTATTTTCTAATGTCACCACTAATATACTTTTTAAAAGTAATTAAACATGTATGACTGAAGGCATGATAACAAAATGTCACCAAGAGTGAATGCTATTAAGTGACCTGATATAAAGCCCCTGTGCCATCCTCGGGTCAAATTGACCCTCTACAGTGATTAAAAATTACCCTAATTAAAAAAAATTCGAGCTGATTTGGGGTTTTTTCTAACATGACCAGCCCTGGGTCATGTGACTATTTTATAACCCAATTTAGGCTATTTTTCTTCTACTTTTAATCACTGTGGCTAGGGTTGCACAAGGGTTAAACTGGCAGTGGATAAATCAGGAGTGGATGATAGACCTGATGAGTGTAACTGAACATTTCTGTTGTAGCTCTGGGAGAACAAGCTGCAGCAGTCTAAGGCAGTGGAGGGCTTCCACACAGAGGAGCAGGCTCTCCAGGCTCAGCACCAGCAGCAGCAGCAGGTCCAACACATCCACCACAACCCCCAGGTGACCACGGCCCAGGCCCAGCCCGTCATCCTGCCCACGCATCAGCATCAAGGTCAGTGCAGCCACATACAGGGGAGCACGCTCATCCTCATGACAAGCCCCCCAAGGTTAACCACAGAATCATTGTGGTCGCCATTACCCAATCGTAAAGACTTTCTAGAAGTCATTTTGTTAAACTAGGAAATGATACCTCTGTAAAATGTACAACCACATGCTTGAAATGGGGAGAAATTATTGCGTGAGCTGACATAAATGGAGACCAGTATCTATCCGTTTCGTATGTTAGGTAAAACATTACATTGTATGCTTGTTCTATTGTCAACACAAGTCATTTTTTTCTCTATTTTTTTAATTTTGAAGAGAACAATTGTTGACCTTTATGTGATTTTTGAGATGTTACCTTCTGAAATTGAATGTACATAAAACAATATTGTATATTCCAGGGTTTGATTAATATCAATTTTAAACTATTAATCTTAATATATATTTACCAATATAATGCAGCTTTACTTGTTGTGTTGTCACAATGATATAATTAACACCTTTCTCAATAAATGTATCCAAATATCATGGACTCTCAGAATCGATACTTGTGAACTGTTGTTTTACAGCGCCCCAGCAGCAAGTCATTGTTCAAGATCCAAAGATTCTTCAACACATGAGTGCAACGGGGATGGTAAGTGTCTGTACTTTTTATAAACTTGTTGGAGTTGAATGTCCTTTTCTACAGGGCGTAACATCAGACAAAATTTAGTTCTTCCACATGTTAATTTACGGGACATGGAAACTTGGATTAGGATGACTTTGTAAGGTCACATTGGCTTTGTACTTATTATCAAACAACTCAAAATGATGGAGGTTAAAAGCCTTAGATGATTACAAAGTGTTTTAACCGATGAGTGTGAAAATAAACTAGTCAACTGTAATTGCTACTTTATTATGGTTCTTGGGAAAGGTCTAAATCCCCAAAAAATTCCTTTTGCTTGAGATGAGTTACAGCCAGTACTTTTTCATCATGTAATGTTCTGAAAGTGAATGATTGAAGTGAGTCAAATCTATGTGTGATGCAATACTTTCTTCTGTCCACTAGAGTGCAGCAGCCACCGCAGCAACACTGGCTTTGCCCACTGGCGTCACTCCATACCAACAGCTCATCACAAGCCAAGGCAAGATATTTATCAAAGGGGAATGGCGTGAATCATGATTTCTCTGCGGTTTTTTTAAATGCGTTTTCGTACACTTACATTGTAGGTCAGATCCTTCAAGTGGTGCGTGCAGCGAATGGGGCACAGTACATTATCCAGCAGCCTCAGCAGCCCATCCTCCTGCAGCAGCAGATGCAGCCCGGGGGAGTCCAAGCCCCGGTCATTCAACAGGTGAACACACACGCATCAGAAAGTCATATTCATCAAGATTAATTGCGTACAGTAATGCATTGTAATGACGACAATTTCATGAAAGTTCTCAATGATTTTTTTTTTTTTTAGCGGTGAGTTGCATTTTTATGGAAAACATTTTATAGTCTTCCCTATTCACATGGCCTTAACTTTGTAACGGTGAATTTGTGTTTGTGCTACACATAGGATTCAGCAGCTTTGCATAGGTATTTTGGAATACTAAACCTAACCAAAAAGTTGTCTAGCTTTTATGGCTTTTTGTTCTGGTGCTATTTGTGATGGGTCTTTAATGCTAATGTTTCCTGACTTGTTTCATTTAGCTGAGAACATGTGTAATATAATAATAATAATGATGCATGGGTGCAATTGAAACTCTTGAGCAGACAAAAGTGTCTTTTGCAATGACTGAGCTACTCCAATCAGTTTATATGGTCTCAAAGCTGACCCTTGAGGAACCCCTTGAAATTGTGACCGGTAAATGCCCACAAATCGTTACGAATCTTTTTTCGTTTTTTTTTTTACCTCTCATTGAATCTCATTAGAAAGTCGCTCAGACCATATAATTAAATCCTAGGTCTCGGTCTGGCTGTGCAATATAACTAATGTATTCTCTAAAAGGTCTTAATCTGTTCTGCTGCAGGTCCTGGCCCCAATCCAAGGAGGCCTTCCCCAGCAAACGGGAGTCATCATCCAGCCACAGCAAATCGTCTTAGCTCCAGGAAACAAAGTCCAAGGAAACACACAGGTAAGCACTTTTCTCATGTAGTTGGATTCTTATCTGAGTGTGTGAAGAGGTGTCAGAGATAGGGCCATGTATCCACAAATAATGGGACACTATCTTTTTCTCAATTAATAGCACTGCCAAACCAAGGTTTTACAGTTTAACCTGATGTCATGATCAAACTTGGTTCAGGTGATGCAGGCAACAGCCATGGCCCCTCAGCCCGGGCAGCCCTCCACAGCTCAGGGGGCTCCCCCACAGCCTCAGGCACAGCAGCCTCCCATGATGCTGCAGGTGGACGGAGCAGGGGACACGTCTTCAGAGGAAGACGAGGATGAGGAGGAAGAGTATGATGAAGATGAAGAGGAGGAGAAGGACAAGGACGGAGCTGAGGACGGACAGGTGGAGGAGGTGAGTGGAGATTCATGAATTTAGGACAATCTAATACTTCATGAACATTCTAGTTAGTACTTAGTACTTTGAAAATATTTACTTTTCAGCTGAAGATCAAAATGGGGGACATCATTGCCTTCTCCTGGTGGCAGTGGAAAGTGGTGGCAGCTGCATTTGAAACGAGTTTAGAATGAAATCACACAGCAGTTACGAATCTTCGACTTTAGAAAGGATCAGCTTTAATTGGAAAATAGTTCATGACTTTTTAGACAAATGTCCAGGATATTGTGGGGGTGGCGGAGGAGTAGACAAAGCAGCATGTAACATGGTGGAAAGCTGAAATAAGTTAACTTTGAACAGTAGGTCCTTTAAGTGTAAATGCAAAAGAGTCCACCTTTTACATGAAGAGAAGAGCCACCTTCAGATTCAGACTCAGCCTGAAGCATGAGCTCTCGTCAGTCTGAACGAGCCTTAGGGCTGTGTGGTTTCTGACCCCGTGTCTTTTTGATCGTCTTCTGTTTCAGGAGCCTCTGAACAGTGAAGACGACGTGAGCGATGAAGAGGACCAGGAGCTGTTTGATACAGAGAATGTAGTAGTGTGCCAGTACGACAAGGTAAACCCTGACCTCCTCTGGTCTGTCCTTCACCTGCCTTCAAACTGTGCTCCCTACTTTTTCCACATACTGAAAAGAGGAAGTCCTTTTTATCCCGACGCCTGTCACATGGTCTTTGGCAAATCATAAATAAATATTCAGGTGCATGAATATTTGGCAGAGCAGCACATCCACACACATTCTTTTTCCTTTGGTTCAAAATGGTTTGCAAATGAAAATAATTTAGATTTTTGCTCTTTATACTAACTTTTACATGGCCATTCCGGTTACAATCACTTTCCTTATGCACAAAATGATACAGTAACTGAAAATACTGAACGAGATCATGGCCAATTGGTCACGTTTTAGTTTTTCTATTGTGATTTCAAAATGGCTTGCATAGCTCTTTGCTAATGTTGTTTTGTTAACAATGTGAATATGGGGTGTCTGTGATTTCAATACAACGGTTATTCCATCTCGCATGTTTAACCCGTCTGACGGTCTGTCCCTTTGTCCCTTTGCAACACCCACTTGTCATTTCCTCTCCCCAGATCCACAGAAGTAAGAACAAATGGAAATTCCACCTGAAGGATGGGATCATGAACCTCAACGGGAGGGACTACGTTTTCTCCAAAGCCATCGGGGACGCGGAGTGGTAAACGGCAAAAAAAAAAACAGCCCGACCCGCAAAGCTTTTTGAACTGGCCAAAAAAAGAATCCAGTTAAACGGACACTTCACATTCTTCCACATCCCGCGATCGGATATTTTTGGAAAGCGTACGGCAAACCCCGAAAAGACTTTGAAGAGACTGTAAAAAAAAAATAGAAAAAAAACTAACACTTTTAAAATGGTGGGTTTGCCGGGACGCGGAGGAAGATGCAGTCTGGGTGTTGATTTTCCGCATCCGTACCTTGGTAGAAAAAGCATATAGCAAGCGTATTTTTTCTTCGACACCGCCGCTGTGGACCAGAACAATCCGACCTACAGAACACAAAAGAATAGGTCGCTCCTCGTTAGTGGGAAATGCTTGACAATGCACTGTGGGTTGACTGGATTAACTTTGAAGTGGCGTTCTCACTAGTGCCATCCGGTCCAGTTTGCTGCCTTCATTTTTTTTATTTTTTTTTAGAACAGCCAGAGCTTCACTTTTCTTTTGGCCTTTTTCAGTTTCAATTTGCGTGTTTTTTTTTTTTTAAGAATGGTGCTTCAAAGTATTTCATGTAGTTCTCGTTTTTAATAAGTGTAAATGAAGGTTTCAAAGTTACCATCCGCAAAAATTTGGAGGATTTTTAATATTTTTTTTTTTTAGCTAGCGTTGCCGTGTCCAAAGTTAGTTTTCACACTCTCTGGAGCTCCATTCCATTGTGTAAAAGATGAGGAGAACATGGGAATGATTTCTGTCACTGTACAACTCCTGCGTCCTGTTGCCGTGTCTCGTCTGTGCTTTTAGTTCTTTCTGGAAATTTGCACTGTTTGTTGCGGTGGAGTGAGGGACAAGTCAAATTAAATGTATTATTTAGAATTTTGTTTTTTTTTTTGTAAATCTCAAAGCGGCAGCAACACAGCAACAAGCTAATTACTATAAAAAGGGTAGATGGAAAAACATCCGAAATTGGAAAATTAACATGAATTTTAAAACATTTTCTTCTGGGAGATAATAAGTGGCATTTTAAAATAATAATTTGCATTTACAACACAAAGCACAACCGCTCTAGGGAAATTGATTGGTGATTTTTAAAGTGTCCTCTACTTTCAACATTCAAAATTTACTGAAGCATAGAATTATTAAAATTCAATGCATGAATACAGGTATTTGTCAAAAATGGTAATATAGCAAGGCCATCTAATATATTTTTGTCAGTCCAGCCGAATTCATCAGAAAAAGCATTTCTTTACATAAATTAACGGTTTTGATGTTCGACCCAGCGTCATTTTTAATTATTTTAAAATGTATCAAATTTGATAAAATCAAGACCTTCAGAATCCCATTGAAATAATGTATTCTGCCATTCTTCTCAGGTACTTATACGGTTCATAGTCATGAGAAAAAGTCATGTATGAAGAAAATCCACTTTCCAGGGTTAGGGTTAGCTCTAATTTGGACCAAAGTTCAAGTTTCGTGCACCGTAAACTCTTTCACAATTATTTGGGCTGTACCTGACCATGATAACAAAATGACAACACTGAATTGTCTGATGGATAAAAAATTCCATGAGCCAATTTAAAGTATGTTAGTCATTAATAATAATTTGTTTAAAAGTTTTTTTGCATGTTTTGACTCGTCACCGCTGGGCCACCGTAGTTTGGTCTTTGAATCAGATTTGTGAAGGATCTGTTTGTGTGAATGTCACTACCTTTTTCTTGCACAGTAATCTACCGTCACAACAGTTAGTTCTTATGTTTTGTGGAGGCGAGTTCGATGTATTTATTCCAAATGTTTGAAAGAGTGTGTAAAGTTGCACCAAACAGTGCTCTTATAATAATCTAATAAGTGTTCCTTTTTTGTTTTTGTTTTGGCTGGACCGTGTTTCCAATCATTCTGTCCGCCACGTCCTTTTTTCCTCTGCTTTTCTTTTTAATTCATGACTTTTAAATGAGAACATTTTCTATCAAAGTGAATTTAACTGAAGGGGCTGGTGTGTCTATGCCGTTCGTTTTAGGTGGCCCTGATGCAGCAATTTGAAATAAAGTCTGTGTTTTTTGACCTTTTGAGTCTCTTTGTTTACTGTTTGGAATGAGAATGGGGAAAGCACAAGATGGTTAAGTAGGAACTCTTTAATATGTATCATTCTTAAACAAAAAGGATGGACTTGTGTATTTTGCATTGAGCAGTTCAAAAGCTAAAATTTAGTCTGATTCCGCTAACAGTTGATGAAGCTGAAGAGACTTAGGAGTAGTGACTCGCCTGTTTTTATTTCATTGTGTCTCTTGAAGCTTATACAATCTCAGAGAAATGGAAAACTCCAAACTCTGGCATGGCTGCTGTCTGGCTCTAATAAACTGTTATTTGCATGTATTTTTGTGGACACATTAATGGTTAACTTGCATGTGTGTTCACCTGCTATGGGTACATAAGATGAAATAGAATGTCTTGTAAAAAAATCTTCAAAAGGCCGTTGAATGGACTGAGGTGTAAAAAACATGACTTTTGTGTGTGCCGTGAAAAGCCCAGTAGGTGCAGACGTGCCTCCCCCACTCCCCTCGGTCTAATGGGGCTCTGGAGAGTGAGTGGCGCCCCTGTCTGCTGCTCCCAGAAATATCAAGTGTCCAGTGAAAATCAGACACAGTTGGTGCAAAACTAAGTCCAATTTTGAAAAGCCACAAAAAGTCTCAGCCTCTTTATCCGTCTGTTTAAATTTGAAGTTACACATTCAGATGTCAGTGCAAATACGCAATCAATGTTTGGACTGTCTAAATCGGTTAATAATTTAATATTTTTTACTTTTACTGGAGTTATAAGTGAACACTGATAAAGCAAGTTTTTGATACATGGTAAAAAGTCACATAAAGCGTTTTCCCAAGGTATTCAAAGCCTTGGGAACTTCAGGGAACTAATACATCAGTGTATACAGATGTGTGTTGCTCAAGGACACAACAGCAGCCTTCACCTACAGTATGTGAGCTGGTTTTATACCTGTGGGTTTGACAGAATTTTGCCCAAAATTTTGTACAAAATGGTTGTTTTAGGCAATTATTCCTGATTTTCAATCAAGAATAAACACATATAAACACAGGCCTACCTAAACAACCTAGAAATAAAAGTTGAGAAATGTTTCATTATCCGTCCTCAAGTGGAGGTCTTGGTCACGCATGAGACTAGAATTGGTGTAGGGTGCACCGTGATAGTCGTCGTATCAGACACTAGGGCAAGAGGAAGCGCTCATGGTTTACCGTTCAGTCTACCCTCCCTCACCTATGGTCACGGCTTTGGGTAATCAAGGTCAAGTTTATTTATACAGCACATTTTAAAAACGGATATGTCACAAAGTGTTGTCCAGACATTACAAAATACAATACAACACACAAATAAATTATTGGTCACTATCATAAAAGTTTCATTTTTGCTTGAGTTAAAAATGACCGAAAGGAGGAGATTGCTGATAGTGTGACTGAGCGCTTCCTACACTAGGCTTAAGAGATGAGAAGTGCAGTCACACGGGAGTAGCTCGGAGTAGAGCCACTTCTCCACGTCCAAAGGAACCACTTGAGGTGGCTCGAGCATATGTTTCGGATGCCTCCCTGTTCTCCAGGCGTGTTCCACCAGGAGGTAGTACAGTATGTCTCTCAGCTGGCCTGGGAACGCCGGACGCTAGATGACCTGGAGAAGTGTGAGTGGATAGGGAAGTCTGGGTATCTCGGCTCAGACTGCTGCCCCCGCGATTTGACAACAGATAAAGCAGAAGAAGATGGATGGATATAAAGATGAACTGAATAACTGATAAGGACCAAAAAGTTTTTAATTTTGTATAAATATTTCTCATTCTCACACCAATTCCAGGGAAACCATTCCAATAGTGAGAGAAGGGCCCTTTGGTGTAGAGGCCCCCATCACACAATTATATCACTATTCTGTTCAGATGTGATTTCATAGCGCACTTACATCTTTCCCTTGTACCGGCAGAAGACCAATCCTAATAGTAACCAGATTGTCTCATTCCTGACCTTTCCGGCGAATGTTTGTTTGTTCAAATAAACTGAACTGTGAAGCAATAACTCCCTGCTAAAGGTTAAAACTGTCACTTATTTGGACCTGGAGCTCACTACACAGTGTAATCAGCGGCAGGCATGTTTGGTGTAAAAAGCAATAATTCTTTTCATGCTTTTTCACACACAAGTGCTTTTTTTTTTAGCAACCTCATGTGTCGCAGTTCCTCCCAGCCTTCCAAGTCCCTATTCATTACCAACGTTTGTAAAGCTCAAGGCTCATGTGAAGATAAATTAAAAAAGTATATTTTATGCAACAGACAAGTCAGGTACCTCTTCCTACAGCCTAAAATTTGGCAAAATGCGGGTGATAATGACTTGCGGTTTCTATAAAATCAAAAACATTTTAAAAATAAATGTTGGTCTTATAAACAAAGAATTATATCAATGAACAATTATGATTGTGAGTAGGATTTAAAAGACCGTAACTTTATTTAACCTTTCTTGACCTGTTGTATTATATTATAAAATACAATATTTGTTTAAATATCAAACTAAAACCAATGCTTGCAGAAGTAATTTACACTCTTGATACTAGTAGAAGATAATTTGTCTGTAGTGCTTTTTGAATTGATTCATGTTTGGATGTTGCTTTTCTTCTAAACTGAACAAGTTCCATATACAATAGTTGCCAAATTTGCATATGAAAGCCAGATCCTGCCAGACCTATGTAGCTGTACAGGGTGAGTACTGTGATGGGAGACCTCTGGAAACACCAGGTGACACACTGGGGCGGCTGCGGCTGTAAAGTGCCAAACTGTTGGAGGGCGGTCGGGGGGGCCATTTAAGAATTATTCTTATTGACTATGTAACAGGAAGTACAACAAACAAACTAGGAATTTGCTTTTGCTCATGGTGCAAATAAATTATAAAATTGAAAATAGATTTATGGCATTCATAAAACAACCTTCATTGATTTAAAAAAAAAAAATAATAATAATAATACTACTAAATACAAGTGCACAGAAATTACATACAATAGACATTTAAGTGACAGTAAAAGATGACAGTCATGAGGGCAGGGGTCGTTTACCGTCTTATGTTTATAGTTTTCTCTAATCTCCATCCATCCATTTTCTTCCGCTTCATCCGTTGCCGAGTCGTGGGGGCAGCAGTCTAAGCAGAGACGCCCAGACTTCCCTATCCACACACACTTCCTCCAGCTCGTCCGGGGGGACCCCAAGGCGTTCCCAGGCCAGCTGAGAGACATAGTCCCTCCAGCGTGTCCTGGGTCTTCCCGGAACACCTCCCCAGGGAGGCGTCCAGGAGGCATCCGGAACAGATGCCCGAGCCACCTCAACTGGTTCCTCTCGACGTGGAGAAGCAGCGGTTCTACTCCGAGCTCCTCCCGTGTGACTGAGCTCCTCACCCTATCGCTAAGGGAGCGCCCAGCCACTCTGCGGAGGAAGCTCATTTCGACCGCTTGTATCCGCGATCTCGTTCTTTCGGTCATTACCCAAAGCTCATGACCATAGGTGAGGGAGGGAACGAAGATTGACCGGTAAATCGAGAGCTTTGCCTTTCGGCTCAGCTCCCTCTTCACCACAACGGTCCGATACAGCGACCGCATAACTGCGCACGCTGCACCGATCCGCCTGTCAATCTCACGCTCCGTTCTTCCCTCACTCGTGAACAAGACCCCGAGATACTTGAACTCCTCCACTTGAGGAAGGACCTCTCCACCCACCTGCAGAGGGCAAGGCACCTTTTTCCGGTCGAGCACCATGGCCTCGGATTTGGAGGTGCTGATTCTCATCCCAGCCGCTTCACACTCGGCTGCAAACCGTCCCAGTGCATGCTGCAGGTCCTGGTTCGTTGGAGCCAACAGGACAACATCGTCTGCAAACAGCAGAGATGAAATCCTGTGGTCTCCGAACCGGACCCCCTCCAACCCCTGACTGCGCCTAGATATTCTGTCCATAAATACAGTGAACAGAACCGGTGACAAAGGGCAGCCCTGTCGGAGGCCAACATTCACCGGGAACAGGTCTGACTTACTGCCGGCAATGCGAACACAGCTCTGGCTCCGGTCATACAGGGATCGGATGGCCCTCAGCAGAGGACCTCCGACCCCGTACTCCCGGAGAACCCCCCAAAGGACACCCCGGGGAACACAGTCGAACGCCTTCTCCAAATCCACAAAGCACATGTGGACAGGTTGGGCGAACTCCCATGAACCCTCGAGTATCCGATGGAGAGTATAGAGCTGGTCCAGTGTTCCGCGACCGGGACGAAAACCACACTGCTCCTCCTGGATCCGAGATTCGACCATCGGCCGTAACCTCCTCTCCAGTACCTTGGAGTAGACCTTACCGGGGAGGCTGAGGAGTGTGATCCCACGATAATTGGAACACACCCTCCGGTCCCCCTTCTTGTAGAGAGGGACCACCACCCCGGTCTGCCACTCCATTGGCACCGCCCCCGATCGCCACGCGATGTTGCAGAGACGTGTCAGCCAAGACAGTCCTACAACATCCAGAGACTTTAGATAATCAGGGCGGATCTCATCCACAGCCGGAGCCTTGCCACCATGGAGGCTGCCAACCACCTTGGTGACCTCAGCCAGGGAGATGGATGTACCCGCCCCAACATCCTCAGCCTCTGCCTCTGTAACAGAGGACGTGACGGGGGGATTGAGGAGAACCTCAAAGTATTCCTTCCACCGCCCGACAATATCCCCAGTCGAGGTCAGCAGCTCTCCACCCGCACCGTACATGGTGTTGGCAAAGAACTGCTTACCCTCCTGAGGCGCCGGATGGTTTGCCAGAATCTCTTCGAGGCCGACCGATAGTCATGCTCCATGGACTCTCCGAACTCCTCCCAGTCCCGGGTTTTTGCCTCTGCAACAGCCCGGGCCGCGGCACGCTTGGCCTGCCGGTACTGGACAGCTGCCTCAGGAGTCCCCCGAACCATCATGGCTCGATAGGACTCCTTCTTCAGCCTGACAGCATCCCTTACTGCCGGTGTCCACCACCGGGTTCGGGGGTTGCCGCCGGGACCAGCACCAGAGACCTTGCGACCACAGCTACGAGCCGCCGCATCGGCGATTGAGGCAGAGAACATGGTCCACTCGGACTCCATGTCCCCCTCCTCCGCCGGGACCTGGGAGAAACTCTCCCGGAGGTGTGAGTTGAAAGTCCGTCTGACAGGGGGCTCAGCGAGACGTTCCCAGCAGACCCTCACTATACGCTTGGGGTCTGCCAGGTCTGACCGGCTTCTTCCCCTGCCAGCGGATCCAACTCACGACCAGGTGATGATCGGTTGACAGCTCCGCCCCTCTCTTTACCCGAGTGTCCGAGACACGCGGTCGAAGGTCAGATGATACGACAACAAAGTCGATCATCGACCTCCGGCCTAGGGTGTCCTGGTGCCACGTGCACTGGTGGACACCCTTGTGCTCGAACATGGTGTTCGTGATGGACAAACCGTGACTGGCACAGAAGTCCAACAACTGAGCACCGCTCGGGTTCAGATCAGGGGGGCCGTTCTTCCCGATCACCCCTCTCCAAGTGTCACTGGCGTTTCCCACATGGGCGTTGAAGTCCCCCAGGAGAATAACGGAGTCCCCGGGCGGTGCACCGTCCAGTACCCCTCCCAAGGACTCTTATGTTTTCTCTAATCTGTTTTTTTCTAATCGAGAATTGTAGGAGTGCTGTGTTGAGCCTGTCCCCCGTCATCAGACCCTCCAGAAGAATAAGCAAAGGAAGATTTCTCACCCATCACCTGTACTTCTTAGCAGGTTTTCCCGACGTTTCGTCCTCAATCCAGAGGACTTCTTCAGGGAATGAATTCTCGGACCGCGCGTTGGAGATTTATAACCTATGGGTGTGGTTAGCCCTAATCCTGATACTAACTCATAAACAATCTAAGGTCTGTTTATGAGGGGTTAGGATAAGGGAAAACCTGCTAAGAAGTACAGATGATGGGTGAGAAACCTTCCTTTGCTTTGACTAATCCCTGTACGACTGAGGGCTTACACAAACTCCAGAAGAATAGTTACACAGAGCAGCTTTAGGAACCGCCTTCAGTCCTGTCGTGGAGCATGGGCCATCAGAGTGTAGCGCTGTGCCTCCTGGGCCTGTTCCCCGCCGTATAAGCCCCGTCCATGTTCCCTGGCCCACAGTGGGACCAGCGCTGACATCACTAATGCAGGGATTTAGTGTTCCTGGGAACGCGCTGAATCTTTAATGTGACACTGACCTCCTCGCTCAGCCACGCTGCTCTCATTTCACCAATCGTCCTAAAAAACATGTCCTGTTTTTATAGCGAGGAGGTGCTCCAAGGAAAAGCTGTAAAATATTCTACGTCACATCGTCTGCCACCTGCTCGCTTAGGTTTGTTATTTTGGATTTACCCTGCACCTGAAGTCACTTCCTCCTTGGACAATCAGGGACATAGATTACCATTACGAAGTTGGCCCGTCCTCTCTATTAAGAAACATTCATTTTTCTAATTTACAATGTTTAATCATACATTTCCTTGAATTCGACAAAAAGGCACTGCTATTTTTTTCCTATACTCTGACATACCCAATATTTTTTGAGTGAAACTTTATTGTAATTAAGCATTTCTGAGTTGCTGCTGTCATTCTACCCCTGGGGATCTGTGGCTGTAGAAGTGACAGAGAAGTTTGCGATCAGAAAAGATATAAATGGGTGAAGTTCCAAAAATTATAGCACAAAAGTCACAATGTTTAGATTGACCCAAAACCATTTACTGCTCTTTTTGGTGTTACATCCGCTTGGCTCTCTTTGACATCCAATCAAAAATCATCAAGAGATTTTATGAGTCTTCTTTCTCATAGATTAATTTTGCTCAAGTGGAAAAGCCCAACATCACCATCTCCTATTCACTGGATTAGAGATTTATTGTATTTCCTCACATTGGAAAAGATCTGTTTCATTGTAAGAGATTCTATTGATACATTTTCTGAAATTTGGAGCCCTTTATTTTCTTTCTAGATCTAGGATTTCTCATTTCTTTTTATACTTTTGACTGCCACTGATGTGTCTGTCTGTTCGTTTTTGTGTTGGAATTCATTCGAAATTTTACGATTGCTTATGAATGTTTTAGTTTTTTTTGGTTTTTGTGTTGGCATTGTTCTTTATAGTGTACATTGCACTGCTGTTTATTATGTGCCTAAAACTATAAATAAAGTTGGGGGGGGGGGGTCACAATGTTATAGACCCATGTAATAAGTCTATACCCTTGGTTTCACATTTTAAGTTGAAGAAATAAATGATCAATATTTTAATTTTCACCTGTCGCACTGAAAGTTTATTTATTACAAGATGTTAAGTTGCAAGTGTCCAGCGAATATATTCAAATGTAAAATGTTGGTAAATCTGCCTTCTAACATTCTTACTCAACATACGTAAATGATGTAAAAGGAGCAGCCTACATTGCTCCACATTGTTCCTGCAGCCTCCTCTGCATTCTCCGGGCGACTGGAGCAAACATGGCGTGACGTTGACGGTGAGAGGCCTTGACACTTACATCGTGGTGCGATGAGAGCAGCTTTGAGCGGTAGAGAGGGGCCTCAGTGAAGCAGCCAGCCACATCCAGGAGCCTGTGTGTTTAAAGGGCCCTCCAGCTCAGGCTGAGTGGACCAGATGGACAAAAACACTGGAAAATATGTGACACTGATCATTAGAGGTTTTAGCACAGCACACTCAGAAACGTTATTAGATTAGAAAGCATGTATATAGAGGTCAAACGGAAGGTGTTCTATGGGTTTGGAAAGAAAGTTTTACGCCAATCACGCTTAAATAATTGGCGTATTTGCTTGAATTGGAACACTCTAAAAAATGATAATGTAGAATGGATTTGAGCGTCATAGAACGGAATAGAGCAACCATCTATCTTTGACATCAATATGCATTTCCACACATACCATAGTCAGAGAAACCATCCCGGTCCTTTAGGTTGTATACTGTGTAAATGGCAGAAAAAACGTAATTATTAGAAAAAAAACCTTGGATGATTTGGTTGTATCGTCTACTGTATAGTTTAAATTCTGATTAATTTGTTAAAGTTTGTATCTATCTTGTCTCTATCGTGTGAATGGAACCAAAATAGAAAAAAAAAGTATACCAGGAATAAAAAAAAATATTTCAATAATGCTAAAATGCTTTTCTCTATTCTCATTCCATCTTTTTGTTTAATTATTTAGACAACTTCAGCCTAAATTATGCACAGACAATGACACAGACATTATGCTAAATTAGAAAATACTGGGTTAAACTTTTGGAATAATTTTTTAAACAATCTCCCAAATGATTATAGTTTCTCACTCCGGAGGCTCTGACCCCCACTTTGGGAACAAAACTTGTAAAACATGCATACATACAGTACAGAATATACAAAAATACAGCTCTTGAGTACTTAGTATTAGTCAACTGAAACCTGACAGGAGCTGCTCTTTGCATTCTCGTTCTTCCACCTGTCCCAGTAGAAGTGTTATTGAATCTAGCAAAAAAACACTTGTTCATTCAACACAAAGTTCATTGTAAGGGGTGTCCAAAACTCATAAAAAGTCATTTCAGATGCATTTTCTGACATCATGACCACAATAAATTCCATTACCACACTGATCTTTGAAATGTGATTGAAAGGGCCCTGTCCAGCTGCCTACAGCGCATCCCCCCTTCATGTGAAATTAGGAAAAGCCCTGATATAATCTCTTTTTCCTGGAACAGCCCCCCACTATACCCCCAAAACCATCCATTAGAAAAAAACAAAACAAAAAAACTGTCGCCCAGACTCTGAAATGCTCTCCAGATGTTTCTCAGCCACTGGTTGGCGGTGTCCTCTCAAAGCTAACATGATTGGGCAGCACGTGTCTTTCCCGTATTTACTTTAGTCCTGAGCTATCCGAAGTCTCTCGAGCATGGAAAAATACCACCGCTTGTGCTAAGAAAAACAATCCTGGCATACCAGACAGGACACGACTATAGAATATATATTTGTAATCTTCATACCGGTCTGTAATTTGTCGAAAAATGCTAATATTCATAACATGCTCCGCTGTTTGGATTTTGTAATTGGATCAGTCCTCACATTAAGAACAATGAACTTTGAGCTTCTCTGCAAACCTTTCCCATGGGCTATCTGCAACGGTAAATAAACCAAATGTGGCAATCCGTTCCATTTAATTTATTATTGTAGAGCCCAATATCATAACAGTGCTCACTTTACAGAACTTAGCTTAGCTTTTTGGTAAGTAGCAAAACATCAGAAACACCTTTTATACATTGTAAATTAAACTTGTTTCTGTACATGACAATATTATTTACAACAGGGCACTGAAAAATGCATGTAAAAGATATGGGTATAGCCAGTCCACAGGTAATGTCAGATCAGTACAGTAAGTTCGTCTAAGATGGTTGGTGGCTTTTTCACTCCAACTTCAATGTCAAAATGGAGTCAAAATTCGAACAATCAAATCAAGCTGCTTTTTCAGTAGACGTTCACATACTTATTTTTAGGGATTTAGTTTTCACCAGCGGCTGTCTGTCGGCCTACTACATTTGTAGAAATCTGTCCGGAACACTTTCTGAGATGTACCTCTTCCGCTCCGCCACATTTAGCCTTTTTACCTTTGTCTCTACGAACTTGCGACGTTCCACTACTCCCTTTCGAAGAAACGGTTTGCCCCCTGAACAATTGCGCCCTCTGCTGACACAACCCCACTTTGCTGAGGAGAATAAAAATATCTCCTCTGAATGCTTTTGTGAAAATGGCGTACAGAAACGGATTGGCGCAAGAATTGAGCGGGTAAAACAACACCAATAGGATTTTTGAATTGGACACCGTTATAAGTGGGCGGTCCATAACTGCGGACATGGCGTAAAATGAAATTGGCGCCATGCATAGAAAGTCTGTAAATATTAGCACGGCCATTCGTTTAGCAATATTTGTGTCTTTGGATCCGGAGCGATAGTGCGGATTGTGGACCGCGCAATATATCCGAAAGTAGCAAGCGCATATTACGAAAAACGCGACAATATTGAGAAGTAACACCAACAGGATATAAACTTGTGCTGCTGTCGATTTTGTATCCATCGGAAGGCATATGCTAACCATTTGGTAGCTGCTAACACCAACTAGCGGCAGTAGAGCTAATATAAGGCAACAAATCCACCCGGCTACCATGACGACAGCCGCGTGGTAGAGCCGTAGCTTTCTATCTAAACGCATTGCGAAGTTGATAGCGTACCATCGTTCCAGCGTAATCACTGTTAGTGTGTATACCGAAAGCTCGCTGGCAAAAACGGTCAAAAATCCTGCTAGCCCACAGCCAGGACCTGTCTGCCAGTCTATAGCATGATTGAAATACTCTGCTCTTGTGTGGAGGTCTACAGAGGCTATGAGAAGTAAGTAGATTCCCATGCAAAGATCGGCAAAGGCAAGATGGCACATGAGAAAGCGGGAGACGGTAAGCTTGTAGTGGCTCGTCAGCAAAACAATCAGGACTACGATGTTTCCGACAACGGCTAGCAAGCTAACAAACCACACGGTCACTCGAAGAAAGCTAAAACCCATGATATCCTCGCATGGGTTGAATTCGTCCGGGTCAGGTGCGCAATCTACCTCGGCCCGATCGTCGCACATGATGTAGTCGTAGCGGTTGTCGAAATCCTGCGAGTTGTCCTCTTGGGGGTTTTTAAAGTTCTCGCCGAAGCCAACCTCGTCGTCGGACTGCCCCCCGAAAATGGCGTGGTAGTGCAGGCTGCTGTGGAAGTCGGGCCTCCATAAATCCTGGTCCTTCAGCAAGTCCTCGTTGGTCTCCTGGTCCGGGACGGGTTCAGACATGAGGTCGTCCTGCAGCGATGGCGTGCGTAAGGGTCCCACTGAGCGCTTTTGGTGCTGGTCATAGAAAGCGGTCAAGTTGCAAATGACGGACTCCAGGAATCTGAAATCAAAAACACTGAAAAATAAACCGGTTGAGTTTACGTGATTCTAAAATAGTAACCAGTGGACAAAATTGTTTTAATCTAGTCTGAAGATGATTCCAATAATTCCCTGAACCAGTTTGTGCACCTAGAAGCAAAGCGAATTGTTCAAATTTCTTGTTCTTGTATAGTTGTAGTTATGATTTGAATGCGCTGGAAAACGGCAGCACGTCCTAGCAGCTCTGAAGATATTGTACTCTATGACCGTTATTTTTTTGTCTTACTTTTTCCTACTTTTTCTAGCCACAGGCTCCTGTCACTGCGCTGCTGAATGGAACATTTCAAGAGATCCTTTGTTTTTTCGGCTGTCAGACTATACAACGAACCTGGATGAGTCTTCCAGGTTTTATTGATCCCTTCTACAGGGATCAATAAAGTATCTATCTATCTATCTATCCATATTAAATCAGAAAAGTCTTCTTGTTATCATATCATGTAAAGGTTACATAATATTTTCATTTTGAAGAAAATAAATTTGGGCTAATGCGAGTCCGTTATCCCACAGTCACACTCATTCACCCTGAACTATTGCACATGTTTTTAGTGGGAGGGGAAACCGGAGCACACCTTTGCAGACACAGGTAGAACATGCAAACTCCACACAGAAAGGCCGGGTATCATGATTTTAGGTTTATTTCCTGTTTTATTTTGTAATTTGTTACTCTCTGTGTCTTTAGTTGTACTTCCTGTTTTCTGATAACCTGCCCTGCCCTGATGTGTGTCACTCATGTCTCTCATTAGTGTTGTGAAATTCAACCCTGTGTGTTCCTTCTCTCCCTGCTCCGTCATTTTCATTCCATGTCTGTTACAGTTCTTGTTCCCGTCCCCGTCCCACGTGTGTTCTCTGATTTGTATAACTTACTTTTTATTAAATACATTATTTTGCAGTTCTGCGTTTCGGGCTCATTTCATTTTACCCACGTGACACTGGGAGGTGGAATCGACCCAAGAATCTTCTTACTGTGAAGCACGACCACGAACCCTGTGTTGCCCATGTTTTATTTCAAAACTCTGCTGTGGACTTGCCCAAATACTAGCTGCGAACAAATTAGGTGAAAATACACTCTATTCGTTATGTATGTTTAATAATGATAAATTAGCTGTATCTGGCCTCCAGAAGATCTTACCTGAAACACTATAGCTATACAGTTAAAATGTACATAAAGCTCTTTTGGGTTGGTACAATAATCCGTGTGAATATAGGGGAAAGCCCAAAACTCTAAGTGTGATCACACAATTATAATGAGTGCACACCTCCAGCTCTATTAGTCAGTCTGAGTGCTTTTCCCAACAATAACAGGTTTGAGTGACAGTAATTACAGCCGGGCTTTAGACATTATAGGTGAACGTGTCAGACAGTTGGTTCACAGCCTGCCAATGTCCACACTACTCCACAGCAGCTCGCCCAATACATTCAAGTTCAGGACATTCATTAGGACGTGTTACACTGCCCTCACCCCTGGGCATGTCTATAGTAATGTAGGGAACCTCTGATGTCGTTTGAAGACATTGTAAAAGAGCTACCACCTGTGAGTAAGTCAATAATCTTTGTTTATATAGAGCCTTTCACAGAACAGAGTCACAAAGTGCTTTACATTTGTCACTCACGCCACACAGAGATGGGAGCATGGTCGGCGAAAAGGAGACGCATGCCAGACCTACTCTATGTATGATTCCTGTGGTTCAGAGATCAAACTTTAAATCAGCTTGTGTACATAAGTGACATGTTAGTGCCATATGAACCAGATCTGCATCGAGTGAATAAACGCAGACATAACTTCAGCTTTGCATCTGTTGTTATGACTATAATGGCACCTTTCCATGTGGCGCGATATGAAGAAGAAGAAGGTCCTTTACTCGTCCCACAATGGGGAAATTTCAGATTGATGCATACACATACACATCAAGGCAAGCAGCGAACATCACTTCAACGCTCCTTATAGGCAAAGTGGGTTAAGTGTCTTGCCCAAGGACACAACGACAGCAGTGGAGTCAGTGGAGAAGGTCTCGAGGTCTACTATGCTCTACCAACTAAGCCACTGTTGCCCCTATGACGTGAAATGTTACTATATAATGCATATCCGGAAGAAACTCTCTCTCTGAGCTCTGAACAAACTAACAAATACCGTAAGAACTGAAACGGCCCATGGCATGTGTGCTTCTGAACTTGACTTAGTCTGTGTCTGATTTTACACAAGAGCACATGGACTGGCCTCCTGATGGTGCCCAGAGTCAGAACTAAAACATGGGAAGGCAGCGTTTCAGATTCAGTTTTTAATGTGCTGTGATTATTTTTGTGCGACTGTCTCTATCTTATTTTGTTCAGCACTTTGAGTTGCCTTGTGTATGAATGGTGCTATACAAATAAACCTGCCTTGCCTATGAACATTGTGATAAATGACTGCTACTGAGGCCTGTGCTCCAGTTAAAGCTGCGGTACATCACTTTCAAACCACAATCGATTGTAACTCTGTAATAAAATCCATGTAACGAGTGCTCTCTCACAAAACAGTTAAAATAGGCTTTTAACGACTCTCACTCAGACAATCCACTCTCAGCACGAAGCTCTTTCTTACACGTATGTAAGAGATAACACGTTTTCTAATAAGATGATGACAGCGTGTTGTGTTCTGAAAATGTTGCTTTGGGACACACATTATGTATTATTTGAAGATTGAAAGTTTAGGTACCCCAGCTTTAAATAGTTTTAGCAACATCTCTGCTCCATCCAAAGACTAACCAGGCCTCACACTGTTTAGCTTCAATGATCGGATGAGAGTAAATGAAGTAAAGGAAATTAAAGATCTATGAAAGTGAGTGGGCATTTTTTATATACAGTAATTCTACAGCTCCGTTGCGTTCGTGCAGTAGAATTCTATTTCAGATGGAGGGCATATAATTCTTTTGTATGTTTTTAAGTAAGCAGCTAGTTCCAAGATAAGGAAGCAGGTGATGCGTTGGTGACAGGTGAAACATTAAAGAAGAATTTTTAAACATAATTCCAAAATAAATGTCACAATGACTTCAACATTGCATCTTGGATTAGTTCATAGATTTCCCAATTCAGTCTTACATTTTAACAAAATCCCTGAAGCTATGGCTCAGTGCATAATCGATTCATGTCTCATACATTTAGATGACCATGGTGTCGTAGACCAGTGAGTTATTTTGTAACTTTGAAATGTTAACGCTGGGGTACATCACTTTTTTTTCTCTTTTTGCATTTTGTTTGGCTCACCCTCTGTTCTTCTTGATGTTCTTGAAGCCGCAGCAGTGGCTGGGGTAGGTCAGGTTGGCGCTGCGCAGGTGTAAAAATGTTTTGATCGGGGGCAGTTTCTTCAAGGCCCAGGCGTCCCGTGCCTTGAGCTCGCGCAGACTGCCCATCCCCAGAGCGGGCAGAGAGCTGACGGCTGTTTCCGACACATCTCTGAGAGGAAAGACAGGTTTACACACAGCACGAGCATTATTGTGACGTTTCGACAACATTTTGACATTAATTAAGGAAGAGATCAACGAAGTTAGTGGGTATTTGCATTCTGCAGCTCGAATAGGTTGTGTTCATGTTATTTTAGATGCAGGGCAGGTGTCAATACAACTCTAAGGGAAAGAGGCATTTTTGAAAGTATTTTTTGAAAAAGGACATGTCCGAATTATTTCCCAGATAGTTATTTGATAAAGACTACATTCAGAAATCTAAGAAATTACAGAAACTAATTACTAAACTAAGCCTAGAATGAGGGATGACTTTTACCTTCACCATAGTTACCTCCCTCCACCACAATTATAAACTAAAGGCTCATTGGAATATCTTTTTTAAAACCATCAATGGAAGTGTTTTAAAAGTATCAATATCTTTTGTGCCAAATAAAAGAGAGCTGACGAAATATTTTCTTCTCAAAGACACTAACCACACATGTAATCCGTGTGTAATTTTGATGCAATCTTTACATTGTTTGCTGTTAGTAATTGATTAGCTGCTCCAATGCTCCAAAGGTTAAACAAAATCGAAAAAATGACTGCCCTTTAAATCCTCTAAATCTCTTATCTAGAAATCTGCTGATGAAATTAATTAAACCGCAACCCAATCATGCCAAAAGTATAATTTCTTTTCTCCAACTCTAATTGTTTCTTTTCCCTTTGGCTCTGGCCACTTTGCTGTCCTTAGCTCGGTTTCCTCTCCTGGGACCCATTGTGTGCAGCCTGAGAAGAGGCTGAACAGACTTTTTAACTATTGTGTTTTGTGTTTTCCAGATGTTTTACACATAACCTTACTCAGTGGGTCTAATATAGCCACTAGATAGCCCTGGTAAATGGATTGAGAAGGGTTTGAGACTTAAAACACCGTCTGAAGTTACTCTCAGCTTACACACAAGGCTGTTCAGGTGGATACAGATGTGGAGGCGGATGGGGATATTTGAATGATACAGTCACGTCCAGTTTCCTGTCTGCAAATGACATAACTGTATGTTTTTAATTAAGCAGCTGGTTCAAGATAAGGAACCAGGTCATATATTGACGACAGATGAAATAATAAAGAAAAATGTATGTAATCTCACTTTAGACAAAAAATGTCAATATAAGTTACTGTAAATACACATCATGGATCTTCGATGAGACTTTTTCTGCAATTACGTTTAAACTGAGCTGGATTTATTTATCTCCCATAAATGTAGATGTCGAATTTCTATAAAGTAGATAATTGTCTTGTAACCTTATCATTTAAATGTTAGAGCTGTGGTACCTTAACCTGACTCTCGCCAGATCCTTGTAGATCGCTGAGCTCGACACAAGGATTGGGATTTCTCAATAGGAGATGTATTTCAGAAAGCGGGGCCTTGTAAAATATATAATTGTATGTGATTGGATAAACCACTTGTTCGTTATCTTGATTGACATGCTTCTTCAACCACTCACATTGAAGCACACGACTCCTCGCTGCGTGCCGCCATAGTTGTTTGAATCAAGCAGTCGCTTCAGCGCTACGGCACATCTGTGAAATGCTGCCCGGCAATCCTGCTTCATTATTTTTTGCTATCTTAAAAGAGTTTGCATTGCCCTCGATCCCAGATCTTGGGTGGAGGTCAACGAAGCGCCTCTGGTGAAGCCTGGCGGAACTACAAGAACCTGGCGAGAGTCAGGTTTCTTTAATAATGCGTTTTGTTTGTGTCAACAGAAAAAATCTTGTAAAAGTCACACAACCAAACTGTTCTGAGAGTGAGGAATTAGATACATACCCCAGTATTCTTTGTGCATGGTTTGGAAGTTACGTACCCCAGCTTTAAGGTTGAATAATTTCAATATATATCTGCAGTTTATTTACAAACTGTTCTTTGCCTTATCTTTGACCCCAATCACAGAATAATAATCATGATAATAATGTCACAGTTTTATAAAGTACTTTTTGGGTCACTCAAAGACGCTTCAAGATTCAAGAATTTATTTGCCATTTGCAGTAAAACCACATTGGAAAAACTATGCAAGGCTACCCTGGTGTGCACACGATATTATCCTTTCATCCCATACACAGTGGTGCTAAACTACTACTGTAGCCAAATCTGCTGAAAGAAGGGATGCAACCAGTACTGTATGTGCCATTGGCCCCTCCGACCACCACCAACCATTCAGACTTAAACTAGGCAATGTGGGTGAAGTGTCTTGCCTAAGGACACAACAACAGTTTGGCACTTTACAGCTACAGCCGCTCCACTGTGGCACCTGGTGTTCCCAGAGGTCTTCCATCACAGTACTAACCAGGCCTTTCACATGCAAGTGGCCCACTATACAGCAGCAGTCAGCAGCTCAATATACTACAGTACAAAGGTATATAAGAAATGTATCTCACTCTGAATCAATAAAGTAACTTCCAACCAATCAGTACTACCACAAATATTACTGCATTTACCAAGTTTCTAAGACAGAAGCAGCACTATTGCCCCCCTCAGCCTCTCCTCTTCCTCAATACTAGGTCTAGGCTCAAAATATATGCCCCTTCATTGCATTGCTGTCCTCTCTTCTGGGATCCACGTTTTCAATTTGTATTTGGGAATCGATTTTTTGATGCTCGCCTAAGCTTGAAAATGTTCCACTTTTCATGAAGTTGAGGTACTCACAGTAGCATGGGGCCCACAATGGTGCCTTCAAACGCCTTTTCATCGATCCTGGACAGATACTTGTTCCTGTGGAGGTCACTGGACACAAAGCAAAACAGTGATGCTCCATTAGTTGAAAGCCAATCCTTTTCATTTCAATCAGACCAAAGCACAGCATAATATTTGCCCAGGCCTCATCAGTGCACTTTTGGAGGTTTATTTTTGCTAATTTCAGAGGTGAGTCGGTACAGGAAAAGGTCTCTCTCGTGTTGCTGGTGGAAATTGGCCTGGTGTAAGATGCTCTGCTGAACTTTTGAACACACTCGGCACATCTCCCCACAGTCCTTAAATCCAATAAGGACCACAGCGGAGAGAGAAGAGTTTGTGTTGGTCAGGGCAAGCTGTTTGAATCACTTCTCACCTCAGCGGGGTCTGGGGGCCAAAGAAAACAGCTGTGTGCAGAGTCCCTCAGTGTTATAAAACCTACAGAAAAACAGGTTCCTTTGACACAATACAATATATATGTTTTATGCTTTATTTATTTTTTCCAAAATCCAAATAACATGGTATTAAAAGATTACCAATACATTTTCCATCGGTTTGGTCTTTAGAGTAATATTGTACAGTGTAGGTACTTTAGCCTATTCCTCATAATAGTAGTAGTTTATTTGGGCAGTTTTACTATGTATTTTTAAAGGTACATATCATTTCAAGAAACAAGGCTCAAAAGGAGAAGGCAGAAGCAAAAACCTTAAATGTGCCTTCCCCATTATCAAAAAGATTCAGATTTTCACATGACATTCCTGATTTTTACCATCATCATTAGCTTGTTGATGCAAGTCTTCTTTGTGATGCTTGTTTTAAATGTGTTGTACAAATAAAATTGACGTTGCCATTGACATAGACATTCACAGATCATAGAGATAAGAAATATTTTTAGTTTCTTTCCAAATCGCCAGTAGGTTTCTTTAGTTGATCAATAATATATTAGCCTGACACTTCAAGATGCCAACTTTTTTGATACATTTTTCACATGAGAAGATCCGCTGCTAATCAAGAGCGGGCTTATGTCTCAGTAGGAGCGCACAAGAGAGGCCCGCAGAGACCCAGCCGTGATCCTACTGCTTTTGTAGTGCAATTTTAGGCGAAAGGAAATCCACATGCCAGATGTCAGGAGCGATCTCATCCAGACCAAATACTGAACAACCCATTTGGAGAAAATGTAAAACCTCTAAATCCGCTCATTTCGGTGTCTCGAAAGGCCGGAACAACGAGTTAAAAAAAAAAATACACTTTCTGTCTGTGATTGGATTGGTTGAAAATGTGTGAATGCTGCAAATGTGAAAATTGAGGTATAAACAGCTTCATACACGTCTGAAGAGCAGAGTTATGTTACTGAAGTTGTGTGTAAATTTACAGAAATGTAATTTGGTTGTTTTCTGGAAAACAAATTGAATATTTTTGATTGAGATTGTCTTGGGTTGCTGAAGATTTAAAGTGCTGTCCCAGCTGTTAGGGAGTATAATAGTATATATATAATCATTAGGCCGCCTCTGAGGGGGCTGTTTGATGGCCGACATGGTAGGAGGGTGCTGTGGAAAGGTCTCGGCTTACACCATATGTTCTAAATTACTCACACATTTCATTTTGGCAATTCTTTTCACGTTCATTACAATTTTGAGTTAGTTATCCTTTTTGGTTCTAAATGTGAAAAAGAACAAAATAAGTTAACTTTTTATTCATTGTATTGCTGTCAGTTAAACGTGTCACTAATGCTGTTAACGCAAACCCATTGTAATCGTGTTTTTATTGCGTGATTAACGCAAGCACAAAAGTGTCGCAGCTGCTACTGTCGCCGTAAAGTCAAGGGAGAAGTGTAGAGGCCAGAGGACTACTGTAGAGCAGCAACAGTCAGATGTATGTATTTGTCCTCATGGTCTCTGTGGCAGAATACACGTGGGTCATTTTGGACTCACAAGTGCCTGGCCGGTGCGCCTGTGAGCTCGAGCCAGAAGAGAGAACAGAAAGAGCACAGTCAAAGTAGACAGTAGTAAACAATATGTGAGTGTTAAACTAACATAAGCACAAAGCAGTTATAACATTTACATTATGAGACACTGTACATGAACATACTGTACAGTTTGTGGCAGATGTACAGTATGTGTACTTTGTGCCATCTACAATGCTTCTAAACTAATCATTTAAGCATTTATTTCTTTCCTGACGATGAAAGGAAACACATTTATTGTACTTACACTTGTTCAAGTCTGGTTCCATTGAAGGCGTGATGCTGAATCTCTCTGAAGCCATTTCCAAACAACGCACTGACAGGAAAAAATAAATAAATAAATAAATAATATTAGTCCTGATCACCAGTTGAACACATAGACTGTATATATTAACAGACAGAGTCACGCCTATCTCTGCCGATCTAACTAATGGGCCAAAAAATGTGCTCTACTGGAGCAATCCAAAATGGCCGCGAGTGGTCCCGCCCACAAGAAAATAGTGAAAAAACGCATCTGCGCCTGCGTCAGCCGGCGCTATCTCCAGTCATTTAAACGAGTGACTTCAAAATTTCACAGCGACTAAACTAGAGTGGTCCAAAAATATTCACCCCCTCAGCATTGACACACATGTGGAACGGAGCTTTGGGCCAAGAGCCGACTTTTGGTCCATCCTGTAAAGACGTTTTTGAGAGGTCTGCCAATGCTATATGTTAGCATTGGCTAATTCTTCTTCTGGGTCCACCCCCATCGGCCCGGGGAGGTATTGCAAGCATGTCAGCGCACGTCCTTTTGGCCACTTTTGAGCTGGGACCCTCCCCCACTGGTTGAACATTGTACATTCGACATCCTATAGTTACAAAAACACCACATTTGTGACGTTAACGTTTACAAAATCATCAAAATAACATCAACTTAAACATGGCTAAGTGCTGTTTTTCGGAAAACCTTTTTACAAAATGGGACACAGACACAGGGTTATGACAGAAGGATGGGCTTAGAGTTAGGATGAAGAACATGGTCTTTTCTCGTCTCGTCTCATGATTGAATTTGACAGTGGAGCATTCAAATCCATCTGGCTTCAAATAAAACGCCGTGATGCAGTGAGTGGAAAATATGTCGTGTTTGTGCAACATATTACATTAATACTGAGGTTTTGTCTGCTTGTCCTTTGCTGCAATTTTGTGGTCGCAGCCCCAAATTCTCCGTAAAATATCCTCTCTCATTCCAGCAGCTCCTTCACAAACGTCTCTTCATAATCTGTGTACTTGTTTTGCAATCATCATCTCCACCGTAGTTCATAGGGAGGCCATGTTTTCAGAATGTTTGGCAGTCCGCACCTCTTCTCTGGCTTGTATGTAAGGAAGATGAACTGAGCTATACAAATAATCTTGCCATTTGGGACAGATAGAGAGTATATCAAAAGTACCTTGCTGTCATTAGAATATTAAATACAATTAATTCAAATATAGTTGAACGCAATCATGGGAAAAAAGAAACTCATAGTAAGCTGAGAGAGAAAACATTTGCATAGTGTCTGAGATTTCTAAAATATGTGACATGCTTTTTATCCGCCATAGAGTGGGAAGTTATAACACTTTCTTTAATGTGATTTCATTGTAAAGCAGTTAGGGCGCCATGAGTGTAGTAAAGGATTCTATGAATAAAAATGTATTGATTGATTGATTTATATTTAGTCCACTCATAATCCATATTCAGTCGGTTTTTGCAATGTGCTCTGTCCCTTTAATTCGAAGGCCCCGCAGGCTGCCATCAGACTGCAGATCATGTTAGACAAAAGTATATTTATTTTTATACACAGACACATCTCTGTATCGCGGGTTTAGAAAAGAAAATCAGTTGGTAAAGTAAACAGTGAGAGAAGCCAGGGGTGGAGCAGCATTTCAGCTTCAGTAGATATAAATTATAATTATAAATTACTTGATTATTTCATAGATATTAATCCCAACAGAATTACTCCGTGTTCCCTCTTAGACCTACGCACCGGTCTCCCCTGGCCCCTGCTTAGGAGCTCTCTCTCTCTACCCTGGGACCATGCCTCAAACAGACTTGAGCTCAATCCTGGATCTACAGCCAGTCCATCCATGGATCCGTCTCTCACTGTAGGTCTCTCTCTATTCTCCCACTGGGTTTTTAAAGTGTCCCTCGCCGATGCAGACGGTCGAAGGACAGGGGATTATCCGGGACATTAATGAACATTTTGGAACATTGGTTGACCTGTTATCTTATGAACCAATGACTCTTAGGGAGTTTTATTGTTATGTTTCTTCGTGTGTTCTTAATTGTTTGATTATTGTTGGCAAGTCAACAATTCTGTGGCTCCCCTTGAGACGACGGTACCAAAATGAAATGATTTGATACACAGGCTCACATTCATTGAACACATTCACTTTCATCGTGTGGACTTTTTGTTTCTCAATTTTGATATCTATTAATTATCTTATTGTTGGTGTTTTACTTCCTGTCCTTGTGTATCTAGCCCCTGTGCTCCTGTCCTCTTTTATTGGCCCATTGCTGTTGTTTTTCCCCATGTCTTGTCCCTGGTTTCAGTTTATACCTTTGAACTTATTTTTTCTTGTGGCCTTCATTAAATTATATTATCAACCAGTTTTGTCTGTTAGATCCCATGACAATGAACTAATTACTGTATCTACAAATCAAGTATATTGTATATTTTTTATTGTATTGCATTTTTTGATATTTTGTTCTTTGCTGGCTTTGGAAGAGTGCACATAGATCCTTGCTCGAGGCACTATTCTGAAAAACAAAGTGGTCGGTGTATGAGGGGTTTGGTTTGTGGCGCTCACACTGTCAGCAGCTCGGTGGTGATGCCCTGGAATGCATTGGCCGGGATCTCGGTGATGTACGGATGATCCACAATCTCTCTGCACAAGAAAATGGGTCATAAATGGCAAAATGATGTGGTTTATACATTGAGTTAGAAGTTGAGTTACTAATTTGTGTATTCTTTTATCCTTTGCTATAAGCAAAAGTCAATGATGTTTTAAAACTGCATTGCCAGTATTTCTTAATTAGGATAGTTGTGGTCTAGTCCTGGTATTCAGAAAGACATATAGACTTGCATATTGTATACCTCATAGGACAGTAGAAATTGCCTGAAGAGTTTGGATATAGACTAGATTTTATAAATAATTGAATAAATACATGCCTGAAAATATAAAGCAAAAACCACCGAAATGACTCATAAATACATAGAAAGTACATTACGGTTAAATAGTCAATGAGAAATGATATAATGAACATTCACAACTCTACTAATTCATGGAAATGTAGTAACACAATTCACATGTAATTTGTGTTCATTTTGGGCCTTAAAGCCACCCCGTGTAATTTTTACAGCTGCCCCATACGAAAAAAACATGTTAACTAGTAACAAATGTGACCTTTTTAAGAATATTTACCTCCACCATGTTTTTTGAATTGTATTCATAGGCTTAGAATTTAACTTATAAGTGAGGGGTGCTCTCCGTGTCAATGCGCCATCTTGAAAAACAGTGGTGGATCAGGATGCGAGAATCGCGTTTTCGTTTTGCATGAGCTGCTGATATCGTTGCTTTCACCGTGCCTTCACAAGTTGGAAGAAGGAACCATGGAGGACCACAGTTATATAAAAGAACCATGGAGGACCACAGTTATATAAAAGAACCATGGAGGACCACAGTTATATAAAAGAACCATGGAGGACCACAGTTATATAAAAGAACCATGGAGGACCACAGTTATATAAAAGAACCATGGAGGACCACAGTTATATAACAAAACGATCCGAACAACAATCTTTTCAAAAAATAATTATGCAAAAGTCCGGCGTCGTAGCAGCAAACAACATCGCGAACCACACGCACCGAAAGACAGCGTTAACACAACAGGACACAAACACATTCTATTTATCTTTTATTATTTATTATTTATGATATTGCTCTTGCTACTATTCATGTATTGTGTGATAGTTCCTTTTAGTCTCACATTTTAGTGTTTTACTTATTGTATTGTTATTGTATTGTTTTTAGTGTTTCCTCTGGAGGAGCCCTCTGCACTGGGAGCAGTGGTCGGTGTGGCTGCGGGGGTCGGACTACTGGGGCTGGTGGGGGTCTGGGGCCTTGGTTTCGTGTCTCCTCTGGGTCCTGTGTCGTCCCTTTTGGCTACGGGCGGCTCTCTGCTCCTGGTGCAGACGGCTCCTTGGATGACGCTTCTTCAGCTGGTTGCATCTGAACCCTGCCAAGTCTCTCATCATGGTTTTATTGTTTTACTGGTGTGTGTGTGTGTGTGTGTGTGTATGAGTGTTCATGAGCGCGTGTGTGTGTTTGTCTGTGGTTTGGGGTGGGTCTGTTGGGTGGTCTGGGGGAGGGGTCATGGGTCGGCGGGATTGTTTTTAACCAAACTGTAAAGCACTTTGTGTTGCATCTTTTGTATGAAAAGCGCTTTATAAATAAAATTTGATTGATTGATTGATTGTGTAGTTTGTACACAACAGACTCACACAAGAACAATACGTAACTTTTTCACACTGACAATAATGAGAACGAGGCAGAATCTGCAACACAGTCTCAGGATGTTCTGACCCGATCCGAGCGCAGTCCAAACTACTATGTCACAAGTTTCAACTAAACTTAAGCCTCAAATAAAACACAAACAGAATCCCCACAAAACAATCGCCAGAATACTTCATCAGCAGCGTGAGTGAATGTTCTGTTTTTTCTCTGTATCTACATCTGATGTGGCAAAAGCAATAACGCTCCTAAAGACATCTAGAGCTAAGGATGCATATGGTCTGGACACGTATATGCTAAAACAAATAAGTCAATCAGTTATCAATCCATTAACACACATCATCAATATGTCAATCAGTGAAGGGATATTCCCGGAATCATGGAAACTTGCACGCGTAATTCCAATACTTAAAAGTGGTAATGCTCAACTGACCTCTAATTACAGGCCAATTAGTATTCTACCTACTGTGTCCAAAGTATATGAAAAGCTGGTTGTCGAGCAAATAGTTGATCATCTTAATAATAGTTCCTCCTCATTGCATCCAATGCAATTTGGATTCAGGTCCAATCATTCAACTGAAACAGCAACTTGTTATTTTCTGGAAAAAGTCAAGTCATCATTAGACAAAGGGGGAATAGTGGGGGCAGTTTTTCTCGATCTGCGGAAAGCATTTGACACAGTCAACCATTCAATTTTATGAGAGAAACTTCAAAATTTTAACTTTTCCACAAAATATATCAATCTTATTAAATCATACCTTTCAGCTCGCACACAAGTCGTACAAATTAACAATCATAATTCCCATCCATTACAATTATCCACTGGAGTGCCTCAAGGATCAATAATTGGCCCTATTCTTTTTAGCATATACATTAATGATTTACCATCAGTATCCAAGACCTGAAACACCCTTATGTATGCAGATGATACGGTCATTTTTGCACATGGCAAAACAACAGAGGAGGTTGCTTCAAAGCTAACAGAGGCCATGGCGTCAGTCACATCCTGGCTCGAAAAATCCTGCCTTCAACTTAATATATCCAAAACTGTTTGTATGTTCTTCTCCAAAAACACCAGAAATACTATAAACATTATACCAGATATTTCAATAGCAGGACAAAAAATACAAGTAGTCACAGAATTCAAATATCTAGGATTATACATTGATTCAAACCTCAGCTTCAAAACACACATCCAAAACACTAGCAATAAGATTAAATTCTGTTTATCAAATTTTAGGTTCATTAGAGACTGTTTGTCAAATGAAGCTGCCAAAATATACTTCTTTTCCATGGTCCTCTCACATATCACATACTGTATCATAAGTTGGTCAAACGCACACGCCACAACAATCAAACCCATGAAATCATTATATAAACAAGCGCTTAAAACATTGGATAAAAAACCCTACAGATAAACATCTGTTTAATGTATAAAATTAAAACTGGCTGTGCTCCGCCTTCACTGAGCGAGTTTGTAAACTTCAGATCGAGTGCAGCCAGAGTAACTCGAGGGGCAGTGAGGGAAGACTGCGTCCTCCCCCTCAGAAAAACTGCATTTAGTCAGGCCGTGTTTTCTTATAAAGCCTCCCAGCAGTGGAACTCAGTGCCTGAAACAATTCGCAAGTCTTCCTCATTTAATTCATTTTTAAAAAAAGCCAAAAAGTGCCTCGTGGAGACACAGACTTGTGAGCACTAGTTATATTGAAAATGTATACTTTGCTCATTTCATGTACTATGTATGTATGTAATTATATTGTGTTTTGTAAATTGCTATGTGTTTTTAATCTTGCTTTTTTAGGCTGGCTTTGACATCTGCCAAAGGGTCTACTGATGAAAATTAGCTTTTCTGCTAACTCGGGCATATTTACATTGTAAAATGTTGATTAATGTGCACTGTCCCTTTTCAAATAAATAAATCAAAAACATTTTTTTACCGTGATGCAGATCGCTGTGGCTAACGCTAATGCTAACATTGCTATTTTGCTAATGCTAGCAATTTCCAAGTCTGTGACTTCCTGTTACTTACGTGGCAATAAAAATGATTCTGATTCTGATTCTGAAAATGAGCTTTTAGCCATGCTAAATACAGTATGTATATATACTGTATCTGTATATGTCCTGACTCCTGTCTTCTCCGATAATCATGGTTTTAAGCTCCCGCAGACGTTTTTCCTCCATGCGTCTCTTCTCTTCACACCGTGTTTGTAAAATTATTTATTATAACAGATCCATGGTAAAACTCAGTACAGCATCTGTGTAGCGGGTGCAGCTTCAGAACACGGTCTTGTTTACATGTCGCCTCCACGCGATTGTCAAGTGCGTTTGGAGCGATCTGGTTATTTATCAAACTAAAGTATTCTTTCCTTGGCAGTCTGGTGAATGTCTTTGACAGTGCTCCTCAATTCAAAGGCTTCCGTAGTTCTTTGTACTGCAGTATAAGATCCCAACGCTAGATGCTGGCACTAAAGATTACACAGTGTACCTTTAATTGTGATGTTCTTGTACTGTAGAATATGGACAATTTTGTAAGAGAGAAACAGTCTCGAAGGGTAGAAATGGGTAATTAAATCTGGCTCCTTTGCTTCATTTCAACTCATCCAACACAAAAATTATCTTTAAAAAGTGGCCTGCATGCGGTGAAAATATTTTCTAATCTAATCTAATCTAAATATGCCACATTTGTGAAGAGGGATAGATTATTTCAGCCAAGGAGAAGTGCTCAAGAATACAAATTTAGACAGATTTGTGAACAATATTTGTGAAAAAATTTGTACAAAACTATAGCTGAAACGATGGAAAACATCAGCACATAAAAAAAAATTTGCTGATAAAATCTGGCATTGTTCTGACCATTTGTATAGTTCTTTTTCTTTTGTATTTCTTTCAAAAATAAAGCTTTGTTTTTGAAAGAAATGTTGAAAAAGATATCAATTAGAAATAGATACAGAAAACCTGCCTTATTAGTCTTGTATCTGAGTGTCTTTTCTACTGGCCAACATCATGCTTGTTTAAAGAAGATATTGCCACCACTTACAGACAACTTTTATGAGACAATAATTAGACACTAATTACTCTGTACAAAGAAGATAATTGCAGTATTTACATGTGGATACTGTAAATAATGTGCAATAATGGAATACCAGAATGTGTATAATGTAATGTCATAAGGACAAACCCTATTGAAGGCACACACTTGTCAATAACATACTAATTAAGCAGCATTACAAAAACAGAGAAAACACCTCTGCCCATGACGTAATCACAGGATATACAAAAAGAAAAAGAGGCGTTTTGAATGAGGCCAGTTTTGAGATGTTTGTTTGATATTATACCGTGACATGGTTAAAAACGCGAAACATTTAATATATATTATTCTTTGTGTGTACTTACAAAATGAAGCTTGGGTCAAAGGAGTTGATGTTGCTGAGATGTGGAAAGAACATGAGGCCCGTGTTGTAAAGCCCTCTGAAGAAATGCACACAAACACATTTGAACATAATGACCCATAATAATCTCCGACTGTTAGTGTTTGTGCCCACAAAGGCGGCCGCAATACAAAAACACATTTCAGCATGTAACAAACAACATTATGTGCTTCCAGAAATCAAAGAAAGAATGTGAAAAATACATGCAAGGGATAAAAAACAGACAAAGTGAAAAGAACGGCAGGGAATACAGCAATCAAATGTGACTTGCAATTAGAATGACAAAAATGGATTTTCTTCTATGATTATCATTCTGTATGTAACCAGCAGAACTTATAGTTGTAGAGCTATATCCCACATTTTAAATATGAATCAATTTGAAATGTAGATCTTATTTTTCTCTTTTTTTTACAGGATTACAAGTCTATTTGTTTTCTCTTCAATTTTTTCGTTTACAGCATATCTCTATAGACATATACATGTATATATCATAATCAATTTCATTAAGACGTGTTTTCCATCAAATCCATGCGCCTTTTCTGAGCCATAGACACACGAGTAAGTATCAATATAATGTGTGTTCCAGGCAGCTCTCGCCCACATTTGAGCAGATCAATGACACAGCAAAATGATATATGTTGATAATAATTAAAAAACCATTGTCTTATATTGCAACAAATACAGTACTTACAAGTATTTGAGACTCGGCAGGTTGTGGAAGGCTTCTGGGTGGATGTAGGTCAGAGTTTTTAAATTTCTTAGCTCTCTGGAAAAAAAAAAAAAATGTTTACAGGACAATTAATCAATCCATTTACAAAAACAAAATCATATTCAGAGCACTTTCTCTGAGGAGTCAAATTTAGTATAGATAGTGAACTATTGTGAAAGAAAATCTATTTAGCAGTAGGCTTGCACTTTTACTCATGAATAAGCACATTTGTGACTTATGCCTTATCATCGTTTTTTCCGATTTTGATATATTTTTTCAGGGGTTAGGGTTATCAAGAGCTGATACAGTAAACTAGCTTTGGAATAATTCATAACTTTTAACTACTCAAACAATTCTAAACATAAAGGCAATAATTTGTTTTCTTTATATCTAAAGAAACTCAGACTTTCCAAAAGTTTCTTGTTCCATACACTTCACTACAAGCCAAGCAGAACAGAACAAGTGCATGGTGCCTCAGTGGCGAGTCTCTTTCCTCACACACAATGAGCCATGGCCGTCTACAGCACTGCATTGACAAAAGCTTACTTGTTTGAGGAACAGCCGGGTGCATATGTTATTATGAATGGATTTTTAAATGAAACCATAATTTAACTTGAACCTATAGGATCAGATTTGATTGGGCATAATTTAATAGTACTCAAAAGATGCCTTGCTATTAACCAAAAAATATGTTAATTGATTGTGCTCCAATAAGCCAATAAAGCTTTGTTAATCTAAAACAAAAACAAAAAACTAGCAGGGAAGAATGTAACCAATAGTATCTCATCAGTACTCAGTAAAGTAGAGAGAACTACATAGACCAGGCTCCTTTGCTTCATTTCAACTCACGCAACACAAAGATTATCTTAAAAAGTGGCCTGCATGCGGTGAAAATGTTTTCTAATCTAATCTAATCTAAATATGCCACATTTGTGAAGAGGGATGGATTCATTCAGACAAGGAGAAGTGCTCAAGAATACAAATTTAGACAGATCTGTGAACAATATTTGTGAAAAAAAAACATATTTTATGTGTACAAAACTATAGCTAAAATAATGGAAAACATCAGCACATAAAAAAATGGGTGTAAAAACAAAAAGTAAATACCAGGTGTGTGTGTGTGGTCTGTAGCGCAGTAGTGGTAAGGGTAAAGGTTGGCCAATTTGGTGATATGCAGCAGTATTAATAAAGGCCAAAGAAAACTGGATCATTCCAACGAACCAGATCCTGGCTCCGACAAGACCCTGCACAAGCTCTTTTGAGGCCAAACAAGACTTAAGTTAATGCATGCTAAAATATCTGACATAAATTCAATATGTTTATTTAGAAAGAAAATTACAATGGCAAAGACTTGACTGTTTCTGAATAATCTTTGGAAAAAAACAAGGAAAATTGTATGAGACTAAAAAATACTAAGTAAATATCAGGATTTGGTATCGAAGAGCTAGAACTAGACTCTTAAAGGTTTGTTGAAATAGTAATAATCATAGAGGGTCATCTCGGGCAGTGGTTCCCAACCTGCCCCGTGTACCCCCTCGCCAGTTTAGACAGGGTTCTTAAGATTAGAAAAGCATCCTTTGACGTATACCTCAGGGCTGTTAAATTCATTTTGGTGGGAGCTACAACTGTTTCTAGTTTACTGTTATCGCAATTGTTTTGTTTGTGGAAAGTTTGTTCATGATTTATATTTTACAATTGAATATCTATCTGTAATTGATTCAGATTCAGATTCAGTTTATTTGCCATTTGCAGTAAAAAAACCCACATTGGAATACATTAGCAAAAAGTCTCCAGTGTGCACAGACAAATACAGACATAACACAACATTAAAAGTACAGAAATAAAACAAATAAAACAGTAAAAAAATGTCACTGTGAAATCGATCGGCTCTGTTCAAACTGATAACAGCTTGTGGATAAAAACTGTTAGTATATCGAGATGTCCTGCATCTCAGCGAACAATATCTTCTGCCAGAGGGAAGAAGCTGGAACATGGCTTTTCCAGGGTGGCCAGAAGAGTCATTAACAATCCTAACAGCTTTGTTTAAAAGTCTGGATTTATAAAGAACCTCTAGAACAGGAAGCTCACAGCCCACGGTCCTCTTTGCAGAGCGGAGCACCTTGTTTAACGCTCTCCTTTCTTCGTCTGTGATGTTACCAAACCACACAGACACAGAGCCAACAAGTAAACTCTCAATGGTGCAGCGATAAAAATTAAGCAGAATTTTAGAGTTAGTCGTAAATTCTCTAAGTTTCTGCAGGAAGTAGAGCCGCTGACGAGCTTTCTTAACGACTCGGTCAGTGTTTTTAACCCATTTCAGGTCGTTAGACAGAGTTAAACCCAGAAACTTGGACTCCTCTACGATCTGCACCTGGAAGTTGTCGATTACGACAGGCAAATGAGAACTATTGCGACTGAAGTCGTAGACCAGTTCACATGTTTTCGATGCGTTCAACTGGAGGTTGTTACGTTTACTCCACTGAACCACATTTTGTATCTCTGCTCTATAACAGGATTCATCATTGTTACTGATGAGACCAATGATGGTGGTATCAACAGCGTATTTGATGATCAGGTTCGAGTCAGAGGAAGACATACGATTGTATTGTTTTTTTAAGATAACTTGACCATAAAGTGCTTTTATTGAACTTGAAATGACATGGATCAAAAGCCTTGTTATTCCACACTTATGGAATAATTATGGTTACTAATTGTGTTCTGGGTTCAATATGTTCTGGGTTCTACGTGAATTATAAGTAGGTAAGTAACGTTTGTTTATATAGCGCATTTTACAGACTTATACTTTAAGTATAAGTTTGGATTTAATAATACAGTACCTTCAGTTCATCCAGAGTGATCATGGGCCTCTTGGCTGCATCTCTGATCAGTCTTCTCCTAGTTTGAGATGAAAGTTTGGAGGGACGGCCGGGTCTTGGTAGATTTGCAGTGGTCTGATACTCCTTCCATTTCAATATAATTTCTTGCACAGTTCTCCTTGAGATGTTTAAAGCTTGGGAAATCTTTTTGTATCCAAATCCGGCTTTAAACTTCTCCACAACAGTATCTCGGACCTGCCTGGTGTGTTCCTTTGTCTTTATGGTTCTCTCTGTGCTTTAAACAGAACCCTGAGACTATCAAAGAGCAGGTGCATTTATACGGAGACTTGATTACACACAGGTGTATTCTATTTATCATCATCAGTCATTTAAGACAACATTGGATCATTCAAAGATCCTCACTGAACTTCTGGAGTGAGTTTGCTGCACTGAAAGTAAAGGGGACGAATAATATTGCACGCCCCACTTTTCAGTTTTTTATTTGTTAAAAATGTTTAAATTATCCAATAAATCTCGTTCCACTTCACAATTGTGTCCCACTTGTTGTTGATTCATGACAAAAAATTAAAATGTTATATCTTTATGTTTGAAGCTTGAAATATGGCGAAATGTTGAAAGGTTCAAGGGGGCCGAATACTTTCGCAAGGAACTGTACATGTTATTTATAGTGCACCTTACATTACCAGGAAACCTATAAGTGCTACAGATTAACATCAAAACAAAGCAATAGAAGTACATAAATACATTTAAAATACAACATGCCACAGTAGCCCGCATTAACATAAAAAACTTTGATCTCCTTGTATAGTTCCATCTAATTTTCATATAGGAGTAGGACCTATTCACACTTATTGGTCTGTCCCCTTTAACTGATTTAAAATCCCCAATCTCCAAACCAAACCAATACTCAAACATGAAAATATAACTATATAATAACTATAAAACTACTGCTACTCACTATAAAAACTAATAGTACAACCTGCTGACTGCACTACATCTGGCAACCGATCTCATTCCAGCTAAACACTGTCATCTGTGAAAGAGAGCAGACCTAACATTTTTGCCCAACACTTTCCCAATAAAAAAGCAACAAGTCTTTAAATTGGTGATTTAGCAGCATGCAGCCTGAACTCTGCCGCTGCCTCTCCGCCGTCAGGAAACGAAAGATTAATTTGTGCCTAACCATGAGAGAAACCCGAGAGAGGTGCCATTATCTGCTGCATGGTACCGCACCACACCAATCAGCGGCGAATGGGCCCCGGAGATCCAAAATACACCTCGGAGTTGCACACAAGCCGGGCCCAGTGGTTTGAGTTACCCAGCGAAGGCGTGTTTGGAAATCTGGAATTAACCGACTAATGGGGAGTGACACTAAAAACCAAAGATAATTGAGATCAAAATGCAGAGTATAAGTAAGGCTCGCACACACGGAGAGCGGCGATCAAGTCAATTTGCACGCGTCTCAATCAGAGGTACTAAGACTGGATATGTATCATTGTTGTTATGGGGGAATTTAGTGTATTTTTTATTGAGTTTGGTTTCGACAAAGGCATTCACATCCTGTATTGTGGAGACTGGGTCAAAACATTGTACGGAGGAATTTATTGTCCTTTTCCAGTTCATAATTCAATGAAAATAAGAATCCACAAAATGTTCCAAAAATATCCATTAAAGAATAATTTTTAATCATTCCACCTAAAACATGACAACAAAAAGAAATGACCTGAATGAACACATGGAAGGTGTTTAAGTCTCAAGAGTCTTTATAATAGATAATAATAGTCTAAAAGACACATTTGTCTAAACGGGAACAATTACATAAACTTTCAGAGTATGTTTTTAAGGCCCAAGAAAATTCTACCAAATCAATTCAATTCAATGTATTCTTGTATAGCCCTGAATCACAACAGTAGTTATCTCGGAGGACTTTACAAAACCGTTGAATTCGCCAACACAGATCAGAGAATAAAAGTTAAAACACAAAAGATGCAATGATAAAGACATATAGAACCATTGGTCCATAAGTGTAGATAAATGTATATAAATGTTGGACACTTTGTCTTGAATAAAAAAATAAAAAAATAAGATTATAGTAATACAGTCATAAAGCTTTAGATCTAAACGTTCTCCAGTTTTCCACAAATACATGTCTCAATACAAATAATGTAGCATTTTCCCACTGATCACACAACAGTCTGTAAGGCTTGTCTAGCGTTTAAAATAGCATCATTAACTTGTTTTTATCTCTAATCCGAGCGACACAGACCATTTTACCATTCAATAAGTAGCTGCCTTTTCCGCTGCAGGCTTCCTTTTTTTTTATCTCACGAGGGTAAATAGAAAAGTTCAATCAATGGCGGCCAATAAAGAGCGCTGCATTTTCTGTCAGTTACTCACATGTGGGTGATTTTCTTCAGAGCAGAGAAGGAGAGGATTTCCAATCTCTCCAGCGACGTGTCCACTGAGATATATCTGAGGACAAACAAACACGGCTGCAATGTTCAAGCACTTTTTGATCATGTCTGCAAATAATGTCATTTAGCAAGCATGCACGATGAAAGAATGAATTGCTTGTTAAGGGTAAAAGGCAAGCGGAAAGATAAAACGTATTTTCATAAATGCATTTCTGTGTTGGTTTCTCTTTCATGGATTGATCAGCCTCCGTGTCCAGGGCAATTTTACAGGTATGCAGTCCTTGTATGCTTTACCCAGTCATCAGTCACTCAGTACATTTGTTATTGCCCCAGAAACGGTCGGCTCTATAAATAAACTTTGAACTTAGCAGCAGGTCTGTGTTGAAGTGAAGAGTTATTAGGGGAAAGAAGAGCATGTGTACCATTACTTAGAGTAATTGGCATATACTTCACAAAATAAACCACTAAATCAGGAATTTGACTGGCACTCGAGTGGGTTTGAACATCTGGAGGTGGAATGTAACAGGTACAGGAGTCACAAATTGGTTCTTGACGGAGATTCATTAGTAGTAGTTTTTAACATATTTATGGTTACATTTTGAGGATTATTGTATCTAACAGCACAATTCCTAACCTTAAAACCTTAAACATGGAACTATGTAATAAAATCCATGTAAGTAGAGCTGGCTCTGGTTCTATCACTAGTTCTAACCTCTTTTCAAAACATGTTTGTCCAAAAGTCATCCTGGTGGATTTGTGTTGTACATGTTTTGAAATATCATTATTTCATGATGATTATCACATCATTTAAAGTGAAAGTCAGTAACTTTTCAATGTGTGAAGATGGAGAGACATTTTTCAAATGCAAGCACCGGTTAGACCCACCCCACAGGGGCCTGATTGGACTAAAAGAATTCAAATCCTTGATAGACAGCTGAGGCCCCTCATCATTGGTCTAATGTTTCTCCTACTGCAAATCTTTCTGCTGATCATTCCAAATGTTTTGAAGATATTTAATAGGAAACAGACTTAATAAAGAGGGTCAAATGGTTAATAAGATGATACAACAGGGTCAAATATTTAAAATATATACATTCCTATCAGGCCATTTTCTAGAACCATTTTACTGTTAACAAAACTTCCTGCACTGTCTTTCTTGCGTGACATTTACCCAGTGAGGCTCCATGTGTAGACTCTTGCTCTGTTCCAGTCTGTACCCAGCCAAGACAGCACTGCTCAAATCCCCCGCCCGTGTCCGAACGCCACTGAGGCTGGACGGACCACACATTCCTCTCAAAGGAACGCACCAGAGCTTCCAGCTGTGATTGTGAGCCAGCTCTGATTCTGAACCGAGGCCATCATCTGTGTCCTGCCTGCATGTGATGGACAAGCCAGAGGAAGGCCATGGGGATAAAAGGGTCCTGGGTTTTAGGTCTGAGAAATCGCACAGGTGTAGGAGAGCTGAAGAGGGTCTTGTGCTGATTCAAAGCAAGCTTAGGAACGGGAACTTACATCCAGGATATGTTGACCATGTTTGAGAAGGCATCTGTCGGCACAGAGTGAAGATGAGTCTCCCAAAGATATCTGTAGAAAAACAAATGCTGTTGTGAATTACAATTATCAAACCTCCCACGGAAAAAAAACTATGTGGTGTATTTATCTATCCAGGTAGCTCCAATGTTTAGGGGTGCTATTCAGATAAACCTTGATTGGTTTAAAAAATACATATAATATAATAATAATGTATTAGTTATATATTCTTATGATAGCTATATATAGCGCTATCACGTGGCATTATTCATTCACTCCGTATTACAGGGGTGGTAAACTACTATTGTAGCCATCTCTCCAATCATTCACACGCACACCAGACTTATACTATAGGCGAGTGTTTTGCCTAAGGACACAAGTACAGTTTGGCACTGAACAGCCTGAGCCATCCCGTTGTACTGACCAGGCCCTGCCCTGCTTAGCTTCTCAGGTAAGGCCACATACGTTGATCCAGTTTGAAATCAGGGAACTCTGCTTGAATTTAAGAACTGTCATTTGGGATAAGCGCGCTGACACACTTTGCCGTCCTCCTCTTTACAGTTTGTTTCAGATTAAACCCAAACCCAAACCCAAATGCTGTGCCCGAAGAAGAGTTCCATGTTTACCTAATCTGAAACAAAATAAATGAATCCAAGAATTCTCAACAAACCCAAATTGTCCAAAGCCAAAACCCCAAATTGTCCCAATTAAGACGTAAGACAGACGACAACAATATGCCTTATACATGATCATATCTAAAGTGGTTGGATTAAAGATAAACGTGTACATTTGTCATTGGACACAAACACTTAAAGTGAAGCTCTGTTTCAATAACAAGGGAAGTATAATGCGGAACTTATAAATGACATACAATTGTAAATATATAGAGACAAAGATGGAAAGGGTTCAGGCCTTTATAAAGTAAAAACATAAAAAGTGCTTTCTGCACATGCCATCGGTCTGGGTCCACATAATTATTATGCGGCTGCAGAACAATTGACCTATTTGAGGCATTAATTAAAAGTGAGAAAGAACAGACTAGCCTTTTTATCACAACATGTCTGCTCTTTATAAACACTTGCTTAATTAAAATTGTAAATTTTTAACAAAGCACTGCACCATGGAAAAGGTAACTTTTACTAAGCATTTTTACACCAAATACCACCGTTATGTATCATATCTGGGTTTACAATGACGACCAGACCCACAGAGACAAACAGGTGATCTGATTGCTAGTTGCACAATTTTGGCTACAGAGTTACATTCAAAAAGGTTGTTTATTGAAGGAAGAACTGTAGTTATATTAAAGATCCAAAAAGGCAAAATATGAAGGTAGTATTTCTTCATAAATAATCCCCACAGATTTCTGAAAGTGTTTAGAAAGTTCTGCTCCATATTACTACAATTTATGAGTAGAAATAAAAGACTCTCACTGTTATATAAACGCTTCTTTTCTCACAAAACTCTTATAGTTTTGTGCCACATATTTTGACAAATTATACTAATAATGAAAACCATATGAGAGGTCTCAGGTGGAATAAGAAAATATCTGCCTGACAACAATACAAAAGATATTGCTCGTTCCATTGACACATCTTCAAAATATACTAAAATCAAGAGAAATATTCCGAAATCAAGTCATTTTTACATAAAGACCCTTTATATTTGCTATGAACCTAAATAATTGCAGTATTTGCGATAAATCATGCAGCCCTAATGATCGCTCAGTTTGGACTGTTTAAATACGTGTCCATACTTTCTAATACAAAAACTCTGTATAATAATATGAGTATAAATAATGTGTTTACTCTGCAAATAAATCCACACTTGAAAATTTCTGACTTGGATAACTTCAAATTTGACAAAAATTCCCGCTATGTGAGTGAAATGTTGCAACACTGTCTTTTGAAGCCATCCCATTGCCAAACACTATGGGCTCATGCATTCTTGCACTTGTCGCTATCACTTTTAACCTAGAACCAGGTGGAAAATACAACATGTTTACGCACCTTCTGAATAGGGGAACAATCGCTGAATTCAGCTCCAGATATGGGGTCACTTAAGCCTGGCACAATCACACAAACACAGGGACACAAAGCAGACCTGACACCCCCACGCCACCCTGACAGTTAAAAGAGAGGAGCAAAACCGCTTCAATTTGAGACGTGTAAACAAACTGGGCTTGAATTGAATTTGAAGTGGAGAGAAGCCACAGCGTTTAAAACGGTGTTGGTATTGGATCTACAACAAGCTGCGGTCATGATCGACAGAGACAGGACGGGTTTGAGGTTTAATTGCAAGCGTGACGAGTGAAAGTAGGGGGCGGACGACTCTCCCTTGCCAGGAGGACTGCGATGTGTGTATGCTGTAGTTGTCCCAGTCCTTGCTCACAAAAGACATCAAGTGAAGTGCTGTATTCAATTCAATTCAATTCATTCTTGTAGAGCCCTAAATCACAACAGTAGTTATCTCAGAGGACTTTAAAAAAAACGTTGACATTGCCACACAGGTCAGAGAATCAAACAGTTCAAGCACAAAAACTATAGAACACATATATATTGGTCCATAGCAGTAGTGTGACCAATGTCTATGAATGTTGATAAATGTCTATAAATGTTAGAGAATGTTAGAATATCCTGGATCATCACCACCCCTGTGCATCCTGGATATATTACATACCACAGTGTGTTTCATTTTTCTTCTACTTTGAATCATCTGTGGCGGGTCATTTTGAGCCAAGGGTAGCACAAAAATTAATAAGCATATATTGGTCTGGGTTGTTCTCAACATTTCACTTCTTCTGTTGGGACAATACATTTTTCTCAATTAACGAAACAAAAAACATTATGCACCCCAGTTTTACAATGTACTCGAAATCACCCTGTTATATATTAATCTTGTATTATAACCTAAAATATCCTTTTGGTAAGCACTGGTTTGTGTACGAACTGTGTTATACAAATATACTTGCTTTGCCTGTTGAGATTTTTTTCTTTTATGCAATTCAACATGGCGCCAAGACAGGGCACGTTGGCAAAATCAATCTGCTGCACACTGGGATTCTCTTGCACAGTGATTCCAATGTGGTTTTACTGCAAACGGCAAATAAACTAAATCTGAATCTGCCCTTATATCTATTTATCACTTGTTTTTCAGATCTTCTTAGCACATATGAGCAAAAGCTACAAGTTAAATGTTTGTGACTTCCTGTTACTTACAATGGCAATACAAAAATCTGAACATTTGATTTTGCCTCTGAACATTACCTGTGCATCATTTTTGCTTCAAATTAATTGCTGGGATGAATGATACCATTTCCAGAAAAGCCCTCTCAGCAGTTTTGTATTTTACACCTTCAATAATGACTTCTTAGTGAATTCACACACACCACATCCCTTTTCGCTCTCGATGCAGAACTGATACAAGATATGCAGATGTTCAAACCCACAATTCTGGAATTTCTGACTATATGCTGTTTTTGTTCTTTTCTCCTTGAACTCTGTTTGCTCTTAATGATTCTCAAATGGGACTCTTTAGGTGTTTGAGAGGACATGTGCAGCGGAACACAAATGTTGCTCTTGAAAGCATCAGCCTGATGTCGTCCTATGTCACAATATAAAGATGATGTGCTTTCTTTTCTTTGAAGTATAACCTCTATTTTAGATAAAAGGCAAACATTTTCACTGTCGGACAAAACACAAACTACAAAGGAGTCAGAAATATTACAAAATTTAAAGGCGACAGTAGCTCAGTGGGTAGTGCATTGGCCTTTGAGACTGAAGTTCATGGGTTCGAGCCCACAACGAGGCTTACTTCCCGACTCCCACTGATGTCAGCTGTCATTGTGTCCTTGGGCAAGACACTTAACCCAACTTTGCCTGAAGCCCCTGCTGAAAAGATCCAGGCTCCTGTGGACTCACCACCTGCAGGAGGATCAGTGAGGGGCTGGTGCTCTGTGTACTGGGTGCAGCTCTGACTGCCAGCCCCCTGACCCAGAATGGAATAAGGGGAAGAAGATGGATGGATGGATAAAAAACAATGTTCTAATTCTTTGTATTGTACATGATTTATAATGTTATAGTGAGGGTATGTTACTAGAATCTTCCTGCCTGTGACACTGTGTATTACCAATGACTACTTATTTTTTTACTTAAAATGTGTGGTGGTAGATAAAAAAATAAATAAAATAACAACAACAAAAGAAACAGCTACATTTAACTTAACAATTCAATTCAATTCAGCCCCAATTCTCAACATCATTTGACTCGGAATCAAAATGTTGATTTGCCAACATAAAATAAAAACAAGTTTTCAACTGTTTTGGGTTGTTTACAAACTGGCATCCCAATTCATTCTGGTTCCTGATTGGATCATCCTCTTGAAAATCGTAAACATAAATATTATGAACATAATGAATATCATGCTCATTGTATTATTCATTAGGAATACGTCCACTTTAAACGGTTGTAAAGAAAAGGTCAAATGATTTGTTGATGTTGACATATGAAACTATAACATACTGTCGCTTTTAAGAAGGTAGTGAGGTCTGTGGACAAAACAGATGATCACCAATCAATCCCATGATGCTATACATTAATATTTAAAGAAGCAGTTTCAGAATACATTTATAAAGATATGGCCAGGGTGTGTGAGCCCGCTATATTTTTATACTTCAGTGAATCAGAAATTATTCCTTTTTGCTCTAAATATAATGATGTGCGTATTGCAATCTTGCATGTTAATTATGCTCATATCAATGCCACTTCTGATTATTCCGCCTTAAAGCACATCTATTTCTGGCCCATTTTTTCTTATTTTTTTATGAGGTTTTGGCAGCACGGTGCAGGTGGCATGCTTTCATGTACCGCTGCTTTCTTGGTAAGGAGCAGGAATGTGGTGAAAGACTGTAGGCACACTGGAGCACGTGGATATTTGAATTGAAGCAATGATGGGAAATAATTTTATGTGATGGCCTCTACTAAAGTTATCCCATCTGATTAAACACCAACTCAATGGAAATCCCACTGCTAAAGCGTTCCACTTTCCATGAGCTGGCGTAAAACATATGTGTCTGTCACTCAAGGCCGGGGCAAACTGATCACTCGCCTATTCTTTAAGAAGCGTGAAAGATCTGCTGGATTATCACAAGTGACCCTGACATATCACACCACGGCTTCCATCACTCTCCCATATACACTGTCCGAAGAGGATCAATGCCACAGCCATTTTATGATTACGCTCACAAGAAGGAGCTTGAGCTGTGTATAAACTGTTCTTCACACCTGCTTGGGTCCATAATATTCTATTATGACAGAAATTGTGTTTTTTCTGCTATTTGAAATTTGCAAAAATGTGTTTACCATGTATTCTATCCTTCCTGCTGTTGTCAGACTGTACAGTGAACAATTAGGATTATTAAACACTGCCGATCATTTCATGAATCGGTGCAATATAGAACCACATGTGTTACTCTCACTTTACTGAGTCCTTTTGTCCCATACCCTCATGCTGCTAACATGTACAGAAGTATACACAACTATGACTTGCACTTGAATATACAGCATTTTATACTTGCTCCTTAATGTGCTAAAGCCAGGGGTTTCTGTACTTAATTCTTGCTTCTTTATCATGCTAAAGTTGGAGATTTTAAGACTTATTTTCTTAATTTGGCTAAATATAGAGATTTTACACAATTTGTTTATGCTAGAGTTAGATATTTGATTTGATTTGATTTGAGTATAGAATTATTATTATATATCTATTGTGCTGTGTGCTGCTCATTCCTACTGTTCTGTAACTTGTGATACAACACTGAAATTTTCCCACTGTGGGATGAATAAAGGATCTCCTAATCTTAATATTCACAGGTCACAATTTTGGGACATTCCAAGCAAGATACTGGATATGTCCTGGTCATTTTATGTGAGTACCTTTTACGGTTATTTTATGGATTCTGTAGTCTGTAGTAGAGTGTCTTTATGCAGATGTTGCTTGCTGGAAAGACCTGCATGCACTGACTCTGTGAGTAGAGAAATCACCCATGACTGTTTCCATGGAGATAAGTTGAATACATCTCCAGATATTGACAGCCTTAACAGTAGTGCAGTTTTACGTAAACTATGTGGAAGTGTCAAATCGGAGAAGTGTGTGTTCATTAACAGACATTGTCCCAGCTGCATAAAACACATACATGGGGGGAAAAAAGTTGTGTTGTTAAAAATTCCATCTACTGTACATGTATCATGCTCTATTAGTCAGTATTTTTGTTGGCATCTTGTATAGTTTTATGCAGCATTCAGCTAAGTTCCCAATTAAAAGCGTTTTCCTACTTCCATACTGTGATTAATTAATGTTTGAGAGGGCAGCGATGGGAATAATGTTTAGCATGAGAAGTAGCCTTGAAGTGCCTTCCAGACTTATGCATTATTTATTAACTAATGATGAGTTATACAGAGACAAATTGTATTCCAAAAATAGAACATTGGACTTTTTTCTGTTAAAAGTATACTATTTGCAATGCCTACTTTTACTCATACAAAAATAGATATACAAAATAATTGCCTGAACTATGTAATTATCATTTGTGGACAGAAAGTTATGAGTTCAAAGCAATGATCTGTAATAACTTAAAATTCATAGTTCTCCCACATGCCCATACCTCTATAATTTAAAGCAGCTTTTGCAGCCATTAAAGGATGTTAACCTCTTACCTATAAAAAGGCACCACTTTGACTCGTTCTTCCATATTAATAAAGGCACAAAAGACGAATGTACCTTCAAGAGAATAAAGTGCTTAACACGGCAGACATCTGAGAGTCCCCCGAGGAGCACTTAGTGGGAATATTCATGACATTATAATGGGTATTCCTGAATGAAAAAAATAATACATTCAGATGACTTTATCAGATGCGCGCATACTTACAGGTCCTCCGTACTGGCGGGAAACCTGGGGAGTAGATCAATGCCTGCGCAATAGACTTTGTGCGTCTCTGGCTCGCACTCGCACGACTCTGGGCACGCTTCATCCACGGCCAATGCGCACATCCAGAGCGCACACAAGACGCACGCAAACAGCACCTGCATACCTCCAAAAAAGCGGAGCAATCCGTCAAGGCAAACAGGCCAATTTACAGTGAACTTAAGAGTTTCCAAACACGCGTAAAAAGTCCACTAGATTTGAAGTGCCATGCGAAAACAGCGTGAGGTTTAATTTTCCCAGTCCCAATGAGCTTCTGAGAGGGTCTGGAGGTGGGGATGCTGAAGTGGTTCATGGGCAGCATCTCGAAGGAGGAATGGAGGTGGTCTTTTGCAAAAAGGTTGGACTTTTGAGCAAAAATATGGATATAAAAAGTACGGTCTAAAATACAATGTGTCAGTGTAATTGGCATGCATGCGAAAGTGCAGAAACTTTAATTCTTTAATACACACAACATAATATTCAACAAAATCCCTGTTGAATATTATGTCGTGTGTATTAAAGAATTACAAAAGTACATTCACCACTTTTTCGATCGTGTTCGTCATTAATGCTGTCATGTTTATTGAGAGGCGGTAACAGAGGCGCGTATACATACTTTTTGGACAATGTAGTTCACACATAATACATTCTTGCACGTTATCCTGTCATCTGCCTACATTTCCCATGGGGCGTTGCGGCTGCGTGTGCTGCGCTTGTTTTGCTGCTCAGACCAATACATTCGTGGCTCAGACGCGGCTAGTTTGAGTTGCCATAGCGCTGTGAGGCTGGCAGCTTTTCTCTCTATCGCAAGGACTCAGTTTTTAACTTGAGCTTTTTCGTTTTCCGACATGCTTAGCAAATAGCAGTCGTTCCAGTCGGTTAATGTCGTTACACTGCTTTTGCATTGAAACTTTTTCCGCAAGCAAAGGTGAATAGTTAGCCTTTGAGCTAGCTCGCTAACGGAGAAGGCGATTTGCCACTTGTTGCTAACGAGGAGCATCGCCCAAACACTGGTCTGAAGGGTTTGTGATGTGAAACAAAACCTCAAAGAATTTGTGTATATCATTAGATAGATGGAATAACTCGAGGTCGCCTGTCTGCTCATAATAATGGCAATGGCAACTTGTTTGGGGAAGAAAGTTGAAATCCTGTGTTGTTGCTGTCTTAATACGATTATCTACCCATCGTGGAGCTAACATGCGATGGGCGTTTAGATAAACCTCGACTCTTGAGACCATCAGGATGAATACGTCAAGTGAGTCTGACACGTACGAGAGGACCCGCGGACACAGGTCAAGAGGCAGGAGAAGGACCAGAGAAGTCCCAGCTGCAGACATCTCTGAGAAAATCAGCACTTTGGCAAATACTCTGCAGGTACTGTGACATTGCTCCACTGCAAACACTGGTCTGAAGGGTTTGTGATGTGAAACAAAACCTCAAAGAATTTGTGTATATCATTAGATAGATGGAATAACTCGAGGTCGCCTGTCTGCTCATAATAATGGCAATGGCAACTTGTTTGGGGAAGAAAGTTGAAATCCTGTGTTGTTGCTGTCTTAATACCTTGTAATTACGGCCTTTGGCTTTTGTGTAACTACACATATCCCTATGCAATAGTATCGAAGCTGATCAAATTGGAGACCCCTTTGAATGATTTGAGCTGGGTTCTCTGGAGAATCTATGGCTAATCCCCCTTCCAAGTATCTCCCCTTACATTTTTTCATTCACTTCTGGTTCACACGATGGCGATGAACCAGGCTTAGCTTCAGAGGTCTGAAGGAATCTTGCTTTCAAATGCAAATATATTGATTCATTGGTATGAGTAATTTAACCCGATACACGGCGAGCTCACTTTTGTCAACTCTATTGACTAATATAGGAGTGGCTGTCTGCTATTTCTGTCCCATGATTTGCCAGCATTGTACCCCATCTTGTTGAGGTGGCAGCAAACCTTTCACCCCAGAGGTCAATCTCCCTTTGGTCAGGGGAACACTTATAGCATGTCAATTGCATAAAACAGATGTTCTCTAGATATATATACAAGCATATATCAAAAGATTTGTTACGCTGAGATCAAAGAGTTAAATACTTCTTGTTAGTAGAAATTCCATCCATCCATCCATTTTCTTCCCCTTAATCCATTTCTGGGTCGGGGGGGTGGCCAGAGCTGCACCCAGTCACAGAGCACCAGCCCCTCACTGATCCTCCTGCAGGTGGTGAGTCCACAGGAGCTGAGATCTTTCAGTGGGAGCTTCAGGCAAAGTGGGGTTAAGTGTCTTGCCTAAGGACACAACGACAGCAGACATCAGTGGGAGTCGTGAAGTAGGTCTTACTGTGGGATTGAACCCACGACCTTCAGGCTCTAAGGCCAATGCTCTACCAACTGAGCTAGTTAGTAGTAGAAACTAGCTTAGTAGAAATTATCTTTTATAAAAACGCTGGAAATACATAATTGGCATTTTGTAATATGATATACATTCAACTATGAAATGTTGTTTCCAAATATGATGCCATCCACCGACATCTGTTGTTCCATTGTTCCAGAGCACAAGCAAAAACCTGAGTAAAGTGGACCGGCTGCTGGGTCAGTACAGGGACCACACAGATGACCAAGCTGAAGCCATGGCCCTGGTGAGAAATGACAAGCCTGTTATTAAGCATTTTGCAATTATAATGTGAGGGTTTATACAATCATGGAAATTAATAGAAAGGGATAATACACTTTTTAGGCCCTAGAAAATGTTTGAAATTGTATTTGTTTTGGGGAAAATAAATCAATTCAATTTTCATGGAAAACCTTACTTTTTATTAGTTCAGAGCCATATAAAATGGGGACTTGAGTCTTGATCTGGATGTTTTTTTTATTTATTTAATCAACAATGTCCAATATTTGTCCAGTCCAACTTCATTAATACTACCCAATATTTGAAGATTGCCATGTTGTAATGCAAATAATATAACAACAAAATATTGTGGATATCTTATGTGTTCTTAAACTGTACAGTCCCACCCTTTTTGAGCCGTGATCATTTCCAATGGCACACCCAAAACGTGAAGGCTTACTTGCCACGGCACTCTGGTTGAAAAACACTACTCTGTAATGTATTTTCTCTGGCCTTGACAGCTCTATCATGTTAATAATAAATGCATGTCTAATAAGTTAATGTATTTTCAGTGTGGTTTCTCTATAATTATGCACATTAAAATTCGCATAGCAATTGTCCAGGGTGACCTACGCTCTTGCAACATTGGCTCTGTTTTATTTCATTCAGCTAAGGGAAAACTTGGAGGACTCGATAAGCCAGCTGCAGGCCCAGCGGCAGAGCGGACGCAGCGGGACAAAAAGTGCCTCTGCTTCAGCCTCCCCTCTTCACACAAGTGACCTAGATTTCTACTCAGAATCGGGTACAAAGCACTTTATTATAGTGCCATTGTTTGCATTTTATTATTGTACTTTGCATTATTGTTTCATTTTCTTGTTTTTTCCAATACAGATTTATTTGGAGCTTTCTTTGCGGTCACTTACATTTATATCCTGCCTTACTTTATTTGTTTAGAAAGTCGACGTTTCCACCCCACTTCCCCATTGAGAGACTACAGGGGTTCTCCAGAAAGAACGAGGAGGTCCCACTCAAGTGTTCGCTTCAAGGATGCACGGCTGACAGGAGAGGAGGCAAGAGAGAGCATTGTTATTCATGCAGTATTTCCGTCTACCACCAGGGGGCAAGATGCGTCAGGCCTCATCTCTTACAATTCTGCCTTAGAGAATTTATTCACCATATATATTTCTCTCATAAAGTGCTCTTACTGTCTGTTTTGTATTCTCTTTCTGTCTGTTGTAGATCCACACTTTGCACCAGTCCCTGAGGGATCTTCGTAGTGACCAGCACAGGCTTGCAGACGACCTGGGCAGAGAAATTCTCAGGAGAAACAGGTATTCTTTGTCTTCAGATATATTCATTGAGTACAGCAAGGTGATTGTATATATATGTCTTTCAGCGACACACAAATATGTTGAGTCTGTTGTTCTTGTTGTGGTTTTTTAAAGCGGGTTACCTAACTTTGAAACCTTAAAAAATGTATTGTGTAATAAAATCCATCCAACGTTTTCTTAGCTCTTAGAACTAGTTTTCACATGCATATATTTTTTTGCCCCGTTCTCATCTTTTTAGATCAGTTTTTTCAGACAGAAAAATGAACAAGAGAGGACCCCTCTGCCAATCAGCTCTCAGCCCAAAGTCTAAAATAGTAACTCACGCTTGCTTACATACATGTTAAATATAAAACAATGTCTGGTATAATGACAGTATGTGCACTAGCACAGGGAAGGGGACGTGATTGGTGCTGGCAACAGTGATTGAAATTGATCAGTGAGGACCATCATTGCTTTACACATCACATTTTTATTTGGTGGAAACCTCTCCTTAAAGTAGTGCTAGAATTTAATATGCTGCTATCCAGAATATATAACTGCTTTCGGGTACTTTCGGGTGTTCATTTTGACATATTCAGATGAATTATGTTAAAAAAACTGCTTTGAAGTGGCACCTTTTCACTTCCGCATAGAAACGCTAGGGGGGGCCAAAATGGCGGCGATGACGTAGGAGAAGGGTATCTCACAGCAGCAGACAGCAGTCTTGGCTGGAACCTGTAGGAGGTTTCACTGTCATCTGAACAAGGTATAAACATATTTTCATCAGTTTTGTACATAATAGTGTGCAACTCTTTTAACCTTTTAGCCTTATTTGTGAGATTCAAGCTAACTAGTGTTGGGCAAGTTAGCTAACTCTACTTGATATCATAAAACATGCTAACAAGGCTAATATTCGTTTTTACATTATGCCAGTCTCACTTTGCCTTAGATTTATTTACCCCAATGTACATTGTAATATTCAAAAATGCTAACACCTATTAACGGTTTAATTAGCATTTTTATCAATGATTGCATCACATGAAGTCTGTTTTCAACTTCTGCAGCTTTTTGTTCATAAAAGTAAAATATTTATTTAATTCAAGTTATTTTGATTAGCATTTATGGATATTACAATGTACATTGTGGTAAATAAATCAAAGGCAACCACAGTGAGACTGGCATAATGTAAAAACGAATAATAGCCTTTTCAGCATGTTTTATGATATTAAGTAGAGTTAGCTAACTTGCCCAACACTAGTTTGCTTGAATCTCACAAATAAGGCTAAAAGGTTAAAAGAGGTGCACACTATTATGTACAAAACGGATGAAAATATGTTTATACCTTGTTCAGATGACAGTGAAACCTCCTACAGTTTCCAGCCAAGACTGCTGTCTGCTGCTGTGAGATGCCCTTCTCCTACGTCATCGCCGCCATTTTGGCTCCCCCTAGCGTTTGTGAAAAGGTCCGACTTCAAAGCTGTTTTTTTTAACATAATTCATCTGAACATATCAAAATGAACACCCAAAATATTATAAACACATATTGTAGTTATATATTCTGGATAGCAGCATATTAAATTCTAGTACTACTTTAAATACCTTTTTAAGGTAACAGTTACCTGCTTACTGTATGTTTTACTGTAGGTTTTACTGCATCACATACCTGTATCTACAATACTGGCATTTTTTCAATAAAGTGTGTTTTATTGTTTGAGAGCAAAGCAGATCTGTGTTTTTATCTGGTTCATAAATAACTTTAATAGCACATTGGGGAACACTCCTGACCAAGCAAAAACATCTCTATGGAGACAAGCAGGTGGAATGAAAAGTTGTTTTTTTAAATCTCAAAGGCAAAAATGATCGACTCTCCCTGTTAGACACAGACGATGAAGTTATGGTACTAAAGTTATTCAGAGAGTTTTGAAAGTCAAGAGGCAGCGTATTTCTTCCTGCCGCCCATTTGAATTTGACATTTTGCTGTTATTAAAATCCTTGCCCCCCGCATCGCTGCTGACCACACTGCACTGACCCTTCTCCATATTTCAAAGCCCGCCGTCCGCATAATTATTTCTACTAGCTTCACATTATGCATTCATTTTGATTAGTGATGTTTGGAAATAGGATTTTTAAACGCCTCTGAACCTCAAGTGCTGCGTAAATATCTCGTCTCCTCTGAGTTTGTCTTTTTTATAGGGCTGATATTGACACGCGGCGAGCAATGGAGAACCTCTCGGAGCATATGACAGCCTCACAAAGACAGGACGCGGTGAGTTTTGGCGTTCTGCTCCATCATTTGTAATATGCTTTCTGTTTTAAACCTCGGAATAAATGTAAAAAGCACTGAGGATTTTACACATGGTAGCTGCTGACTGACGAAAAACACCATGCGCACATATATTTAAATGTGGAGTTTTTGTTGAAAAATGTCGAGGAAACATTTCACTTTCATTTCCAGTCCATGATAAGGCAAAGATATTTCTATCAATGTGATGCGTACATTTAAACCTATAAACTTCCAAACTTCCCTCACCCTTTCAACCAAGACAGGAGGACGATTTGGAACAAAAATTTAAAACAAAAAAAAACACAAAAAAAGGAAAATTGGAACAGTAACAGAATACAATGTCATACCGTATATGGTGTTCTCTGAAGGACCCACGCATCTCAATTGGGGTTAAAACATTTTAATTAGCAAATCTATCATTTTGATTTGATCGTAATTACTTTTGAAAATTAACATCCATCCATCCATTTTCTACCCTTTAATCCATTTCTGGGTCAGGAGGGTGGCAATCAGAGATGCCACCCAAGTCTCATAGCACCAGCCCCTCATTGACCCTCTGCAGGTGGTGAGTCCACAGGAGGACGGCTGCTCTCTGATTGTGAGCATAGCCTTGATCTTTCAGTGGGGGGTTTTGGTCAAAGTGGGGTTAAGTGTCTTGCCCAAGGACACAACGACAGCAGTCATCAGTGGGAGTCGGTGGAGAAGGTGTAGAGGTGGGAATTGACCCCACAGAAAATTAACATAAGCAAGAAAATTATGTTTAAAATGAGCATTATTTATGTCAGCTACAGTATGTTGGACCGGAAGAGACAGACTTTTTCTGTAAACAGTGTGTCATAATTGATTTTGTTAATTGTATGTGCAGGGGCGCTCACAGTTTTGTTGAATCTGGAATGTGATAACGCAATAATAAAGAATAAAGCCAAGCTACAATGTATATCATAGATTACACTTAGACCTGGCAATCCATTTCTATTTTTAATAGATTTATGTCTGTAATAAAGCTTGTATTAGGACGGTCACGATAACTAATCTGTTGGATTTTGTTGGACTATATTACTTCAGTAAATTATTGTGATAAACAATAATATTGAAACCCCTTTATACCCCAGCTGCTAGTAAAATACAGAAAAGACATCTTTCAATTTCATTAGGAAGGATGCACAAAGGCAGTAAAAAGAATCAAGTAATGATTTGTGTTGATTAACCTTCTTAATGTAAAAGTTCATTGTTTGTCAAGGAGCTGGCAAAAATTGCTCCACTTTTCCAAAGACGTCATCACGTCATGCCTATTTGGTACATGGTTACATTTACATCAAGTTGGCTCCTTTACTAGCCAGCTAGTAAATGAAGTATATTTTAGCTACTCAAATCAAAGTGCCAGCCCTCCTCTTGATTCCTGGCCATGTAATAGTTCACATTTGAATTGGATCTCTCTCTCCACGCACGTGTAGGAGTCGCAGTGTTTGCAGGAGCGGGACGTGACCTCGAAGTGCGGCAGGAGGACGGAGGAGGTGACACTACTTCACTGTGTGATCCTGTCATGTCTCACCTCTCCTCATACTGTCACACTGCTCACAGCCCAACATGCACAAATATGAAATCTAACACCTTTGACCATGAACATGACTAATACTGTACTGTACGGCTGGTTTATACTGTATTACATAGCTTTTCAATAAGAACCTGCAGAAACTTGACTGCCTGGTCTATTCTTACCTCCCATACCCCACATGCTTACACAGTATATAAAAGAAGATTTTATAAAAACTGGTTAACCTTAGACTTGAGTAGGATTGCGTCAATTTCATAGTTAATGCATTTTGGAAGGCACATAACATGCAAATGTTTTACACTCATTGTCCTTGGCCTTTTTGATGAAATAAGTTGTTTCTTGATTGATTGGTGTGGGATATGAAATCAATCAACCTCGATGCTGTGCCTTCTACTACCGATTATGGACCAAGGTGAATAGACTAAAAATAGCATTTTATTCAGCCAGATCAGGGCTAACACAGCTATTAAATTGCATAGTAGTTATTATTAGCACTTCTTTCTTCACTGCTAGAAGTGGCTGGGTTTGATTCTACCCAGCACCCAGAGGGTCTTTCTCTGTGGAGTTTGCATGTTCACCCTGTGTCTACGTATAGGTTTCCCCACCACTAAAATAATGTGTTCATTATTACATACTGTGCATCACATTCTCAGACCAACGGCAGTACTTGGAGGAGATATGTAAAACGTAGTGGAAAAAGGCACATGACCGTAATACAGGATACAGTCTAAGCCAAAAGGCAGATGAACATTTCTATGCATAAGAATATTCTATGAGTAACAACTGATTTGCAAACTCTCTTCACTATTGGTGGATAAAAATAATATTAGTAGCTCACATTTCCCCGTGTTGGATCATGATGTCACTCATACTAGAATTTACTTTATTATTACCAAAATCTCAGATCTTCAGAAAGTTCTGCTACCTGCTCAAGTCGGGCATTCATGTTAGTTTTAAAAATAACTAGTGAATGTTCAATCACTCCACTTTAAACCCATTGATAAAAGCCATTTTAGTATATGTGAATAGTTCCTCCGTTTAGCTTCAAGCTGCTTCTGCTTAGATGCAGCAGAAGGTAATCAATTGCTGCTTATTTCCCATTTGGTGCCAATCACTCATCGAGTGTACTTTGCTGTTTCCAGACATTTTACCTCCCCCTCCAGGTCTATAGGAGCAAATCACAATCTCACTCATAAGTTAACATATTTTGGCAACTGGAGTGTGTCATGTGCTGTTAATCAGAAGCTGTTTTTTGTTCAGTCCACTCCATCAACAGGAGCAGAGAACATCAAAATACAAATAAAAAAGGTCTCTCATTCGCCAACACCAAAAATATATAAGGTTGTCAATTGACAGCACAAATACTGTTGAAACACAAAACATTTAGAATGTAGTCCAAAAGTTCATTGTGAACCCAATATATTTTGTAGATATATTACATGAAAAGTGACAAATGCCAGAGCTTTATTTGGCTTACAGTCTATTTTCAAAACATAATGTTTTTCTGAGATGTTTTATTCAGGGATTTTACAAGCTGTGAGGCGATTATCACCATTTTAACAAATAAAGGCCCGATACATCTCACTTTGTGTGTAATGATTTTACTGTGTAATGTAAATGTTTTTACATTTAACTTTTCTCGAACTAGGGGTGTTATTTTTTGTTGATCAAATGGTTGGATGATTATTTTCTATAATGAATTGATGAGTTGTATGTATCCCGAAAGTTCAGTAAAAATGGGATTTTTATACATTTGACCAAATCAAAGCTCAAGTAATGCAGTCATTATAGAATTATCAACGTCTTCTCAGAAAGTTTAAGTCTGTGTAAGGTCCCAAAAATGTTTAATTGATTACTAAATTAGTTGAGTTTTCCAATAAAGGACTAGTTGTGATTAATTGATTCACTTGTTACAGCCTTCATTCATACTAGAAGATAACTTCCATAGTTTATCTTGCCTTAACCTTACCTTACCCAATTTGCTATTCATCCCAGTAGAATTCCAGACTTGTCCACAGAGGGGCACTGTGTAGCCACTCTCTCCTTGGAGCCTTATGAAGACTTGTAAAGCAGAGCTAAGATAGTAACGTCAAACTCATTTGCATGCCTCTGCTCTGTAGTGGCTTAATGGGACACCAGCAGTGCCCAGAGCACTAGGAAAAAAATCCATTTGTCCAAAAATTAAGACTAAATAAACAAGCATGTGGAAATGAAGAGAAAAATAATGTATTAGCATTAAAGAGCTGTGGAAGAGGAGGCAAAGGGTGCATCTCCCCACCAATTGGCTTGCTGTGAGAATCAAAGACAAGACTTGGCCTATGTTATTGCTCACAGCTGGTATTTCATAACTACATTCTGTTTATAAAGAAGTGACGTCTGAACCCATTAAGGCTGTGTCATATGAAAAAAAAATCCCTGCTGTTTATGGGGACTACATGTAAAATGAATACAAGTTCTCCATGCTGATGTTTGCAATAACAAAAAAGGTACTTTTACTGATGGCTACATTCACATGCTTTTCTTGGGTCAAAAAATGTCTTGGAATCATTGCTCTATTAACTCAACATTCAAAGCTGTTGTCCTCCACCCTTTTTTACAGACTGTTAACTTTTGTATTGTTTTGGCAGCCTCCAGAACGCCACAAAATCCATGCCAATGAACCAAATGAGAGCATCACCGAGAAGCTACTCCGAATGGAGAGGGAACGTACCAAGGTGATTGGATTACATGAGCTCCAGAATCATAGTTAAATGTCCTTATTTTTCTGCATATATCAGGGTTTATCCAAATGTTTCACTTGTAGCCCTTCCCCCCACTGTCTTTTAACAAATTTGACACTAGAGGGATACAAAGAAACATACATTGCATATTTTTCTTTGTAGGTTTCATTAATGTGACATCACAACATTCCAAAGAGCACAGTGGTGCAGCAGTTAGCACTTGTGCTCCGGGTGCTACCTGTGGTTTTCGCCTTCCACTAAAACATGTATAAAAGATGTGAATGTAAAGAGTGAGAGAATGTAACGTGATGGTTAAGTTTAAATGTGTCTGGTGTTTGGCATCTCGCTTCATGGAGTGAATGGAAGATTGCTGGTAAAACAAAATTGTGAAACGGAGAGTGACCTTGATCTGTGAAATGCTCTATATAAACAAATAATACTTACGTACTAATTCCTGGACCAGCCTGTATGAAACAAAAACTGTCACTAAGTTCCACATCTTCTTTGACAGTACATATCAATGTACTGACAAAGTACTATGGTCTAATTATTTTCTCAATTATATTCAGAAGTAGTGACAGTATTATTAAAAAACACATACATGTTGGCTAGTGGAAATTACTTTCAGACAAGACGTTAAAATTAAACTGAAATACAATTCTAGAACAAGAACAAAACCTATTCAGTCACTGGCAGTTCATTTTACATTTCCATGTCTCATTCACTCTCTCTCATTGTGTGTGTTTATGTCCCTAACCCTAACCCGTCTCAGATGGAGGTGGAGCTGGACCGGGCACGCAGACTTCTGGAGAGGTCGGAGGACAGCAGAGAGACCCTGGTCCAACAGGTTGGTTTGGTTATCAAGCAAAGAATACGTAGGCTAACAGAATCTTCTTGTGGCACACAGACAACAGCTGGTATCGGCGTTTGTGCAAAGAGTTTTGTCCCAGCAATAAATGTATTTTTGTGGACATATGTCAGGCTCTTCTATTGGGGCGCTCTGATGAACTCTCTCGTCTTTCTCAGCTATACTCACTGAATTCCAAACACTCCTTTGAACTCTAAATGCAACTTGTATTTTGTGGCTACGGCTTATTAAGATATCGATGACCCTTGTATATATATTTTATTCTTTGTGTCCCTAGGCTGCTGGCAAAACAATTTATTAAGTGACATTTCTTGTTGATGAGATAAATCCCTGTGATTTAAATGGCTTTCTGCTCCGACTGCGCAAAGAATTATATTTTAATTAAGATTGAGTAATTTCTTGTTAATTATATTCTTGGTCTGGGTGTATTCTCATGTGGTTAGAAGTGTTCAGACTTTGGAGGACAATTTTCCCCCTTTTTGGCAATCAAAGGCACCAATTTGAAAGTCTATTTTGTAATTGTGTTAAGGAAATTAATTGGTCAACTGAATACGAAATCAAAATGAAACAAAAACTTTAAAAAAAAGGTATGACATTTGATGTAGCCGAATTCAAGGCCTTATGTTTCAAAAATCTGACTTTCAATTTGGGTGATTGTTCAAATCTAATTGAAATTATGAAGGTGTTCTGCCATTTACTTTTATCTCTATTTAAAAAAAAAAAAGGAATATTGTGGTGAAGTCTGTTAAGGTCACTATTTCACAAACTAAAATCGTCTGTCAATTTCAGTGTAAAAACAGAGGGGAGAACAGGGTTGAAACAATATAGAGGGTTCTGTTATGGCAACTCTGTAAGATTGTGTCACAGGTAGTCAAAAAAATCGAAAAGCCAAGCCATGTTTTGGAAAAAGTATATGGAGTATACAATGAGATAAAAATTAGTATGAAAAGATAAAAGGACTGCTGATGCGTGACATTTTCCTTAAATTTGACTGGACAAAAACTGACCCTTGGTCATATATAGTTTTATAATTTTGTCCAGCCCTATTCATTCTCAGCTTGTCCAAACGGAGTAAACGAGTAGTGTTTTCTAAATGTGTGTGTAAACTTTATGTAAATTATGAACAAACTTCCTCAGTGATGTTGGGCCGTCTCTTGTGACTTCGCTCAGGTGGCGGACATGAGCAGCGAATTACAGAGGAGCAGGAAAGCCCACACTGATGCACAGAGGGTCCAGGCACAAGCCCCCCACACTGAGGGGGAGAAGAGCAGGGGCACTGCAGGGGGCACAGGTGACTACGGAGGTGAGGGTCAGCGGCTAGAAGGCAAGGGAAAGTCCAAAATCCTTACTTTATAGCATGGCTCGTATTAGAATATCGGCTTGTTTTGCTTTTAATTGTCAAAATGCAGCATTCATTTTTTGTGCAATAATTTTACTTATTTATTTTATATTTATTTCAAACCTGTACAACACAAAACGTTTTTCACATATCTTCAGACCCAGATGTGCATGTACATGTTTTTTAATAATGAAGAATTTTGTTGAGTGTGTTGTAAACTCGTTCTTTTTATATTTTCCTGCTTTGGCTTTATTGGTCTTACACTATTATTTATAAATACTTTAGAAAATCTGCTCTTTAATTTGAATGAATGATACCTTTTATTAGTCCCACAATGATGGGACTAATCAATGATGTCTTCCCTGCTGTAAGTGCAAGTGTACTAAAAGCTGTTTCTAATCACCGTTTTAGGTCTTCCAGATGGTTCAAACCTGGAGAAGGAGGTGGCAGAGCTTAAAGAGCAGCTGCGCAGAGCCTCAGTGATGGGGGAGGTGGAGGAGCTGAGGAGGGCTTTGGCTCGAGAGGAGAGCGAAAAGAGGCAGCTCTGCTTACAGGTTAAGGTCAGTCTGAACTAATGCTTCACACCATTACTTTATTTTATCATATGAAATGAGATACAGATACACATACAAATACAAATACCAGGAATACAGATCTGTCTATGACATAATGGTAGTCGTAAAGTGGTTAAAAAAAATAACCTGATGTTGTGTTAATGTTTTGGGTCCACAAGTGAACTGCTTTCAACCACTGCTCAGTCCACTCTGCACTTGACCCCACTTTCTACTGTAGATTTATTTGGACTGCACCAAAGCTCAGGGGGTGATCCCATAGAAGAACTCCAACCGCACGCCTGGCTCCAGGGTGGAATGTTGTAGCCATTGTAAACCATTCATGGTAGGGACGTGCCATGGGAGACTTCCAAGGACCATCCATGCAGGAAATCTCCCCTACCACTGTAAGGTGGCAGCTCACGGTGGCCAAAGAATACCACGGAGGAGCTGAAGTGTGAACACATAGGGAATTCTGGGTGTCTCTTCTCAGACTGCTGCCTCTGCAACCTGGTGATGAATAAAGTATAATGGATGGACGGTATCCTTAAGACATCCTTTCATGGCCGTCCCTTCAGTGCTGTACAAATGCACAATTAGTCATCGCTGTTAAGTTGTTCGTGTGCCTTTTTCTGTCTTCTGCTTATTTCCGAGAGATGGATGCTTTTGAGCTTCATTGCAGCGTCACAATGACCTTTTGCTGTGAAATCATAACCTTTTGTATCGACAACAAAACATCTGTGTCTATAGGCATTTCTCTTTTTGGGGGGGCGGTTTGAACATTTCAACAGAATTTGGGTTAGCTATATACAATCTCATTACATCCTCAGTCACTTCAAGCCATTTATGTGTGTTTTTTTTTCAAATTTTTAATCACACCCCTCTGTTATTTGATAATTCTAAAATCGGCAGCCAAGAAAAGTCTTGAGCTGCCACTTTGCCTGCTCAAACGCATCATAATAACCACGCTCCCCTGTGCCGTGCTACTCAGGGCAGAGGTTTGTATCAATAACATGTTTCCAGAAATGGCTCCCTTTTTAGCGTTGGCACGTTTTGTATTTTCTTCCAACCTCTGATGTTTTCAAATGTGTTTAAACTCCCACTCTTCGTCTGTGGTGGAGTGTATCACCTGAGGCGTCTCTGTGCGGTTTTTATGTCGACATCAAAATAGATGTCTGTTTCATTTTCTCCACAAATTATTTAAATGAAGTATAATCAGGAGAATAGGGTGAAGGATTTCATTTTTCACTGCTGGCGATCACGTTTCTAAGATGACTAATTTCTTCATGACTAAATAGTGGTATTATAGAGTTGATTGACAGTTTTATTCACTTAAACTGTCTCAGGACAACCTCACCTCCCCTACGCTTCAATTAAGGCTTTTATGAAACTACAACCTCAACCAAACATTATATTCATTGCATCATAATGTATTGTCTCTCTCTCTTCTCTCGAGTCATAACTGTTCTGCTTTTCACCAGGAGCTGACATCGGATTTAGCGCTACGAGAACAGCAGCAGCTTCGTATGCTCAACCAGCTTAAAGAGTTGCAGGTATCTCACATTTGAGTTTTCAATGGTATTTAAAGAAGACATTTTGCATTATTTTTGACACCTATGCGATAATAAAGATCGCAATTTCACCTGAAAACCTAATTTATGGACACTGGTTCTGATATAGAAGAAGAAAACTGCTCTTAGCGTGATATAAAAGTGGTACAATGACATAATACTATTAAAAGACTAAGACAGAAGGTGTTAGATGGAAGAGGTGAAGATGTTTGTGCCCCAAGTTCCTGATATTAGTGTGCTTGATCTAAAATCAACTCCGGGTCTGTGACTGATCTGGGAACAATGTTGTGTCTTGATATAAAAGCTCAATTGTGCATAATACGTCTTAAAGGTTAATACTGCATACTGTTTTTTTATGCAGCATTTTAAACCATGAACATCCTTTGTATTTCCAGGGATGTGAAAAAGCAGAGAAGCAGCAGCTGGAAGAGATGCTGGATGAGAGCAAAAGGAGTAGGGATGAGCTGAGGGCCAAAGCCCAGGAGGCCATCCGCCAGTGGAGGGCAAAGTGTAAAAGGCTCCAGAAAGAGCTAGAAGAGGTGGGTGCGGTTTATTTCTAGTTTAGTCTGCTGTCAGGGGCCCGACCTAATTTCCAATGTTTTTGGAATTTTTTACACATACAGTGTAAAGTATTCGCCCCCCTTGAACCTTTCAACATTTCGCCACATTTCAGGCTTCAAACATAAAGATATAAAATTTTAATTTTTTGTCATGAATCAACAACAAGTGGGACACAATCGTGAAGTGGAACGAAATTAATTGGATAATTGAAACTTTTTTAACAAATAAAAAACTAAAAAGTGGGGCGTGCAATATTATTCGGCCCCTTTACTTTCAGTGCAGCAAACTCACTCCAGAAGTTCAGTGAGGATCTTTGAATGATCCAATGTTGTCCTAAATGACTGATGATGATAAATAGAATGCACCTGTGTGTAATCAAGTCTCCGTATAAATGCACCTGCTCTTTGATAGTCTCAGGGTTCTGTTTAAAGCGCAGAGAGAACCATGAAGACAAAGGAACACACCAGGCAGGTCCGAGATACTGTTGTGGAGAAGTTTAAAGTCGGATTTGGATACAAAAATACTTGTATTTTATACTGCACATGGCTAATAAAATGAATCTGAATCTGAAAAAGATTTCCCAAGCTTTAAACATCTCAAGGAGCACTGTGCAAGCAATTATATTGAAATGGAAGTAGTATCAGACCACTGCAAATCTACCAAGACCCGGCCGTCCCTCCAAACTTTCATCTCAAACAAGGAGAAGACTTGTTTGAGATGCAGCCAAGAGGCCCGTGATTAGGGCTAAAACAACTAATCAATTAATCGACGACTAATCGATTATTTAAATAGTCGACAACTATTTTAGTAATCGATTAATCGTTTTCTGGTTCACACGGACTCAAACAGAGCAAAAATTACATGAAAATGTAGTATTTTTGATTAAAACCGTCTTTGTTTTTATAATTTCATGAATATCTGTCTCATCCAATCAGATAGCAGAATTAGCACAAAGAGCCTGTTACAAACATTTACTTTAAGTTTACGCCATCAATACGTCCTCGAGTGTTGCCACTTTAGCTTTTTGTGATGAAAAAATATTTTTTTTCTACACAATTCACAGCCAAGCGATTACTCGATTAATCGTAAAAATAATCGATTACAAAATAATCGTTAGTAGCAGCTCTACCCATGATCACTCTGGATGAACTGCAGATAACTACAGCTGAGGTTGGAGAGTCTGTCCATAGGACAACAATCAGTCGTGCACTGCACAAATCAGGCCTTTATGGAAGAGTGGCAAGAAGAAAGCTATTTCTCAAAGATATCCATAAAAAGTCTTGTTTAAAGTTTGCCACAAGCCACCTGGGAGACACACCAAACATGTGGAAGAAGGTGCTCTGGTCAGATGAAACCAAAATCGAAATTTTTGGCCACAATGCAAAACGATATGTTTGGCGTAAAAGCAACACAGCTCATCACCCTGAACACACCATCCCCACTGTCAAACATGGTGGTGGCAGCATCATGGTTTGGGCCTGCTTTTCTTCAGCAGGGACAGGGAAGATGGCTAAAATTGATGGGAAGATGGATGGAGCCAAATACAGGACCATTCTGGAAGAAAACCTGTTGGAGTCTGCAAAAAACCTGAGACTGGGACGGAGATTTATCTTCCAACAGGACAATGAACCAAAACATAAAGCCAAATCTACAATGGAATGGTTCACAAATAGATATATCCAGGTGTTAGAATGGCCAAGTCAAAGTCCAGACCTGAATCCAATCGAGAATCTGTGGAAAGAGACTGCTGTTCACAAACGCTCTCCATCCAACCTCACTGAGCTCGAGCTGTTTTGCAAGGAAGAATGGGAAAGAATTCCAGTCTCTCGATGTGCAAAACTGATAGAGACATACCCCAAGCGACTTGCAGCAAAAGGTGGCGCTACAAAGTATTAGTAAATATTGCACGCCCCACTTTTCAGTTTTTTGTTAAAGTTTAAATTATTCAATAAATTTTGTTCCACTTCACGATTGTGTCCCACTTGTTGTTGATTCTTGACAAAAAATGTAATTTTTATATCTTTATATTTGAAGCCTGAAATGTGGCGAAATGTTGAAAGGTTCAATACTTTTGCAAGCCACTGTATTCTATTTATGTGTAAAGAAATGAGCCTTCAGCGCACGGCACGGAGCACAGAAAGATTTAATTCTTGGTTTTCATTAACCTGGCCTGTAGGGAGCGAATGAGTAGAGATGGGACAACTCAGTTTTGCTCCCATTGAAAACCATGTAAATCTTGTCTGTCTTGGAGTCAAAAGGCTCTCATCCTGTGCTGTGTATGGTTCTTGTAACAGTCGGGAGGGGGGCACTCAATTCTAAGGGAGTACAAAAAAATGTTTCTCAAGAGTCTTGATTTCAGGCATTTTTGGAAAAAATTACAGAAGAAATTGCTGCCACATGAGACCACAGTTGGAACACGGAAGAAACTCTTGTCTTTCAAGAGTACAAATACAAAGCACTGGGATTACACTGTGAACAACATAACAGACTTTAGTTAGAGTGAAAACAATCTTTTATATCTGTAGAAATCCTCTGTTATAACCAATATACTATGCCCATTCAATACTAACTTGGCACTCAACCTTATTCGCTCTTATAAACAGCATATTCTGAACTGTTTGATCTTGGTACTCAATTGAAAGTTAACTGCTCTAATTACATTAAAGCATCTACAACATGTGCATGCTCCATTGCTCAACAGGTTATAGTACCACCGTACCAATTAACAGAATGTTATAATGTTCACTTTGGTTCTGCAGTTTGAGATTCTCAGAACTAATTAACCTGTTTTAGGGAATTCAATAATTGAACGACATAATGTAATAGTATAATATGTTATGTCTTAATTTACCCAGATGATAAGCCTGTTTACTTTTCCAAACAATTTCACATACAGTGTTTGAGCATATGGTATTTGCTCCCCTCCAGTGAAAACACGCATCTGCTTCAGCGATCCGCAAACTGCCACAATTCTCTATTTGAGCCTTATCGGAGCAACCTTCGATGGTAATCTTTGTTTTTTTTGTTAGAAGACTTATTTTCACATACCTGCAGAGCCACAGAGCCACAGCGCTTCTATCAGCAAAATCCAGACAGGCACCAGACCATGGAAAATCTCTTCCAAGCAATCTCTCTCACCGCAAAGAAATATAACAGCCATACTGGTGGTACCGGTGTTACGAATGCACCAGGTCTGTTGGCTTCTGCCGTTTCTGCACAACACCAAAGCCTCAGGGCGTCTGAATTAACAGCTGCTTCTGCTGTTAGCTACAACAACGCCGCGGTTTCTTTTGTCCAGTCTGCAGAGTAATTGCTTTGCTCTTATTTTGTCTTTTTAAAAATGTCTTCTATTGGTAAAAAATACAAGTACAAGTGAAAACCTACAAACAAATACAATAAGACAGTGACAATTGTGGACAGGTGTGGGTGGGTGTGCCGCTGCGAGCGCTTACCTGAGCAGAGGGGAGAAAAATAATAATCTTGATATAGTTTGTTCTAGTGAACCGGTATTCTCTCTGAAATATCCAGTCTCAGTGTGGTTCACCTTGAGATTTGGTGCAGTCCAAATAAAACCATGGTAGAAAGTCCCCCAACAACAAGCTTTGAATTTTCTATTTGTGTAGAGAACAGGGGATTCAAACTCAGATCATTCCAATGCAGAGCCAAAAACAATAAGTTTGCATATAAGTTGCATATCATTTGGCCTGTGTCACATCTTTAGTTAGACAGAAAGGTTGAGAATGGGAGGACCTCTCTCGCTCAACCAATCAGCTCTCAGACCTAAGTGTCAAATAGTGAGGTAGATATTGCAGTAATGACCCAAAATTACGGACGAACACAAGGCAGGATTGTCTTTTCTTATTTATTATAAATGTTACTTCTTGCAGTGAGCACGAGTCATTGTTCATTTCATTCATTCACACGTTCAAACAATCACTAATAAAAGAGGAGAGGGCACCACCCACGACGGCCATTGGAAGGGGCCGACTGGGAGGAGCGCATCTCCTGCTGTGAGTTGCGTTCAATCTGTGCGCCCAGGTGTAGTGCGTGCGGCACCTCTGGATAGCCGCAACAGTAGTGACTCTGACAAGCAAGCAAAAGATGATGACATATGATGGTCTGAGTGGATATTTTACTTCTGCAAGACTCTTTCTACGTATTTAGAAAAGCAACCAAAGCCTTAATACTAAAATATCCATATTTTCAGAACCTTTTCATCACTTTTATTGTGTTCATTTTCAAAAAATTTTCAAGTAGATGTCAGCAGCAAATTAGTTTGTTCATTAGTTATTTTCTTTTCTTTTCCTTTTTTAATCCAAGCTGCTACGCAATCTTTATAGCACCTCACTGATGCTCCTGTAGGTGGCAGGTCCATGGGAGGGTGGCTGCTCCATCAGTGATAACACAGCCTTGGTTTTTCATCTGGGGCTTCAGGCAGAGTGTGGTCTTGCCCTGGGACACACCGACAGCAGATCAGTTGCTGCTTTACTAAGTTTAATAAACTTGCCTAATAAATATATTTCCCCCCCCCCCCCCTCAGGGCTGTTCCCTGCTAAGCTAGCACACCTCCGGAATTTATAGTAGCATAGGCAGCCGTCAAGTATGAATACACAGACTCGTAGAATTCCCTCTCTCATGTTGTTGTACATGCACTGGTTTTAAAATGGTTCTTTTTTTCTGTCATAAACTAAGCAATCTTTTGATATCTGACGTGTATTGATTAGACAAGATAAAACCTTTTTATAATCTATGTTTAGACAAAAAATTATCTTTCTTAGTATATTATTGTAACATTTTTATTTTTGAATTCTGGCGATATTGTAGCAAAATTGTGGCTTTATTATTTTTGATAATCCAAGATCTCAATGTTAACATAACATTGGTTTCTAAATTTGAGCACTCAAGAACATCTTAGTAGAGATTAGTTGTAACAAAAATGGTTGTTTGATTAAAAAACAACCATTCATTCTGCAGTGTTTACAGCTATTAGTGTAATAAACTCTATTCTCAACATATTTAATTCAGTATATGATCCAAAAATTAATCAATTACTAAATTAGTTGACAACCATTTCAATCTTCAATTAGTGGGGATTAATCGATTAACTTGTTATAACCTTTTATTACATTTAAATCTAACCCCCAAAATGCAAGTGTATGCACATGTGCATGTGAGTGATTATATTGGTGTCTTTTGCTGTCATTTTTGTTAGTTACAATAGAAGATTCAAGATACACTTTATTATTGTAGGTATGCATTTGACAAGAGCGTCTTCAGAGGGGCACTGACTGTGCAGATTGGCAGCCTCACATCCATCAGTCTGTCCCAGGGGTGGCTGTAGATATAGTAACAGCTTAACACCGCTGTTTGTGAAGTGAATGAATGATGAGCTATGGATGAATGAAAGGTGCTGTGGAGATGCCATGCTTTCGTAAAATGTTGCATCTCATAACCATTGTTCTTGTAAACTATTTTTGGAATTATAGCCTCTTCTATGAGTATTTTTCCCCCCCCAGAGTTTATTGTTATGTTATTATCTATCTATTATCATAAATGCTATATTCTGTTTGATGTGTGCATAATCTGTGTGCTCCTATATCTCCTTGTGTTCTGCTGTAATGTTTGAAGGTTGTTACTCACGACAGCAGTTGGAAAGCTTTTACATTTTATTTATCATTTTACAGATAAATACATTTCCCGCATTTTGCTTTAAATGTGTGAAGACTCACCCTCATATCCTATGGACCCATGTGTCTTATTGTCACATTCCTTGTGTTGTATCTTGTCTGTTGTTGGCAAATTGACACTTTTGTCCCTCAAGACGACTGCTGTTGTGAATTAGGACAAGCCAAAAATAAATTGAAATTATGACCTTGACTAATTGATCAATGGTCTTTTATCCACCACGATTACCTACCGCTGTATATATGTGTTTTCCTATTCCCTTTTGTTTTTGTATAAATATATAAAACAATGTATATGAAATCTCCTCGATGTTGGATGAAAAAGGTTCTCTTGTTAGTATTCTTGAATATGTTCTTGAAAAAATTTATTGTGCTATGACATCTCCATTTTGTAATTCCCCAGCTCTAGCTTTTGTGAGTAGGTTAGTAATAATATGGCTTAGCACTGCCCCATGTTTTGTGTTATTGCTGAGCGAGTCACCTTCATACTCACGCAGTCGCAGACTGACTCCCACCTGGCTCTCCGACGTGACCAGAATCTATTACACAATCATCTCTGCGCCTTTTAATGAATTAGGGAGGTGGAATCAAGTGCTCAATTAAATGATTAGCTTCTGAGCCGCAGCAAAATCCAGTCAAAGCCGACGTGTTGGCGCCAATCTGCCTGGAACAGACCTGACCATTGTCCCTTATCAGAGCTAAGTGCTAGCATTTTCCTATCAGCACTAAAGCCGCAGCTGCAAATGTTTCCTCCCTCTTTTACTGTTATTCTTTCAATCCTTCTAATCATTGATGTTTAGCGTTTTTGTTGCGTCTGTCTCACTGTCATTTTGCTTTGCGTTCCTCCCGTTTTGTCCTAGCAGGCATCAGGGGGAAGGGAGTCTTCTTATGCCCAGAAGAAGGCGCTGAGCCAGCAGACAGAGGCGGCCCGTCGGGAGCTGGCTGAAATCCTAGGCCGCCTCGCCCATCGGGAAGAAGAGCTGCGGCGCAAGGACGTGGAGCTGTCGGACAGTCGCCAACGGCAACTGTCTCTGGAACAGGAAGTCAGGGAGGTATAAGCATGAGCAGGCTACAAATAGAACTGCATGTCAAAGAGCGGCACTCATTTGCATTTGAAATCATGACATTTGTCCTGTTTCGGTAACGGGACTGTTACTTGGACACAAACAAGTACAAGTACAAATAAAAAATGTCAAAAACATTTTAAAGTGTCAAAAGTCATACTTAACTTTTGACCTTCCTGCATCAGCAAGAAAAAACTCTATCCATAGACTACTGCAAAATTGCAAGAAAAAAAATATCAAACATGCTTATTCAGTTATCATTCTTGCATTTTTGCAGTTATTTCAACACATTGAGGAACATCGCAGCATTAATTAAATTCGAAATATTGTTGTATAGCCCTAAATCACAGCAGTCTTCAGCAGTTTTGGACTTTACAAAGTTGTCGATTAGCCAACACAGATCAGAGAATCAAAAGGTTTGAACATGAAAATGTAATAATAACAAACACATAGAAGCCATGGTGGCAAATGACCAATGTCCATTAATATTAATTAACGTCCATAAATGTCCTTAAAGGTCCGGGATCATTGTACAACATTGACATGTACATTTTCACCCACCCTTAGTTACACGAGGCCTACACGTCCCTAAAGCAGGAAGCACACAACCAGGCATCAATACAAAAGAGCCTAAAAGAAGAAAACCAAAGACTTGAGGAGCGCATGGACTCGCAGGCCCGCAGACGACAGAAGGAGGAAGATCAGCAGGCGGATCTCCAAAATGCCCTCAAACAGGTCACGTCCTCTCACGCTCAGCTAGTCCAGAGGCTCGCTGAGGAGGAGAGTCAGAAGGCTGAGCAGAGGAGAGCCCACTCGCAGCTCCAGGTCAAAATAAAATCCGTCCAGGAGGAGAGGGCGGCTCTGGGACAGCAGCTGCAGCTACAGACAGAGGTGCACCAGAAGGAGCTGGACAACATCAGAGCAGCGCTGGAGGAGGGACGCTCCAAGAAGGAGAGGGATCTGCAGGACATGCTGAAGCTCTTCACACAGGAGCGCGACGAGATGCAGAAACACCTGAAGGAGGTCAAAGTAAGAGCTGTTACTTTCAGCACAATACACTCAAAGGCAGAATTTGACTAGTTGCTATTTCAAAGACTTTACGGGTTTTGCCATTATCAAGGGGGAATTTCGTTTCCAGCAAAAGCATGCATACATACATTTCAAAGATAAAACACATTGGTCAAGATCAATATACAATTCACAAGAATGCAAGCCTAGTTTATTTGTATAGAACAGTTCATACACAAGGCAACTCAAAGTGCTGAACAAAACAAGATAGAAATAAATAATCACAACACATTAAAAAGAGTGAAGATTCAATTGCCCAGTTGTATGCACAGCTAAACAGAAGTGTTTTGAACCTGGATTTGAGCGCTCACAAAAACCGCAAAGACCATCATGCACTACCAACAGTGTCTTGCAGTTTAATACATGATTTTACAAAACCAGTTGTAACAATTAAATCTTCTGAAGTGCAGGACTATTTGTGCAGTATTTTTTTTCTTTGGAAAATCTTATCATGAAAGACTACAACAATGGCTCAGTTGGTAGAGGTCTGGTCTTTGAAACTAATGCTTTTGGGTTCGATCCCCCCACAACCCATGTCACCTGCTCCCACTGATGTCTGCTGTCATTATGTCCCTGGGCAAGACACCTAACCCCACTTTGCTTGAAGCCCCTGCTGAAACACCAAGGCTGTGTCTTTGTTGACGGAGAAACCATCTTCCTGTGGACCCACCACTTGCAGGAGGATCAGTGAGGGGCAGGTGCTATGAGTATTGGGTGGCAACTCTGATTGCCCCCCCAACCCAGAAATTTACTAAGGGGATGAAAATGAATGAATATAATGAAAGCAAGATGTCTGTTTTCTTCTTAGAAAAAGTATTTTGGTGTTGTTCAAACTTCTGTAATATTCCAAAATGTGATGAACTAATATTCTTCAGAATATTTCTTCATATATCATTCTTTGACCCACCACCTGCATGAGGATCAGCGAGGGACTGGTGCTTTGTGAGTGAGGTGGCAGCTCTAATTGCCACCCCCCTGACCCAGCAATTGACAATAAAGGGATGCAAATTAAATTTCAGTCTTCTTTAAAAGTGCACTGAAAAACAATAAAATATTTTAAACGTATCAGCAATCGTAATGTACTGTATATCACAAAAGGTACAGGTGATGTATATAAGGTACAAAATGTCTAAATGTACTCATGAAATTCCTAATGAAGTGATACCATTCATGCACTAACTGATAGTACCTTAAACCTAAAGATAAAATAATGCATGTAATCCTTTTATTTTCCCATATGTTTAAATAGTACCAATGTTGTTTCTTTGACATATTCTATTGTCAAAGAGTCACTACCAATCAAACACAATTCCCCATGTTTTTCCTGAAACCATTGGTTCAATCACATTACCCAAAAGTCAATTAGAACTTGACTTTTAATTTGAATTCAAGCAACAAAGAAAAGTGCTTCAAATAGCTCCACAAGTTAATTGACTGACTGACGCTTCAAAAATACACCCAAAACCCTGTAATGCACCATCCTTGCACTTTCCTCAACCCTTAATTGTCCCTGTCATGTTAAAATCCCATCTCCCATCTGCTTTTTACCTCTTTCCTGTCACATTTGAATATACCTCAAAGTCCTCCCAAAGACACCATTTGGCGTTCAATTATGCATCTTCCACGGCGCTGTCAAAGCATTGAGCGATCGCAAGGTCATAAGCCAAGCAAAGAATAAACACAGATCACGGCTTAGCGCTTTTTAATTGACATCCGCGATCTCACGGGCGCACGTTTAGAAATTCCACACATGGAAGACACGCCTCAGCCACTGAACATCTGGCAAATTCATGCCGACTAAATCCTCATTTTGTGCACTTCTCTTCTGCATTGTCCTCCGAGTGCGGGTGAAGTGAGGATATGGCTGCTCCTAATGGCGCGCAGTGCCCCGTGGATACTCCAGTCCTTCCAAGGCTCTGAGCGTGAATATTTAAAAAGGCCTGCTATCAGACCTTTGCAGTCTCATCGAGGAAGGCTGGAGATATGGGACCCTTCCTCTCTCCGCTGTCACTATCTCCCAAGATGAGCTCTCGTGGGTACATTGTTTCTTAAGGGGGCATGGTCCTCGCTGATACGCTCCGCTTTAGCCCATTAGCTCACACTAAATGACATTAATATCTGACATAGCTCATTGTAATGGTGTCATTTGCAAAGTGCGGTAAGGACAAGGACGCTTGCCGGGACGTTTAAAGCACTTGCCGACGGGAGCGCCAGATGTCCCCAAAGTGGCCCACCCAATATTCAGATCTGCCCCAGGCCTCAGCTGAGATTTAGATCCAGCGGTACTGTCAGGCAAAGCTTTAAGTACTCGTATATTTTGTCCTTGCGTTTCTCCAGCAGTCTATCCTCCCTCTCGCTCTCTCAATGTTAATCCGTCTTTTAATGCTTCCCTCAAGTGATACTTCTACATTTTCCATCTGCTTTTTCTTCTTTAAACAGTTCCAGAAGATGTGTTTTGCTACTTTGTTTATAACTCTTTGGCCATTCCATTCTTACTATCTTTACAAAGGAGTGTAGTCAATGGGCTATAGAGATTAACATATCTATAATTATAGAGCATTGTAGCACTAAGCTTATTCATATGGATTTTATATTAACTATTGCACTTGATTAAACCAGCAATCCCACTATGTGTTTATAAGGAAATGTATTAGTCTGTATGAGATTTCAACCCCTCTGGATTTATACTGTGTTGCAGTTGCTTGTGGATGTTCTGAGTATATTTCCATGCTTTATTTGAATCGTATCTAGTATCGATCATTTAAAGTTTATGTAATCACTAAATTAGTTGAAGATTATTTAAATATTTTATGAATTGCGATAAACCAATTGTGTTGTAGCTGCCCTACTTCTAGCACCTTAGTTTGTTTCTTTTGGGCAGAACCTGAAATGCTTGGATTAGTATGTATGAGAGATGTGTGAGTATCTGGTGTGTGCTGGGTTGGCCGGTACTCCACTTTGATGGACCTGCTTTCAGTTGCATATAAATAAGATCAGGTTTCTGTGCTCTCAAACCTTTTAACTATAGGACGATGCAATTATTGCAACAGTATCATAAAGCAAATTATATCCAACAGGTATCCACTGGACAGAAATGTACCAGAGATGTGTGTCTATTTTCTCAGGGTGCACAATTTTAGCTGATTATCTAAGCATTGTGATTTGCAACATTATGAAATAAATTAGGTTTTATTTTTAAAATTTTCACTCTTGAAACAGCTTTACCAATGGAACAATAGTTCTCATTTAGAAATCATTCACTTAGAAAGACAAATAATCATTCAAGGCATTAAAATCAATGCCTTTTAAGTTAATTTAACAAAACAGTGAACCTATACACATATCAAACATAGTTTTTGTCAGTTCAAGAGATTTGTCTTACTTATTCAGGGTCATTTTTTTGCATTTTCTTGTTCACAGTGGGTAATTGAGATTGTCTTGTTGCAACCACTCTTGTCAATTGTGAAGAATCTTGCTGCCCATTTTCCTTAAAGCCCATATAAGAGGTTAGGCTATGCCATTCACAAAAATATATTTCAAATAGGCTTTTCATCCAAGTGTACTCCTGTGGTAAAGTTTATAATGTTACTTCTTGGTTTCACATGAGCAACAGATATGACATCAATAGAGGTACTTTCCAAAGCTACCACAAAGCTTAAAAGTATGAGACACCTATTATCTTGTCAGGTAATTGCTTTTATTGTGCAGTCATTAACTGTTTTATCACTTTGCATCACTTGATCTATAAAACTAAACCAACTATTTACTGGGTGTTCCATCCCTACAAAAAGTCAAAAGAATGCAACATGCGGCACTTTTAAGTTCTAATTAATCTTGGTTTTTGGTTTATATATTACATTTCAGTACATCGCATTTGTTGGTGCAGTTATCAGGTAATTTCCTCATATCAAGCTGCCCTTTACTAACATTGGCGGGTCGTTCCAACAGTCATTATAGATGTACTCAACCAAGTACACAACTTTACGCACGTTCCATGGTATAATTAAGCCATTGCTTCCATGCAGATTTATGACACTAAAAACCCTATCGATGTGTTTTATGTTGGCTTGGCTTTCCCGGCCAGATCGCACAGTGGCTTTTATAGCAGTAAATGATTGCTTATGTCCAGATCTCCCCTGTACCAGGCAGATGCAGCTTCAGACCGAGAGCTGTGTGAGGTGCTGCGCATCAAGCTGGACAGGATGAAGGATGAGTGCGATAAACTGGCAGAGCAACTGAGCTCAAAGGAAGACGCGCTCTCCCTCCTCCAGAGAAAGAACCAGCTCCTGCGAGAACAACTGGACGACAAGGTAAGCACACGCTGAATATGCAAAATCCATCATCAGTATTGAAGGAAAGTATTTGCATTATAGTGTTGGGTTAGAAATCAGTGAATATGCCAGTTGCAAAAACAGATTTGTATAGTCATTCAAAATATAAGACCACTCAAATATTGCATTAGAAACACTTGACAATTGACAGAAACTATCACAAACCTTAAAAAATTCTATTTGATATATATAAAATAGAATTTTTGTTGAAAGCTTATAATAGATTCTTTCTGTTGTATCTTGAATAGTTTTTAGAATTTCTTGAAACTTGTCGATATTCACGTCATTGTTAGAAATACAATCTAAAGCTTTGTTTCTCGTGGCAGAAATGGCCGAAATATCAGTTAATATAATGAATAAGGATCAGGATTACCTAAAATCTACTTTTGGCCCTCACTGCTGAATATAATATAAAGCAGTGATAATAAAAGCATCAAAATATGCTACTTCTGTCTGACTAAATTTGCTAATAATCTGATTTTATTGAATCATGGTATGTTTTCGATCACCTAACTGCAATGAAACACTGCAGTGATTGAAAACACTCTTCATATTTTCAAACAATATTACTCCGCCTTAATTAGTATGACAGTTTGCTAGAAAAGGCTTCTATTTGTTTAAAGGAGCAAAATGTAATATTTGCATGTCAAGTCATCATTAAATGACCCGAATATTTCAAAAGGCGTTATTAAATCATACTCTTTTCGAATTCATCTTTAACTGATAACAGTTGTTCAGCCGAGATATTTGATTATCAAAATTAGTTTTACGACCCGTAAAAGTTGTTTGATTGTTTTGATTTTGATGTCCTTGCTCTAAAAACGGTAAAAGACGAAGGTCAAGACGTTTTTTCGCAGATTATAGCTTAATTGTAAAAATAATAATTTCAGACCACATGTACCCCAATTAAAATAATGTTAGTCTCTTTTTGATGTGGGACTTTTACATGTTTGTCTAAAAAATAGGGAATAAATAAAATTGAAAGGTGATATCCTCTTGAGCAAACCCTGATGTTGATACGCTGAAGAAATACGTTCCAACATCCATTCTTCCCACTCCTATTTTGGACATCAATTGCTTATTTATTTTGCATAAACTATGTATAATTACATTGCTTTTATTTTGTTTTAGTTTTTTATCTCAAATGTCCAAATAATAATAATAAAAAAACATGAATCAAAACATTCATTCAGCATTAGCACAGCTGTCATGGCAATGTGAATGGAGACGGACAAACAACTGATAAAATAATTCCCTGTGTTTGCTGCTGGATTTGGTGTGAATCTGGCAACCTGAGTCAGGGAGAGTGGGAGAGGACTACAAAATATTGACTGTGACTGCAGTACCACTTTTGGCCAGATTTTTACATATTGCTCCTTTAACTATTATTTAGAGTGAGCCCTGATATTGACTTAACAATAGTCTTGTAATAGTTTAATGTTTTAGACTTTAAAAACACACAATCTCACTGCAATATTGTAACATACAAGAATACAAAAAGCGGCCTAAGAAGGACAATGCCTAAATTAGCAGGAAAACACGTATCAATGAAACATAATAAAACAATAATTCTGATGAGGATTCGACAAAATTGTTATAAAACTTAAGTGTTGCAAAATCTATCCATTTCGACATTAAACTTGCACTCATTGCAGCATTTCCAGTGTCGGTTTTGGATTGGATATTCTCCCCAGGTTGTACAGAGGTTGTCCCGAATCTAATTAATTGTGACAGCGGAGGTCCAAGGACATGAGAAGACGAGCAGTAAAGATATGTTTGGCAGCGCTCTTTCACTGACGCTGCAGCTTTTACTTACTTTACCGAAATGTAACTTTGCGGGGATATCTGATAACAGCACACATGGGGCTCTGTGAATTCCAGAGGGACACACATAATACAATAATGCAACTGTTTTCGTTTTACACCCTACATTTGTTAGGTTTTTACATCATGCATATCTTGTCTAATAAAAAGTATTATGACATTGAACTCTTATGTCACTTGTTTTCACATATTTTTGGCCTGTGTTACATTATTAGATCAGCTTTTTCGGACTGAAAAGTAAAAAGAGACGACCACACTCACTCAGGTCAATCAGCTTGCGGCACAAAGCAACAATTCTTAGATATTGGGCTTCTTAGATAAAAACGGCATGCTGTATACTGATTTGTTGACTAAATGGTACGTCTACTATAATCTTTCTCACACAATTATTTACAGTAATATTTTGTTAATATTTTTTACGGTTATGGGTTTGCTGTCAATCATGGGATTTCAGATGTTCAGAAATCCTGAAATAAATAATAAACAGATCGTTAAAATCCTTCCACATATTGTAAAAGATTCCAATTATGAATACAGGGTCAAATAATATATTTTCAAACATCATTTCTATAGCATCTTTGAATATCTTGTTATGACTCACAAGGCCACACATACTTATTTTCAAATCTCATTGATGGTGGAGAATGTAGAGTACTTTGCCAAAGAATGATTTTTTTGATGAATTCACCTGATATACTGTCGAAACGAGATTGACAAGTATTTGCACTTTGCACTCACTGTCTTCGATTTCTATGTTATTATATTTGACGAGATTAGATTGATCCCAATGGTATTTCTAATGGAGCTGCAGAACAAAGTGTGTGGGTAGAGAAGTCTGGTCGTCTCTACTGCTGCCTCCAACAACCCAGCCCTGGATAAAGCGGAAGAATATGGATGGATGTAGTCACACATGAATTTATACAGAAACTATGGTGTGACTTGCCGATACAAAACCTTGACTAAAGTGCCATTTTATAGCTTTTACAGATACCATTATCAATACTGCGGAAAAAAAATTATTTATATCTTGCATAACCAATTTCTTTTATGAAACTCCTCTAGTTTAAAATGACTACTATTCAGTTTATTTTAGATCCCATATAGTTGAATTGTCCTTTATGAGGCCCAACATATGGTCATCGTTCTCACTCAGCCACACTGGTGTCTTTGCATATGTCGGTGGATTCAGATTTATCTACAGTTTGGTGTCATCGTGAAGTGATTGATAAGTCTTTCCAATCTCCCCCTCTCCAAACTTCTCTCCTCTCACCCCTGCCTCTTCTTCCTGGATATTAAAAGTTGTAATATGCTTTGTTCGGCCATAAGAACTTGGCAAAACTCCTCTCAGATTAACTAACAGTTTCTTCTACAGTCTAGTCAATTATTATGCATGTCTTTCATTATTTCATTTGAGTTGTATCTGTTTATTGGGATGCATTAATGAACAGTAGTGCTGTAAATGTACCAGATTGTAGCATTGGGATCATTTGTATCTGTAGTCCCACAGCCGTTACACTCACACTCACAAACACACTCACACCACTACCATCTCTGTGTGGAGTGAGAGGAGAAACGCCCATACATGTTTTTATTGATAGGGAAAATCTACTCAGACACATGAAAAATATACCCGACAAAGAAAGGCCCTGAACCCAGGACCTTCTTGCTGCACGGTGGCACAGTGGCTGAGTGGATAGCACTCTCGCTTCTCAGCAAGAAGGTCCTGGTTCGAATCCCGGTTGGACCAGGGCCTTTCTGAGTGGAGTTTGCATGTTCTCCCCGTGTCTGCGTAGGTTTCCTCCGGGTGCTCCGGTTTCCCCTACCACTAAAAATATGTACAATAGGTCTGGCATGTGCCTCCTGTACTGGCACCCCCACTCCCAAAAATAACAATTGTAAACCGCTTTGAGACTCCGATGTGCAGTGAAAAGGCGGTATATATAAATAAAGATTACTTACTACTACTACTTACTACTTGCTGTGACGCATTAGTGCCAACCACTGGGCTACTGTGGCGGTATGATAACGATAAATCACACAAAAGACACTAATTATCCTAAAATTATTATACAAATTGCTATAACAGTTAATCGTTTTTCTTTAGTGCATCCCAATCCTCTCGTGATGTAGTGGTTGCAAGTCAGCAGCCTTTTAAAAACACTTTATTGTCAAGTCTTGCAGTGTTTTATTACCACAGATGCAGTAGTGAACATTCATTCACTCATCTGACAATCTGCTGATCTGTACTAGCCGCTCCATAGGGGATCCACGCATTGATTCAAATGTTAGTGAAAGGAGAAACGCAGTTCTTATTCATGTTACTACGTAGATGGTTTATTGTCGGGGTCAGTGAAAGATTTTGGTTTTCCCATGGACTAACCTTGAAGGTATAGATGTGCTCAGGCTAATTGAGGAACAATGTATGCAGAGAAAGATGTCCTCACTGCAACTTTAGGCTGTTTTTGAAATATCCATCCAAGTATGACAAGGATCTGTATTAAGATGTCAATCCAACATTCTTAGCATCAGGCCATTTTATAATCTTTATCATTCATGATTGATGCGTTCCCTTTGATGTCATCATTAACTGGAACTTGGATCTATCGTGAATGAAATGTTATCTTTCTGGGTTATTATTGTTCTAGTAATATACATGATTGGTGGTTAATTAACAAGCAATGTGTAAGTACTAATTTCAAATGTACAAAGAAATGTATTATTTAAGGCAACCAATAAGTTGCGTTCATGTACAGTAATGTTGTCCTCTGCATTTGACCCATTCTTCCAATGTCACTAGGGTCTGTAGGTGCAGTGGTCGCAGTAGTTCAGCACCCGGGTCCTTTTTTCCAGACGTTGATGCTCGGCTTTCATTTTAAGAAACGTGTGCCACACTGTGCATGCAATTGTTCGCAATGTGTGGCTCATTGAATTTGCCTGTAAACCCTTTGTCACTTGGTCCGGTGGGAACAGGGCTTTATGGGTGCACATGGAATAAGGCAATTTTGCATCTAACATTAAGCTTAACTGTAATTTAAGGCATGTATTTGGAAAATTGTAAAGAGAAAATCACGAAACAAATTTGAAGGCAATACTTAGACGGTAGATGGAGCTGGGGATAGATTGAACCAAAAATACCCCTCCTAGTGCGTTTTGGATGAGGTTACAATGTCTGCATATGTCTTTAAAAGTAATCAATGCTCGGGTCAGGTAGACATTCATAAATCATCTTATTTTACAACTAATATATATTTTTTCAAACCAAAGGTGATTTTAATTTCTTGTTTTTTCACCTTTTGAAAAGACTTTGCAGGGCTGATTCAAGGCTGTCGTCTCTGTTTTCTTTAGGTGAAGTCAAATGAAAGAAGGCGCACCTCCGAGTCAGAGGTGACTATACTGAGGGAAAAGTTGTCAAAATTGGAGGCAGAGCAAGAGGTTGTGCTCACAGCCATGGGAGAGGAGCTGGACATCGCCTGCCGCAGTCTCGCCAAGAACGGAGAGGACAAACTCAAGGTACAGTTGTGCTTGAAAATGTACACCCTTTGCCATATTTTGAGAGATTATGTTCTGTAATTTTTATGATCACACAAAAAAATATTCTTTTCATTTTTTTTGGGTGGTTGTGTGAAGCTCTTTGTTGTCAAATAAATGTGTTTTCCATTTTCAAAATATAATGACAACAGGAACTACCTGACCCTGATAATGAAGTTTTCATTCATGTTTCATGTTCTCAATTGCATGCATTAACCCTTTAACGTCTGACAGCTTGGTGTTAATTGTGGTAGCTCTGCAAAAAAAAGTTCCTGTAAATGTAAATGTGTATCAACTCTCGACAATTTGGCTCAATTAAATTAAAAGCCCTCTTTGAACATGTGCTGGAGCTAATTTATTTTATTTGGACATTCAAGAAACAGTGTTGGCTTCACAGTTTTCCCGTGATTGGTCAATCTTTATATGGCTCAGATCTAGGTTTACAAAGACATTATCAAAATATAAACACCCGGATCACAAAGAGCGGCAAACCATTGATTGATTGATATCACACTCACCTTTTTGGGCTTAAAAAACCAACACTTTTAGTGATGGGCAAACGACACTGACGCTCCGGAGCTTGTGTCTCTCTTCCTGAAGCAGAATGCTTCGAAACACTGCGTTGGAGCGTGTATCAAAACAAGACGGTCATGTGGCAAAGCGATCCATCCTCAGACCTTGCAGCCACTGCTTTGCTTTGTGAATCAACTGTGTCAGTGGGTCGAAGCGTTTCATTGCCTAAATGAGTTTCCCGGCCTTGCATTGGTTCAGAGCGTTACAGTCTATGCTTTCGACGCACGTCTTTGGTTTGACAGCTTTGGCAACTTTAATGCCACCTGCAAGTGGAAAATGGAGATTCATTTGTTATATCTTATTAAAGAAAGCCTCTGTGTGTTATGAGGCTTCATCTGCACATCTCGTTTGAAAAGATGATATAAAGCCAAAAACATGTGAAAACCTCACTTCATAAGAACAAGATGTATCAGATGTACGACATTTTTTTTTTGTGTTTTCATAAGTTGTGTTATAACTTAGATATAGTTTGCAATATTTCGTCATAGTTCTTTGTCTTATTGGGATATCATTTTTTGGCCTTATTGCCCAGCCGTAATGGTCAAAATAATGACATTACTATGGGGGTAAACGTTCAAGCACAACTGTATTTTCTTCTACTGGCTTTTGTTTGGCTTTAGAATGGAACAAAAGTAGTTGTAATAAGGTTATATAGCTCTCTTTTGTAAGCAACTGGAAGCTGAGAAGTTTAATTGCCCTTTTTTTTTTACACAATTTTTACTGCTTTCATTTTGTAATAAGCACAATTGGTTTCTCACACTTTCTCACACATTTCTCACAGATTGCTTATTCACTGCAATTAGTTTGTAAGCCCAAACGTTCAGAGCCCAAACAGTTTACTATGAAAGTAAATGACTTGACTGGAGCACTTCTATTTAGCTCGGACTCTAAAACATGTATTATTTGAATACAAAAGTAAAATATTCATTCATAATATTTTTCAATGTAGTTCATCTGCACTGGGGAAAATGGACATTAAAATTTACTAATGTACACAAATAAATACAAAAAACAGTTCTAATGCAAGATTGGCACATCCTTATTTGGACATTTGGCTATAGCTGTTCCATGATAGTTCATGTTCTAGAATTGTCTTTCAGTACATGTAGATAAAAATGAAATTAAATGTTTTTTTTCTCGGATTATATTCCCAAACTGTTCTTATGGGTCTCACAGCATGAAGAAGTAAAGTGACAACAAATATCATATCCCCACCTCTCTCATCTGGGCTTTATGCAACCGTGCTCAGACCCACCAGTTTCAGCGCAGTTGCCGCTGTGACACGGTACCACTTAAAGACCTTATGACGGGTTTGATTTATTTAGAAATACAGTTTTAATACCATTTTATATTAGAAGAGAACTACTAAAGGTTTCAAAATCAGTTGTTTTTTTTGTCTGATCCCCCCAAATCGAAATAACCCCATAGCAACGCCCTTAGAAACGAAAAAACTTCACAGCCCTTGGTGACGTCAGAACGGGTACGTTTCAACGCTGTAAGTTGTTTACAATTTGGTATTCTTTCTTTTTTCGCGGATATTCAAGATGACAAGGCCGTGTACAGCGAGTCTCAGATAACTACTAGAATGTACCATTTCGTTGTCACTGAGATAGTCCAGTGGTTGTGTCGATGGACTGCCAACCCAGATACTTGGGTTCAATTCCCACCTCGGACATTTTTTCACACTCAAAACGGCAATTTATGTGTAGTGAGCAATTGTCACCTGTAGAGTGCAGTATTGTGTTGGGCACCAGTGGAGAGAAGAGAGAAAAGGCAGTCCTGTGGCATAGATCCATGGTTTTCAATGCATGGGCGTAACCCGCTATGACGTCACACACAGGTTAGAGCATAGACAACTTAAATTCATGAAAAACACGTTCTTTTTTATAAAATATAGGATTTTTTTTGCCGGAATCTCTTTCAAATTGACATTGTCATGCAATTTTGATATCCACTATTTTTTTTTAAAAAACCCGTCATAAGGTCTTTAAAGCGTGTTCTGGGCCTAGGCCCACTTTAACTGGGCTTTAGGTTGCGTTTGTGACTGCAGCCTTAAATAGGCTCTTTATGAACATTTAAAAATATTAATTCCGCCCAAATAAAATGTGTAACTTTTACATCCGCTTCACTTGTCATTTTTCATTCACACATAGTTGCTATGGGCCACACTGGCAGAAGCAAGAACTTGACAGTTTTGCACTTTACAGACACAGCCGCCTCACTGGCACCTGGTGTTGTTCCCAGAGGTCTCCCATCACAGTACTAACCAGGCCCTGCCCTGCGTATCTTCAGAGGTCATACAGGATTTGGCTTTCACATGCAGGTGCCGCCACAATGGAAAATCCAAAATACTTCCACAATTTCTCTGTAATTTCTCAAAATTGGATATTTAGTTCCAAGATGATTCTCTTTACCTCCTCATTTGACTTCGTAAAATCGTTCCTCTTGCTGCTCATGGCTGATCAACCTCGCCAGTTCTTATCTGCTCGTATGGATTTGCTAATCTCGCCCAACAGTCTTCTAGCAGGATACTTGAGCCAGTGCCTCGCTACATTTGTAATCTGTCATTGTGAAAATAAGTCAAACTCGCTCCTGATGACTTAATGAGAGGAATCATCAACAGTTAAGGGCTGTGTGTGTTCGCATTTACCCCAAGAAAACCTCTTTCCCTTACCTTCCAGTAAAAGCGGAGGAAAATATCATATATATATATATATACTATGTTTTCTGTATTTGCCGGACTTCAAAAAGAGATGTACAAATTAAGAAATTGCTTTACCAATAAAAAATATAGTTCGATTTAATATATAAAAATTCTAATCGAAATTATGCTTTTTAGCAATCATGAATTTAATAAACAAGTCAGGATTGTTTTTAATGATACCCCAATAGATAACGTTCAACAGAATACATATTTTGGAGTGTGTTGGAGTGATGAGGAGAGCAAGTTACTTACTGAACATCAGTGCTCCACTTTTTTGTATTGTTTATATTATTTGAAGTTTTGGGAATCTGTTATAAATCCCATCATTCAAACCCACTGTTTAGGGGTCTTAAACTAAAATTACAGAGGAATAAGAGGAAGCTAAAAAGTGTGCTAAATGTAGGACGACTGTAAAATCAGTGTTTGTCTGTAAAAAAATAATTGTTTTAGTCTAACAATAATAATTGTTAGACTAAAAAAGATGTACTGCAGAAATAAGAGAAAGAAAGAGCACATATTTGGGCCTAAAAGATTAATACAATATGAAAGGCATGTTAGTCCCCAGTAAGGCTGAAATCAACAATTAATTGATCAATTGATTAGTTGGCAGAGTATTCTTTCAATTAATCGATAGTAGTTTTGATCCCGGATGTTCAATTAATATAAGATATTTTATATATTTTACCAAAACAAAGTGACTACCCTGGAGTCCCCTGTATCTATTCATTGAACGCCCCTCCCAGAGTGACTCAAAGGCACCTCACAAGTTCAAATTAGGTTAAAACACATAAATAAAATGCAATAAAATACAATGCATTCAAGTGCAAACAGACTGCAGTTCACACAAAAGCAAGCAGAAACAAGTGAGTCCTTAAGTGTGAAGGACTCTTTAGATCAAGTATTTAGACCATGATACAGTTAACAGGTGCTGACCTGAAACTGCAATAGTCCCTACTATCTGCTTTCTGCTATGTGGAATATAGTCTAATTTGGCCCTTATCAGTATCCAAAACATCTATCCATTTTCTTCCCCTTTGTCCATTTGTGGGTCCAGAGGTGGCAATCAGAATCCGCCCAATTCACAGAGAACCAGCCCAAAACAAAAATTAGCAAAAGCAGATTGTTTTTGAGTTTCTTTGGCACTTTTACCATCTTTATTTTGGTTCATCTTAAGATCATGACAAGACCATATTGTATTAGCATTGTTTTTGTGTAGTCACATTCGCCTGTATTTCTCACTTGCTATACTCCCAGTGTCGGAGAAAGTCACACATTTGCTCTGAGCTTTACAGAGACATAACCCATGCTATATTGCTTGTTAGCCGGGGCAGACACCCGATTACCGCAGCTCGTGGCCTTTTTCACGTCAACTTTGCAGACAGCACTTTCAACTTGCAGCCTACTCCACCTTCTGAGCAGCTTCACCTCCTTTTTGTCTGCCAGTGCTGCGGCTGCCTTTGATGATTCTCGGGGAAGGGTAAAAGAATCGCAGAGACATGTTTTATCCGCCCACACAATCACACGCTATATGACATGGGCCTCCACACAGCTGCGTGCCATTTCCTGGCTTTGAGCTACCGTGGCAACATTTTGGGATATTCATTTTGCTTGAAAGTGAACTTGAGTGACGTTGCGGGGAAATGGCCCGACACCTGTGCAGTGCCAGTGTTGTTTACGAAGGCAAAGGACAGAAAGATTTGCAAATACTCCCGTCGAGTGTGGATATTGTGTAAACACCATGCCATGAGGGGTACTTGAGAAAAGCGGGCCGTAACATGAGTCTTTTCATGTTTCTCTCAGGAGGATGTGAAGAGGTCTTTGCCTATAGTCAAAGGACAGCTACTTCTCCTCTATGCTCAGCAGACTGGTGGTTCAAGGCGAGCCAGATCATCACTTTTGCTTTGTACACACTACAATACTATAATCTCGCTGTACAGAAGCAGAGTTTCTCTCAAAATTCAAAGAGCTTTTGGACGGAACCTTTAAACTTTCCCTCTAGGACATATATATTTTCAGTGGTGGAAGACTCCTGTCGAAAACCACAATAGATGTACAGCTACTTTATATTTCATGGACTGCACTGCAGCTGTTGCCGCAAGTCGTGCTGATTTTTCTAACAAAACCTGCTGGGTCATTTTAAGCAGTTTCAAATGTATTCAGACTTTAATTTCTCTTTCAATTTACATATGATGACTAGAATTGATCCTAATAATGTAATATATCTTCAGTTTTTGTAACTGATAATGCCAATAAGTTGCTTATGTATGAGATGGAGGACTTCTAAAATCACTATAAAAGAAATATACACAAATAGATAAGAACAATGTAGGGAAATGTTTTTGGTGAAAAAAGGTGCAAGTCCCCTGCAATTCTATTATGTCGTCAGCAAATGGGTTGAGTTGGGCAACCCTAATCCTATATTTGTTTTAATGGGTTAGTGATAAGGTTAGGGTTTGCTATAGCAGTAGCTCATGTTGCAGAATTGCTACATTGATTTTGTCCCATATGTCTTTTGTTTGTTTCACATCAAATTTCAGAAAACCCTGGCTCCTAAGATATCGCCCTGAAACTATTTAAAGGCACTGAATTGACCAACTCATGTGCTACTGTAAAAAAAAGATCTTTTTGTGACTAGTGCCTTTTCTAAACATGAGCCTGGATGTGTTTGTGTCTGCAATCATTAGCAGCTCTGACTATTTTCTATGGCTGATGCTTAAACATGTATCTCAGACAGATCAAAACACCGTCTCCCAGAGCTCATTTTGAGGATGCACAAACACGAGATACCCGCTGTGGAGGTGTGGTCACTGATGTAAGAAACACTTATAAGCTGACAATGGCCTTACACAAACTCATGTTTAAGGCCATTTAATTGTAAATGTATAGTATATAGTTTTAGTCATGTATTTTATGTCATGTTTTTTGCCGACAGAAGATGGTAGTTAACAAGGCAAAAAAAGAGGAATCTGCCTTTTTCCCTAAATGTGATCTGTAATGTATATTGTATTCTTCATATAACAATATATGAAGAATGCAATATGTAATAAATAATATATATACACAATATAACTAACCAGGGCAATGGATTAGTCAGTGTTTTAGTTTTTTATGTGTAAACGAAATTTCAGCTATTGTGTTCCTCGCTCTCTGTACAAACATGTATTTTACTCTGTTTTCAAGAAAATGCATCAACTGTTCTTTACATTCTTCTTAGATTGTTGCGCCTGCAATCTGATTCCATATAGCAGAAGGAAATGGTCAGGAATATAATAATAATTGTGAGTTATGAACTCAAAACTTGGAAAACAAAAGATAAAATTAGTATTCATTAAAATGTACATGAGCATCAGACAAGTTTCAAATTAAAACGCCTGGTAACACTTAATAATAGTTTGTCTACAAAGAATTTGTAAAAGTTGAATAATTTACCAATTAATAAAGAAAAGTTCATGTTTTTTTTCCCCCATTTCTAAATATATTCACATTATCACTGTGCAGAAAGATTATCTTTGAATTGCTGCCAACATGACTCACTTGGCGTCTTTTTTCCTGCTCTTTTTCACAGGCAATCTTGCAGAAGCCTGGATTAGTGCGAGACCCCCACCGCTGGTTAGCAGAGACAAAGGTAAGGACTTAATGCAGCAGGGCAGTCATGTGAACACAGCTTTTCCTCCGATCCTTCACATAATGAAGAGAACATGGGATTAGCACGTGGCATGATGAGCAGAACACGCTGCTTACACTGCACTATTCAATTAAAGCTTTTACATAACCATGAACTTTGAGATTTTTTCACCCTGCAGGGTGGCTCATTCATACAGTACACTTAAGAATGCATTGTAGAAAGTGGGGCTTGCACAAGTGTTCATACATATCTCCGAGGAACGCATGGTGAATAGCACTTGTGCTTCACAGCAGGAAGGATCGATTCCACCTCCAGGACCTTTCTGTGTGGAGTCTGCATGTTCTCTGTGTAGGTTTCCTCTGGGTCCTCCAGTTTCCCCTACCACTAAAACATGCACATCACTTTGGTTACCTTGGTCTGCGAAAAGCACTATTTAGATACAAATTGCTTCTTTACACTGTAAAAAGCAATAACGAAGTAAGTAACTATTTAACGTTGTAGAAATGACTTTTTTGTCTCAGAATGGCTACTCTTTTGTCTATGTTTTCATCAAGTCAGTTAGATTTTGTTTTTTTATAAATCTGTGACTTGGAGATAGTGCTTTTGCCATTGCGCGAGATGCGTGTTCGTGACGCGAGTTGTGCAGCCAGGTCCTCGTCAGCCCAAAATATGACCCACATGTATTTTTGCTGCGCAGTGACTTTACTTCCAGTCAAAATAAATAGAATGTTTGCTTGCGCTAATGGTCTTTGCCACTATATCAGCTCCACATGTCCAGAACACTTGTATTAAACATTAGAAGGAGGTGCAGGTTAGACTGATCCCGGACATACATCTGACTGTTGCTGCTGTATAGTAGGCCTCTGGCCTGTAATGTCCTCTACACTTCTACTTAACAAGGCCGGGAGTTTTTGTGCTCGCATTAATTTCCGAGATGAAAAAAGTACATTGTTGAAATGGGTTACAGAAATTTCCCAATCTTTAAATTTCTCACAGAACATCTTCATTCCATTATTTGGAAATGGAACGAGTATCGAAACACTGCAAACTTACCAAGACACCAACCATCCACCTAAACTAATAATCCGAACAAGGGGAGCACTGAGACAACCACAGTTCACCTGCAGGAATCTGTACATGTAGCAAATACTTTTATGAATGTGCACTGAATAACGGGCCAGTGTTGAAATAACCTAGGAAAATAATTAAACCCTAAATTGCGTTTTGGCATATGCGTTCAAAATTATGTACCAGAATAAGTCCCTGGATTTCTTCTTTTTTTTTTTTTTGAAAGTTCATGACTTTTACATTAAAAAAAAAGGAGTTTCTCTCAGACCCGGCTTGATCTTGAATTTTATTTGTGCTATTCAGTGCTTCTGTAACTGCAAACTGTAGAGCCTTTTGAAATCATTTGGAGAGACTGAGGCAGGGTTAAGCACAGTTAGCCCATTTGCCTTGAACGAATGAAAAGACTGATTCATAATTCAGTAGATCCCAACGCAGCCATTTTTAATCAATTCATTCTTTTTCTCTTGAACAGTCCAAGGTCCGCTGGCTGAGCGAGGAGGTGCGTGAGCGTAACAAAAGAGAGCAGAGCCAGAGGAGGCAGCATCAGCAAACCAAGGATCAGCTGAAGGCCCTGAGGCACAGCCACCACTTGGAACAGGAGGATTTCCTGCAGCGTTTGGACCAACAGGAAAAACTACTGCAGTCACTCAACAGCGAGAAGCAAGGTATGCCTCTATAAGCAAACCGCTGCAAAGACTTATGTTTTAGTAATGGGGAAAGTATCTGATAGTATAGTCCATGTTGTGAAAAGTTATACACCTATAAAAGGAATGCACTTAAACCACATGTTCTTATGTGGTTCAATCAATCACCCAATGGACCACCTCATAACTATAGACTAATACTGGATACTAAAATCAATTTAACAAGTATGGAGACTGGACTATGGATCCAGCCCAGGTCTGAGGTTGAGTCAACTTCTGAGTTTTTAACTCTGTTAAAAGGTAGTTTTGGAATTTCTCGAGTCAAATTATGGACTTTCCCACTTGATACATCTTTAGAATTATAAAAAACAATTCCCCCTCCTCTATTATTCATCCATATGTCTACTTCTTTTTCACATTCTAAAACATGAAATGCAAAATATGTGTTCTTTGTATCACTTTAGAAGTCGTTATGTTCTTTGTATAACTTTAGAAGTCATTAGTATTCTGCATTTTTCTTTCTTTCTTTTTTACACACAAAGATCTGGGCTCCTTGTCAAGTCTTCAATCTGGATTTCTAGGGGATAAATGTTATAAAAGAGATTAACATGTAGAAGCTCTGCAAGCTTTTATACGTATAAACTCATCATAAAAACTAAAATAACCATCTTCATGTCTTTTCATTCAGACAGAAAAAAACACACATGAGAGTTACATAGTAGTTTGGAGGTTAGTTTTCTTTCCTATTCATTTGGATCACAGGTATACACAAAGAAAATATGGCACATATAGTTATTTTCTGTCATCTCGAGTGAGATTTTTAAATAATAGTGGCTGGTGTCTATTTACAATTACAAATGTTTGAAAAGGGTGTCAGGATGTGCACATAGTTCTTGTAAAATGGACTTGGGCTTCTTCTAATGAGCTGTAACTGCCAGAGGAAGAACGGCTTGTCTTTAGCGCTTCATCCGAACAATACGCCGAAAAAGGTCTAAATTGGTTTCCATTATTAGAGAGAACAAGAGAAGGGTGGACCCCAACGTGACTGACGGCAACAATTGCTGCAGCTTTATTCAAGACGTAAAATGTGTGTTATTTCCTGTGATTGTACCACGAGTGTACATGTCATTTTTGAGCAAGGAAGAAGTCCTGTCCTGATTCTCTAAATGCACCATTTCTAATGATTTGAACAAAAATCGAATTGTTTGAAAAAAAAACATACAGTATATACAAGGCAAATGACTCGGAGTAAGGCGGACTTTTTTGTAACTAAGTCATCTTAAAACAAAGGGTGCTCGTCCATCATCTGTACTTAAAGGTGCACTGTTTTTACTCCCATGTAGCGTTGAGATCATATATTGCAGTCCCTTGGTCCTACGAGTGCTGTGAAGGACAATATGGTGTCTTTGACAGTGGTCCCCAACTCCTGGTCATTCAAAGCGGGGCCATGGAAATTATCCTTTAGTTTGATAAATGACCGGATCTCTCCATGCGTCTTTGACATGCGTTTTGCGGGGATTCTATGAGTTTGCGTACAGTCTCTGAAGCTTATCCCCTGAATAAGTTTACACGGTTTGAAAAGGAATTGGATGAAGCTAAAAGTTTGATATTAATCCAAGCCCCTTCTATCAACTGTTTTGTGTAACATAACTGCACACTACCTGCTTCAATCTCATCTCAATATTTGCATTCATTTTGTATACATTCATATATTGCATTCATATATTTCATGGCAGAATCCTGACACATGCCCTGACATTAAGCTTTGTCAGCCATTACTGACATTATTTATATTTTACTTGCCCAATAACAAAGTTACTTGCCCTTATACTTATCAATACAATGAGTTGACAAGAGTTTGACAATAAAGTGGCACTGTGTGGAAAAAAGTATATAAAAAAAAAACACTCTCAGCCCAAACAGTCAAGTTATGACTCACAGGGCTCTTAAAGTGAAAGTCTGTAGCTCTAAATGAATTACAAATTTTAGAAAATGTGTTAAATTGACCTCCTGGCCTTAAATGTTGATATAAAATAAGTCATTTTATTCATTCTAATATTACAGACAAGTCCCGCCTTCCCTTCTCTTAGCTATAGTTCAGAATCCACGATGCCGTCCACGTTAACCAATCGAGTCATGCCAAGGATCTGTCAATCATCGACGCTGATGCTCGCAGCTGCGCGCATGCTCAGTTGTTTGTTTTCGCGGAGCCTCCGAATCAAACCTCTATTAGGCTCTGGAACTACATGAAAACTGAACAAAGAATTCTGAACACCCGCGCTGAGGTACTTTTGTATTTACTGAACCTATATCCATAATCAGATCCTCTGTAGATCTATAATGTGCAATTCATGATAATTGCTTGTTCCCTTGTTTGCCGCGATCGCTTTTTTTGTGCATAAAAACATTATTTTTTTCATTAAAACGTTAACAAATAATTCTGAAAACCTCCGTGCATGTGTATTAATAATGTACATGTATAATGTGTTCTCTGATTAACATTTTAAAGTGTTGCGGAAACGTAGGTGTAGACCAATCAGGAAGGGGGAGAGAGCTTGCGTCGTTTTTTTTCAAATCAAGTACCTCTCTGTCTCTCTTTCTGACAAACTCCAGACAATCACTTTAAGCAAAATAAAAAAAAACAAGATGGCCTGTCCTGGTGTGTTCTGTTTGAATTGTTCACAATCAACATGCATTGCTAATGGAGGGGAACATTTTGGTACCTGATAGTGGAATTGTTGTTGGGTTTTCATTAAAGTGAATGAGAATATATTCAAGTTTAGACAGCTTTGGGTTAACCTACGTGTGTAGAATGTGTTAGCAGCATTCAATTGCTAAAGACTGCTGACCACTTCCCTCAGCTCATAAGATTTCATGTGACTCTGGCAGGACAATTGCATCTAATGCCGTTTTTCCACAGTCCGAGTATGGTACGTTTTGACTCTACACGGCGCGCCATGGCCCAGTTCGCCTAATATTTGTTTTTACAATATGCCAGTCTCACTTTGGTTACCTTAGATTTATTTACCACAATGTACATTGTAATATCCATAAATGCTAACACCTATTAATGGTTTAATTAGCATTTTTATCAATGATTGCATCACATGTAGTAGTTAGCTCTTGTGTCTGTTTTCAACTTCAGCAGCTTTTTGTTTATAAAAGTATAATATTTATTTTTGATTAGCATTTAGGGGGGCCATTTTGGCGCCCCATAGCGTTTCTATGCGGAAGTGAAAAAGTGCGATTTCAAAGCCATTTTTTTAACATAATTCATCTTAACATGTCAAAATGAACACCCGAAATCTTCTAAACACATATTGTAGTTATATATTCAGATAGCAGCATATTAAATTCTAGTACTACTTTAAGCAAGCAGCGTTGTTGCTCCGTTGTCAATTTGCTTTTACATCTAGCGAGACCCGGACTAAATGTCTGTAAATTGTCTGTGTGTGCGGATGTCGAGACAACTGTAGTTTGAACCAGCATTGACAACATTTATTAAATAGATTATGTTGTTGAAATATGACTGGTTTTTCACAGTACCCTAGCTTTAATTTTGTGTGTTTTGGTTGCGCTTCAGTAGGTGACGCGGGGGAGACTGGGGATGGCCCTGTACGCGCGTCTATGGTACATTACGTATTACTCTTTTCTTCCAGATGCTTCGATCAAACTCACTCACTGCAGGTTAACCATCAAATTACATGGCTTTTGCTATAATTTACGTGTCCAGGCTTACATTACTATATGCCGTTCATTACCTTCAGTAGATTTTAATTGAATTCTCTCACAGTTTAAATATATTAAAAAAATACATTTCACAGTAGCATTTCCAGCTTTAGCGATGATACCAACCCAATCATATTATGCACAAGAGCTGTTACACACTCTCTATCAGTGTTCCCAATCAGCCTCTGACAGCACTCGTCCTGCCCATCTTCACCACGCGCTCTGCTCTAGTAATTAGAACTACACCTAATCTACGCTTCACAACAGCAACCAGATCGGCTTATTTCAACCACGGGAATTAAGATTTTATCAACTTTTACTTTGAATATGGCTAATGCATTTGACTGCTGCTCCCTTTTGTGAAATTATTATTGAGCGGCATGCGGCTTACAAATCCTGGGTATGCTTGAATAGTTCCAGCATAATGAGCCATACCTCACTAAAAGCACTAATGCTATGGTGCGCTCACAACAATGGATTGGAAACTCTAATGATGTCCCCATTTGCCTGCCGAGCATGTTGTTTTTGGGTTTGAGAATTAGATTGTAAAGGTTGATATTCAGTTTTAGTCTGCTGTTCCCACCCTTACGATACTACTTATGATAATCACGCCTTTATGTGTACTTTTAGTGTCCTCCATAATAGAATGACTAATGCGTCTGGCTCAAACTGCTTCCACGAGATTCAATATGCAATGGAATGAACTAAAAGGACTATTTTGGTTAAAAGTACTATTGAAAACTATGTGTGTACAGATGTTGCATTTGTGATTTACTCCCAAACTCACTCCAAGCCTTCGAGTTTATCCTGTTTCTATTCATGCATACTTAAGGCATGTAAAAACACAATACTATTTCAATAATATCCTTAGTTGCATAGCTGGCTGTTGTCTGGGCATTCGTTGGACTTTGAAGTGATGCTGCCATGGACAATACTCCGTGTGTTGAAGAGCACTTGTAGAGGCACTCAATTCTGTTCACTTTGGCACCTTCATAAAATACGATGAATATTATACATGACAGTTTTGCAGAACGCAGCAAGATATAAAAAGGGGTTTTGTTCAGCAAGACTATCGATTCAGTGGTTAGTGCTATATGTGTTCTAAAACAAGCAGTAAATGGTCTCAAAATAAGGTGAACATTTTGTTTAGTTCCTCTCATTTCCATCAGGCATTTTGCAGGCCATTCTCATGCTTATAAGCTAATGACACCAACATTACATCACAATTAGTATATTCATACAATACAATGCAATTTATTCTTGTATAGCCCTAAATCACAACAGTAGTCATCTCAGAGGACTTAACAAAACCATTGAAATCCCCAACACAGATCAGAGAATCAACAGTTAAGATACCAAAAAGCATATAGAACACATATGTCCATACAATAATTCATCCTGCCCATTATCTAAAATATTGGTTATCTTATGGTGGTATCAAAAGCTATACTGGTTATTATGAATCAAATAAAATACTGTAAACGGAAACACATTTGTAAATACATCTGTATTCCTGAATATCATTCTGCTTTACATGTTACTGCAAGCCCCTTAAAACAATTACCTCACAATCATGACTGTAAACAACGTGGCATTTCCATAATAGGGCTGTGCAGCTACATTAAATCAGTCATTCATCAGTGCAAACATTTAATTAAGCAAACAACCGCTTGTTGTGCTGTAATTGTGAACAGTAAGGTGCATCAGTCATCAGTGCACAGCAAGCTTTGTTTTCACTGCTTCTACAAGTGCTCAGGTTGTAACAGCAGCCATGTTTTCTATTCAACCAAAACCTGTCACTGCCGCCAAGTCTCCCCAATGTGGTCTGACAGCTTATTTGTTAAGTGGCTTTGTAAAATCACACACCTTGTCATTACAGAGTTGCTGGAGAGAAGTCGCAATAAGGAAGATGAGATGCGAAGTCTGCAAGTGAGTATCAAATATTACTACTGCAGCTAAGCCTGTCACAATAATTATATCGATTTAGCATTCTCTAACAAATGGATGCTGGTTATCCATTAGTTATAGGATGCTAACTCTAGACTGATTTTGGGGCTCAATATTTTTTCATATTTACATTTTCTTTGCCATACAATCACTTCTTTGGTCATTCATCTGTTCATTTGTTTTTTTGTCGGTCGATTATATATAAATATATATGATAAATGGACATTCCCACCGTTGTTTAATACCTACTTAGGTCAGCATGAGATATTTTCACCTGCACAAAAACTGCAAACCACAAATGCAGAATTTAACCAATCTTTTAATGCACAAATGATACTTTTGTGATTCATACAGCCCTTCAGTCTAGCCACCTTAGCCAGCTGCCATATTATTCAGCTTTGGTTGTTTATGTGACATTGCAATTGCTCTTCTGAATTGCCTTGGGGATAAATATAGAGTTATTGAATTTAATGAATGAATCGAGAGTTCAAATTACCACTCCATCACCCCTTCTTTTGTTATTCACTTTCATCAGATGACTGGCAGCATATCACATCAGTCTCAGTGCGATGACCCTGTGTTGTTGAACAAAAACAGATGCTAGACCTCATATTTGTGCTTGTTTTGGAACGTCTACCGGATCGCACGGCTGGCGGTGGCACACTGCTTCAAACAGCCTTGGGCCTGTCAGACTCCTTACAGCTTTGCTTGGACAAGTAGCTAATTACTGCAGACACAACGCTTCACACTTTTAAAACCCACCCGGGGCTTTTTTTCCTTTTTCAATACATCTACTACACAGTCTTGGCAAGCCACCAGCTCACCTTAGTCTGTAGTGGACCGGCCCGCGGCGTCAATGTGGCCCTTTACTCCCCATTAAGCAGCCCGACACGTTCGCTTGGCCCTGGGATGCGCAGCAAAAATGTGCTGAGCAGTTACGGGCTTCCCCCCGGAGTGCGCGCGCGGGCTCGACGCCGTTCCCATCTGTGCCGGCTTTCTGCGGCACCTGCCAGAACTCATGTGCAATTAATCAGCCCTCCCAGAGCCAGTCAAGCTTTTAATTATGAAGGATGAGGAGCGCGAGAGGAAGCAGCGCGCACAGACAGCGGGAGAAGCGGCAATGACGAGGGAGAATGGCGGAGACAGGCACACAGGGATGGGCAGGTGCTTTTTGAGTGGCAGAGCATAATAAAAAAGCCATAAGAAAGCCATAAGATACAGTATCTTTAGAGGCCAAACTTCAGGCAGGAAGGCATAGCAGTCGGTGGTGCCAAGCAAATAAAATGTATTTTTTGGGATGTTGAGCGTATTTATATTTGTTTAATATCATCATGTCATAATATTGAAGGCTTCCAGTTATCTTTTTTACTTAGCCTCTTCTTATGATGCACATATGGCCAGCCTGCGCATTGCGTTTACTATTGGCCTGAAAAATGTAAATGATTTTTCTTTCTCTAGGAAATGCGATTCATTATTCAACCCACAAAATATGACTATTACAAAAAGGCACTTTCAAAAGGAAGTTTGGAATCTGTACAAACTTGCCTTATTATTACATACAAGACTGTGGACTTAAAAATGTTGATATTTCACCTATCACGTCACAACTAGATTATATATTGTACGTGTAAAGTAAAAATGTGTATTTGTGTTGTGTTTAAAAGGCAATAATAATGATTATGTTAATGCTCTTTACAGGACAGAGTTTTGGAGCTGGAGATGGTAAGTGAAAAGTGTATCAAATTTTATTAAGTAGGCCCGAGCGCCAAACTGGCTTAAGGGCCTCTTGCTTTCTCATTGGATAATGTAAGGGGTTGCAATGAGCGACGGGCTCGTCAGTGCCAATCATTCACCAAATCGCAGCGGTTCCGTTCTTCTTCTCAAACGCTTTCAAATTATGTATCATATGCCATTGAGACCTATATTGTTTTTGCCCGAAAGATGTCAAAATAGCGCCACCAATTAGATTTTGACATTTTTGCGTTGAGTTTTTCCTAGATCTACTATATTTTTTACACATATTTGTCACCTCAATACAAGATTAAAAAAAGTTAAAATAATTATGGCCACGCTCCCTGACAAACAAAAAGTCCAGAATTTTGAAAAACTTGAATTCACACTTATTTTATGAGCGCCTCGGTCGTTTCATAGATTTTTCTCAAAGTTGCTCTAAATCGTTTACACACTTGTAGCATCTAAAGTTATCCGCCGAATTGTGATCGGTTAAATCAGGGGTGCCCAAACCTTTTGCTTCCAAGGGCCAAAGTAAAAATTTGCCAGTCGGCCGCGGGCCAAATACACCGATATTTTGCATGAAACAAAAATAAATGTAGATTTGATCAAGTTCAATTAAATGCATTAATTATTGTCTATCAGTGCAAATCACAGCTGAATGAATGAAATCAACACAGTCTTAGTGAAGTGGAGACTCCAGGGAAATATGCAGGTTTGAGGAGACTACAGTACGGAAAGATTCCGGCCGGGTAATCAGGGTCCAGAGGAGGGAGATTTTCTGTCATGGCTTATTTACAGCTTAAAATCATATAAAAAAACCTCTAAAAGAGAACAGAAACATACATTTTCTATGTAACTAAACTGTTTTTTAAACGCCACTTGTAAACAAATAATGTTCCTGCTAGTAAATGAAGGTACTAATTTATATTAAATAATATCATACTCCCAAATTAAATAATCTATATTTTTAACCTGCTCATGTCAGTAAACTGTTTGTTGAAGACCTTTTTCTAAACAGTTTTGCATTACTATATAGTGATTTATAATGTATAGGTTTATTGTACTAGCAAATGACATTTACTTTACAAAAGTAAAGCCTATTTTCATATATTTATTTTGAACAAAAGTTTTTAACTACATTTGAATCATATTACTTTATCTTAGCTTTTATCAAAAAAGGGAGACATCACTGATCAGTAGATCTGGTTTTAGCACACTTTTAAACAATACATTTTAACATTAAGTAATGAATTTGGGAACATAATTGCTAACTGCATTTTCTAAACATGATCAGGTTTTAACTCTGTTTTAACTTAATATTTTTAACATAGGACAAGTATTCTCAATTAGTTGTGAACTGAATATTAAACTAACGAAATCAGACTAGTTAACCATGATTTGTTCCTGGAGTTTGTTTTATTTTGCCTAAACACACCACAACATTTATAAACAATCAAAACAAAGTAACTGTTAAAGAGTCCGTGTTTCCGCTCCTCCAAAGGGCTCTTGAACGCATCATAAAACTCTGCGTAAGTTCTGACATTCAATGATTGCGAGTGAGGACGGCGCTTACCGGCTTCTTTCATGGGGATGTAGAAGGGTTTGTTTTGCGCAGTATTTGTTGCTTCTACTTACGTGGATCGTGCGCTGCGATCCCTGCTTGTCCTGCTTGAACTCACTCTGAAGTGTGTGTGTCCGTCTTTTTTAACACACCGGGTGGGTGCGGATTGCACAGGTGAATAGTTCCACTCGCCATTTCCCTCCGGTGAGGAGGGGGAGTGGCAGTTCGCCAGCACAATCCTCTCAATTTGATAAAATATTAAATTGCTCAAAAAAATTATAATAGTAGGCTGTTGTTCAGTGAGGTTGAGGGACGCAGTTAGAAACTTACAGCGGAGGTGGGCAATGTTAGGCGGGCCAACTGAAATGGTCCGGCGGGCCAACTTTGGCCCGCGGGCCCCACTTTGGGCACCCCTGGGTTAAATGATATATGAGCTGCACGACTAACTATTTTGTAACTTTTTTCTCGATTGGAAAAGTTTTTTGGCCTGTTTGCACCAAATTCAAATCGGTTGTTCAAATCCGGGGTCTACGTCACCTGGAAATCGCAGTGCTATCGCCCCCTACAGCCTGATCCAAGGAGAGACATGGCATGAACAACAATTCTGCCTCGGTCGTTTCACAGATTTGGCTCAAATTGTTTTGGCTTTGTTTTCCCAAATTTGAACTTGAAGTTTCAAACTTAAACTCAGTTCAACTCTTGGATCTAGGTCAGCTGGAAGTGAAAAACATAACATTGCAGCTTTAGCACCCTCTACAGAGTGGTCCAAACAATTATATGTGCACTTTGCCAAACCAGCCTCGGCCATTACACCAACAGGGTCAAATTCGCTTCACAGACTGTAAACAAGTGTAGCATCAAAACTTAGCTGCAGAATTTATATCAGTTAAATGGTGAGGGCCGCTCGATGCCTCTTGCGGCTTTAACATTCTCCTCTTATTCCTACTTATCATTAAAAATAAATTGTAAATAATTTCCATTCCATTAACACTCTTGTTATGCTGATGGGTCAGTTTGACCTGATGGTGTTGAAAGCTTGACTAATCAATGTCATTTTATGTTATTTCCAAGAGCACAATATAATGGACTATCATCAAGTTCGGATTGGTAGTTCTCTGTACAATCTGTAAAATGTTTGAATCCTGGTCAAAGTGACCCGTGAAAGCAAAAGGAATACATTTGAATCCAACAGGAGGGGATACATTCATGGAAATAATATTTCATTTTTGAAAAAAATAAATAAAATAGCAGCACTTAAATTGAAATGATGGGCTTTGTTAAAGGCTTCATGCATTTTAAAGGAGACATAACATGATTGTGTTCTCTATAATATGTTAATATATGACCACCATGGCTCTTTATCATACATATGGTTTATATGAAGTGCGGTTGAATCCCTCACATATAGTAAGTAAGATAAGATGACCACATTTGTCTCTGCTGGTGGCGCAGTGCTATTCACTGAAAAGAGAATTGCCAAAGTCCGTAAAACCTTGGGGTGGGGCTAGGTGGAAATGGGAGAGCAATGGCCGCTCGCGTACAGTATATGAATTTATACATTACTCTAACATGCATGAATCATACTGAAAACAGCTTTGTGAGTGTAAATGACAGGGGAAAACAACTGTGCACGGCCAACTACTTAAAGTAGTTCACTGTTTTTACGTCTTACAAACGCCTTATTTGAAACCTTCAACTACTTAAAGAGGACATAACCTAAAAATCTACTTTATAGGCCTTGGTTAAAAAAAGCATACCAGTCCTGTACCCATGTGTAAATATTGCGTAAAGTGAATGAATGAATTGTACCTCTTTTATTACTGTATTAACCAGAGAAGGGAGTTAAAGTAAATTAGTAACTGCTGTAAACTGTATGTATCACATCAGCTGCAAGCGTTGTTTTGTATATGTCTGACATCATTTTCCATGTTGGATAAATAAATAAGCAAATCGAGTGCTCACAATACATTATCGACCTCAGCTCCAACAGGCCTCTTTTTGCCTTGTGTGCGTCTCACCTCACGTCAGGAACATCAGATGGATTATTGAACACATTTACAGACCAAACAATACTGCATGTCCATCAAGCATTTGTGAAATTGTGTGTAGGGTTACACTAATTCTATAGTATTTGGCGAATCTGTATGTGTCTAGATTTGAGGGGTGTCAAAACTAAACGGATGAAAAGAATTGAGCAACTCTGAATTGTCTTGTTTTACAAACTATCAAGTATGAAATTAGAATATTACAAAAACTCTGATTCAGAACCTTGCCAAAAGCCATAATCCTACACGTGATTCTGGGTGTTGAAGTAGCTCTTTGAAGACTGGGATACCTGTTATTATGTATTAGTATAAAATCCATCTCTATGAACAGTAGTTGAGTTTAGCCACTTCATGGTTATGCTAACGATGCCTCATCACCACCACAAATGAAATCATTTCGTAACGTAGCAAGGTATACTATATGGTTTTAGGTTTATTTGTTTATGTATTTGTTTGATTGGTTTGGACAGTATGTAGGAATAGCAGTGCTGTAAACATGCCAGATTGTTGCCTTGGATTGATATCCGTACGTTATCACACAGTCGTATTCATTCACTGGTGAAACGTCCGGCTTCCGTGCTGGCTCGGACTTTTACATTTTGGCATAAAACTAGCTATATAGCTCGGTCTGTAAACACAGCCAGAAATTGATACATAGGGCGCACCGGATTATAAGGAGCACTGTTAATATTAGAGACTTTTATCTGCGCCTAATGGTGCAAAGAATACAGTACCCTGTATTAAAGAACTTCTCACCCCCGGTCCTCGGAGCTCACGTCACTCACATTTTCTTTTCAAATATCCCTCCAAATGGGCATAGCCTGGAGGACTAAAGGGGACAGGCGGGGGGGTAAATGTTGGGCGGGTCTAGACTGTGAGTGACACTTGACATCAGCATTGGCCATGTCAAAAATGGAGTGATCAAACACCAGCTCTATAGATTCTGTGCGGTCTTAGGAGGTGGAAGACTTCTCTTGAGAGAGAGAGAGAGAGTAGGCAGACGGCGGCCCCCAGCCCTATCAATTTGAGCCGCTAGCTCGCGAGCTAGCGCCGCTAGCGGCTAGTAGAGCTAGTGGCAGGATTACTATTGCAGCAGCACATCATCAGTTTAGGGTAAAACTAACCTGTCTCAGAGGCAGCTGAGGCAGCAGACCGCCGCAGAATGGGGCATGTTTCTGAATGATATTGATTAGAGTGGAATAAAAAGTACGAACTGCTTGTCACAGGTAACCTTCCCATATTCCCTTACAGTAACCGCTTATGTTGCGGTTGTTTTCTTCAGTTTTGTCTGTACATGTTGTGGTGGTCATATAGTTAAAAAATTCTAAACTCTGCCACAATAACCCTTCGCCCACTGCACCTCCTTGTCCCAAAGGAAAATT